CAGAAACAAACTATAATAACCTAAGGTAGGAAATTCATTCAGGCATCTCAAGGACGTAGCGCCCAGCAATCTTTCCTTGTTCTATCGACCTGTTAGCTAGATTCATCACACGATTGAAGGAACATACCCATGAGCTCATAGATCTTAGGCAGATCCTCAAGAGGAGCCGTCTTGAAAGGAGCTTTGATCAGGCCCCGAGCAAAGAAATCAATAGCCTCGACCCCATCCTGTCTGTTCCCAACATAGCTGCCCTTGATATTGATCATGCGCACGACAGTGTTGAGGACTGGCGCCCTCAGGAAGGCATTCGCAGGCAATCCAATGGCAACAACGGTCCCGCGCGAGCGAACATACTCGGTAGCCTGCTGGAAGGGCTTCTCCGAAACAGCCAGGAGAATCACAGCATGGGCGCCCAGCCCATCCGGCGTGGCTGCCTTGACATCAGCAACCAGATCACTGGACTTGGTGAAATCAACATATGCCTGTCGCATTTAGCATCCCTATTTCTATTCGACGGACTGTAACAAACCTCAGCACCAAGCTGCTCGCACATCACTCTCTTCTCATCCCCACCATCGATAGCAACAACCCGCAGCCCCATAGCACGCGCATATTGCTGCGCCAGGGATCCCAATCCACCACCCGCACCAACAATAGCAACAGTCTGCCCAGGCCGAGCGCCGGACTCCTTCAACCCCTTGTACACCGTAATACCCGCACACAGCACCGGCGCCACGGCATCCAGGGGCACATTCTTAGGGATCTTGGACGCATGCGTCGCCTTGCCAATGGTGTACTGCTGGAAGGTCCCATCAACGGTATACCCCGACAGCGAGGCCTGCTGGCACAGCGGCTCATCCGCCTGCTTGCAGAATTCACATGCGAGGCAAGACCCGTTCAACCACTTGATGCCGGCGTGGTCGCCGATCTCAAATTCGGTGACGAGTTCGCCCTTGGCCACTACGATCCCTGCGCCCTCGTGTCCGCCGACGAGAGGCATCTTGACTGGGAGGGGCCAGTCGCCCTTCATGGCGTGGAGGTCGGTGTGGCAGACGCCTGAGTAGCGGATCTTGACGAGGATCTCGTCGGGGCCGGGCTTGGGAACGGGGATTTGCTTGAGGACCAAGGGGCCGCCGACTTTCTCGGCCACTTGGGCCCATTGCATGGAGGGGATGGAGGACTTAGTCATGGTTTTTATTGGTGGGGCGAAGCTGTGGAAGAATTGAGATTGTGTGTAAGTAAAGCGATGTGATTGATGATTGATGAGATGGATCCAGATTGACTCGAGTACCTTGATGGTACTTATAGTTCTTTGGCAACTATAAGATGGAGATAAAGTGTTCTCTTGCTCCACCGGCCTCAGTTCCTTGCTATACAGGCGGGGATACGGAATGCAATTGAGAGGGGAACGAGAATTCGCAACCCAGTGGAGAGTCTCAAGATGGCACTATGAGACTGATAATTGGCCAGTATCTTTCTTTGTTGATATCTGAGCCAATACAGTTTGCTTACTGTGGAGTGAAGCGTTTCTCCGTATGCACTCCATTTCCCCAGATCCCCGCGACTACGAGTCCAGCGTCGTCCCCGTGGGGCATCATACCACACTTTCCAGATCTCCCAAGTTTCTGGCGCATAGATCGCTTCAGGTAATAATTCCGGAAATACTTCCTTGTGCCCGAGATATAGAATATAGAGAATAATAAAGTAGAAGCTAGAGCTCATCCAGTGGCTCATGCTTAGAACCCGGTATGCGGGGGGAAGTCCGACAATAGTACACACGCCAACCAATCATAGTCAGGCCATTCTGGGGCCCTTGGCGTCAGAGCACGGAGTACGGAGGACAATAACTCTACGATTCCGTTCATCGTCTAAAGTATGTCTTTAGCTGAATCAAGAACAAAGAAATAGAGTTCCGTATGTCCGAGTTATAGTAAAGCCTCTTTTCTGGTTCACTAAAATGGAAATCGAGCTTAAAGCTAATAATATGGCGGATAACTGCCGAGTGACAGCGGCTGCGGGGAAGGCCTTGTGCGGTTCCGCACAAACTCTAATTTCGAGGCCCAGACGTGATCGACCAGAGCCGTTGTCTCAAGAACGAGGCCCTAGAGGGCGACATTGTCGAGCGATCTAGTCATCTGATTAGTAAGAGCCATCCACATGGTTTCAGATATCCTGTCCCACCTTCGACATATCCTAATACATCTGAAAGTTCGGAGCCGCTCCGGGAGGGGGATGGCTTGCCAATCTTGACATAGGCCTTCCTGTTGCGGAGCCGCTGATAGAGCTAGGCCCTCCGTATCCATGAAAAATTCATTGGCTACTTGAGATTTGGGACTCGACCAACATACCTTGGCACAGAGAACTCTATCCCTATCTGTCGAACCAAACAGAACGTTGATAACGTCCTGATTGGTGCCGTAAATCGACCCTGACGGCGCAAATAGAGTTGCCAGATCCTACTATGTCTCACTCGCCTGCACTGGCAATCAAGCACCAGAGCTTGGGATCCGCATACCACAGGACTGTCGGCGGAGCCGCTCAGTAGCTATGGACGCTGATCGCAGCCACATAATCCTTTGGAACTGTTCGTCTTGGCTGTGCTACTCCGTCATAATTCTTTAGTACACATATTTAACATCGACATTAACGTCCATTACGAGATTCCATGTCTCTGTTATTGCTACTGTAATAAGACCCTTCACAAAAAAGCAATGGCCACAACATTTCATTCTCAAGGCCCGAATGGCACCACAAAGCCAACCGCAGACCCAACCGAGGCCTCGAGACCGCGAAGAAAGAAGGCTAGAAGAGCTTGCTCTGCTTGCCAGAAATCGCATCAGACATGCGGTAAGTGCGAGTTGCAGGGAACCACTAGAGCCTTAGCAATAACTGATCCGATCCGCCAGGCAACGAGCGACCATGTCAATCCTGCGTAAAGCGCGGCTGCGCAGACTCCTGTCGCGATGGCGAGCGCAAGACGCCAAAGTATCTCGAGGAGGGCTCGTATAGGGTCTTCACCATACAGTACAGCGTACCATGTCATCACAACTACGCACCCACCCCATTGAATCACACATTCGCATGCAGAGATACCAGGGTTCAGTCAAGGACACCGAGTCCAAGTTCAGGGCAAACGGTCTATCCCTACCAAAATTTCAATCCGTGGACGACCTGTGCGGAGGACCCTTTCATCGGTCTGGAATTGAATGACGCGCAAATTGAACTGGAGGATCCCTTTTTCTTGGACTCTCCCGAGAGCGATAGCGTAGACCATGCACGTCAGACCGATGCTGTGCTTGCATTTGCAATAGGAAGTGGGTGGTCGAGTACGTTTCTTCAGCCGGAGTATGAGGATTCTGTATAGCATAGTTATGTATTTAGCAAGCGTTAATACCCTATGATAATTTTATATTTTAGCCCGGATTTAGGCTCGTACTCAAAGATGACATTATCTCCTTCAAGGAAGCATTCACATGGCCTAATTTAAGAGGCGAGTCCTTCCCTGCCAGTACTATCCCCTCCACTCCAGCGCAGCTTCGGTGATGACGGTTAGATCCTCGTAGAATTCATGACAGCTCCGGACGTCAGCTATCGTGCCACCTTCAGGAGAGCTACAACGGCATTCTGGCCATTGAAATGAGTAGAAATTTGCGTTCTGAGCTCAAAACAACGAGCGTGTCTACCATACTCTATCTCTTCGTAGGTTGTTGTTTCCATGTTCACTCGAAAATTCCATCTGGCAGGTCGGATCCTGCCCCTTTGATCTTTATTAAAGTTGTCATTTACTGGATAATTCTCAACTGGTGCCCTTATGCTTCCTAGATGGTAGAGTGGTACGATTTCAATGGTCCAAATCTGCCAGGGATACAGCGGATTTCGAATTATACGGCACAACCATTCGGGGTTCAGCATTTGTACACGGAAACAATATTTGGTCATAGCTCCTCTGTGCCGACAATAACAATAACAATTGATTACTGCAATCATTTAAGCTTTGCAAGCTTAAAACTAGGCAATTGTTTGCGACAGGCTGTAAGAAATGATTGCTTACAAATTGATGATTATAAATGGTGAGATTACCAATCTCACGTCTTTTCAGAATGCCAATCAAGCCCTATAAAAGGGCTGGCCGCCATTGATTTAGCAGTACTAATTCAGCTGCCATAGAAGCTGATTTTCCCCTCTCCATCCTTCAAAGCAGTCATCTCCTCCCAGTTAATTTCTCCTAATTCCAAGAGCCCACAATGGCAGACTCAGAGAAGCCCATAGACATGTCCGTCCCCATCCGTCGCATTATCACCGCGCACGACTCCAAAGGCAAAGCCTACTTCGCCTCAGACGAGGTCCTCCACCCMTACGACCCAACCACCGCTCCACGCTTCGATGCACCCGGCCCTAACTCAGGCTTCGGGGTGATCCAAATCCACCGATCTCGTGGCTTCCCCGTCGACAACTTGCGCCCGGTCAAGGATCCGCACCGGACTCTTGTCCCTCTAGCTGATACGAAGGGTCCCTCCTGCAGGATCATTGATCTGCCTCCTGCGGAAGGGGGGTGGATGCATCGTACGCTGTCCTTGGATTATGTGGTTGTGCTTTCTGGGACGGTTGGGTTCCGGACGGATGGCGGGGAGGAAAAGGCGCTGAAGGAGCATGATGTGATTGTTGTCCGGGGGGTGAATCATGAGTGGATTAATCGTGGTAATACGATAGCGAGGTTATTTGCTGTTGTGGTGCCGAGCAAGGAGATTGTGACTGAGGACGGGGTGAGGTTGGAGAAGACGCCGGCTGGGGAGATCTATGATCCCCCGGAGGAGGAAGATTGAGCCTGTCATTTTCGAGTACTGTGTGGATTATAGAGGGAAACAAAGAATTGAATTAGATCCTTGCATACCTATTACCGTTTCAAAAACTCATATTTATATCTACAGGAGGACGTACGTAAAAACTCAGAGTGTACTGTAGGATGTCCTGTCGCCGTAGCACCCATAATGCCAGAACACCTACGGCTCCCTCGCCTCAGACCGGAGCTTCTGCTTTTCATTGATGTTCAACTCGATTATGAGCGTGGTGGTCATCGCTTGCTGTGTGCACCGCCAGTCAACGCGCCAGAACACATCGTTAAGCGAGGCTTGCCAACTTACCATTATCGTGTGCCCTCGCGCCTCTCTATTTCTCGGCTCCCACTGGTCCGGAAAGCGCTCCTCAGCAAGCCAAACCCGGAGGTCGTTCACATCGCCACCAAAGACCGAGTACATGAGAGCGTTGTTTCCGGAGCCTGAGCATAAAAGCACGCACTGGTGAGAAAGTCAGCGCTCTAGCTGGAAGGCGGGGAACCTACCGAAGAACTGATGCAGGAAGCTCCACCTCATTGAGTATTGGCCATTGTTACGTCTGCACTCTGCGCGGCGGAGGGCAGAGAAGTAGACTATGTCGTCGAGCGAGAGGGATTTGCCATTCGATGCGTGGGAGAGGAACCTGTCTACTAGGTCGGGGTGCGGGACGCCTTGGTCGGGACAGAAGGCGATGTCGGGACCTGTGCATTTCGCGAGTCAGCACACCAACGGCTTGTCCAGGAAGCCCGGATAAGGAACGTACGTGTAAATGAGGCGTCGTGCTGGATGACCTGTGAGATCAGGGGTCAGTGCGCAGTCAGGTTTACGTGGTTATTATATCCTGTGATAACAAACATTCAAAGCGCTGAGGTCCTGCAAGTCGATCCGGCCACGCCCTTGGTCAAGTTGATAGGCCGAAGCAGTGAGCTGGTCGGCGAGCGATGGCGCAAGGTTATACGCATGTTGGATGGCATGCGACAGATGCTTGTAGCTGATGTGTTTACCACTGCGGGGCAAGATGCCTGCGCCATGTTCAGATCAGCGAAGGACAAGGGCGTCGAAGCTGGGAAAGAGTACCGTGGTTGGCGAGAGCGTTGAGCCTTGGGCACGTCAGAAGTAACGTTGTGGAATGGATAGGAAAACATACGCCGGACAGGGCGAACGGGAGTCGGTGGCCGGGCTGGGCGCCTGAAATTGCGGCCAGACACCACCGTGACCTGGATGATCGGAAGGCACGACACTTCCAACGTGACGACGAGGGAGGAACAAGTTTGCGATCTGTACACGGTGTCGTCGAAGTTAGGACTCAGGAATAGGCATGAACCGAGGGGAATACACACGCAGTAGTAAAGGTCACGGATAGTGAGCCAAACGGCAAACAAGAGGACCAAAGCAATGGTAATCAGGAGGTGGATAAGTCGTCTAAAAATGCCGACAGCAGTGGTAAAGAAGTTGACCATGGTGGGCGAGGGCAATAAATAGTTGGGAACTCGGGGCAAGTAACGAATATCGTTTCAAATGAAAGAGCGAGCCAGCATCTAGCTGGGCTTCTGCTCCCAGTGGATATATGAAGGCATTTAAATCTTGAGTCCATTGATGGTCAGCTGAACCACGCATATTCTCCCAGTCTTGCTTCTTTGTCAAGGAAGCTTCCATTCGGTGAGGCTGCATAACAAATCACTGGTATAATTGTCTAATGGATTGATCAGCACTTATCTTACCCACCTTCAACTCCTTGCGGTTTAACCCAGATCCACCATAGGTTGGATAAGGTATGGTCCGTATGGATTAGCGGATTGGGTCAGCTAGTCCCACCACTACGAACCCCTCGGTCCGGCAAGACATTGATCGAGCTTCTATTTGACATCTCTTTCACAGTATTTTCTGTCGCAAAATATCAGTACTTTCATAATCAGTTTTCTTGTTCGATGCCAGGAAAGTTGAAAGAACTTGGCCAACCCTTGCTTTAAGACACAATCTTACAGACACCGGGGATATCCCCCTCGATTCAGCTGCGGGGTCAGCAAGGCATCCGTGCTCCGTGAGAGTCGCTCTGCTACATTTGCCAACTCGCGCAGTGCAAGACAACGGTGATCAGAATTCAGGTGTGACCTATTCTGGACTTTTCGAATCATCGGAATGAGTTGGATGAGATACAGGTTCTGCAGCAAGTTATATGTGTCTGATACAACCGTTTCTGACTCACTGTCCCATCACAGCCGGAAGCTAATCCAGAAGGAGAGCCCGAGTCGTCAAATTTTGTTGCAACTGAATATTAAAGTCGGGTATTGAGCTTATATACGGTGTCGACCAACGACCACGAGCGTCGCTTATAGGCCATCCACAAGTATATCCGACCGACTCTACTAGCTGACCGGCATACACAACTTTGTGTCTTCACGGTTCAGATTTTGATCGAGATTCTGCGGGCTTATTCTTCTGTCGATCATCTAAATAACAAGATGGATGAACCGGTACAACACGTTGAGCTCGCCTTCCGTCCAAAGGAAAGTTTCACCGCGCCTGTCAGCAGTATTCGGAAACCAGGGGATCAGATAGTCGTGTCTACTGAGGCGAAAGAGCACCATGCGACTCAGGGCAAAAGCCATGCAGCGAGACGCAGCCGGAGATATGCCAGGCCAGCGACTGAATCCCTGAAAATCCCGGCCCAGAAGGAAGCCCCTGTGCAGAAAGAGCCCGTGGTACATGAGTGGTCCGATGTTCCTGGACCATTGCACGAGGCTGTACTTGCCTCTCTGAAAGAAGTATGCCATGATCTAGATACCCTCGACAAGTCCGGCTACAAAGTCCGCGAGATGACCCAAGAGGACCTGGAAGGCTATGCAAAGTGTGTGAATTGCCGAGGTGTGTACTGTATCCGCTACTGATGGTATAAGCGAATATACTGAAAGCGATACAGAACGCAAGCGAGTTCTAGACACCAAATCGAGAACAGTTTGTTTCTACCACCCGATGAAACGCAACCACCAGGAGAAGCAATACAAGAATCCATGTTGTGGAAAGAAGCGGGCATGCGCCTCACTGCCGGCGCATGTTTACGCACCTGTTCAAGATTTTCTCCTGGAGAACTGGCAGAATTATCGGTTAACACCGAGTCCAGAAGCGGGACTTTGTCGACCTCGGCAGGTGGTCGCACTTGACTGTGAAATGGTCGAGGTCGAAGGAGGAAGTGCGGAAGTAGCGCAGATCTGCGCCGTCGATATCCTGACTGGTGAAGTTATTGTCGACAAATACGTGGTCCCGTCCAGGGCGGTAGCGGACTGGCGTACTCCTTGGAGCGGGATGTCACAGAAACGTCTCGAAGAGATGAAAGAGGCTGGAAAGACTGTCAATGGATGGGAAGAGGCTCGCGAAGCGCTATGGGCGCACATTGATCCAGACACCATCCTCGTGGGCCAGTCGCTCCAGCACGACCTCGACATTATGCGGATGGTTCATCTGAGGGTCATTGACACGGCTATCCTCTCCCGGGAGGCAGTAGCGAAAGATTGTAAACAGAATTGGGGCCTGAAGCGACTGTGCAAGCAGATGCTCGACCGGGATATTCAGCAATCGCGGAGCGGACATGATTGCTTGGAGGATACCATGGCGACTAGGGAGGTGGTTCTCTGGTGTGTTCGGCACCCCGATAAATTCCAGGACTGGGCTACATCCCAGAGGCAATGGAAGAAGAAGGCCGATGCTCATTGGAAATCGAAGCAGAAAGAGTCGGATAAGATTCAGGTCAAGAAGCCTCGAGAGAGTGTCTCCCAAGTACTGGCCGAATAGGGGACTCTGTTTGTGTCTATGCTGCAGTCTGGCCTTGGTGCTTTTTGGATATATCACCCGCGCTTGGAATATACTAGATACCCATAGGGCTTATATATGCATTACTCTTATCAGATCATCCTAGGCAGGATTCCATGACATGCTGGTGGAATGCCCCATATAAGATAAGGACATCTTAGATTCCTTCAGAAGGGTTAGGACCAGGCCATCGCAGTAGCGACCAGAAAGTCCTATACAGCACTTGCTGACTGCCAAGAAGAATTCAAACGTTCCGGACAAGCGACGGGTGATTGGAAGTGTCAATTTTGGCTTAGCCATGTCAGTATAACTGGTATGGCTATGATCCAGTTGCAATAGCGCTAATGCAGCCATCATTTTTCTATACCCTAGTACATGATCCAATGCAGCCTTATTTATTTTACCGGCTCTCTGATTGGCCTACTGCGTGTACTTCTGTAGTAAATTATATAGCTTTCACATGTGTCTGGCCCTAATATTCCAAGACAGGCAAGTCAAGCAAGTCAGCCTTTCTACCTATCTTGATTTGATAGACTACATATTTAACTTATTACTTGCACAAAGAATACTAGGCATAGAACTATAGCTATATGCTATAATTATGGAACTAACAACCTCAACTAACAGAGGCTGTGGTTAGCCTATTAACAGTAAGTTCTAAATCCTTTTAGAGTTTAGATTTTATGTTAGTAGTATAGGCATATATAGAGTAATACTTAGTAATTATATGAGTTATTATAACAATAATAAGAAAGTATAGCTAGACTATAATGTATTGTATCTATAGTATAAGTACAAGTATAGGCTAGTAGGTAGACTGACGGATATCTGAGCCGTTGAGTGGGCGCGGTTGTGTTTTGGGATGCTTCATCAGGAACACGATGATCGTCAAATTCGTTCCTTAATCAGTAGTCAGTATTCTGCTATGGCGTCGTGTCGAAATACCATACAGCGTACAGTTAACTAAATTCTGTGTCTTCTGCATGAGTTGTCAAATAAGGGTCATCCGATTCAGTGTGTTCGACACCTGAGCGAGTCGTTAGATCCATGTATATCCAGTTTCATCCGATCTGCGCCCTTCAGAAACATCCCTCGAAATGGTTTATTATTGCTTATCCGTGGTATAAATGGAAAAAGTGAGCACCTATAATGGCCTCCTCCGCAGAGCGTTGCCACGTGCTTCGCTGCTCGCCCTACGTGCGAGGGACCGCGGCCCTCCTGGGGTCCCTAATTTGCGTAGTGCAATATCATCGTCGACTAATTGGGATTAGTAGTGTTTTTGCATGACGCATAAATTGCCAAAATTGACAGCCCAGAAACCTCATCAGAACACATATTCTTTTCCATAACAATCATGTCTGATCGTCCCGTGGGCCCAGTTGTCACATTGCCTCCGGCCAAGCTACCCTCTGAGGATACCCTCACCGGCCACACGGTCGCTCTGACCAAACTAAACGCAGGCCATGCCGCTCAGCTATTTCCTCTAGTCGGAGGTGATGATGAAAGAATAGCTGCTCTCTGGGACTACATGGCCGACGGTCCATTCAGCGACTTGACGACTTTTCAAGAAGCCATCACGGCCAAATCGAGGTCTTCCGACCCGTTCTATTTCGCGGTCATAGACCTCCGCCAGGAAGGCCAGAACCCCACAGTGGGGCATGCTGTGGGCTATCTCTCGTTAATGAACATCGTCCCTCAAAACCTCAGCGTTGAGATTGGGAATGTGCTCTTTTCTCCGACATTGCAGCGGACGAGAGTCGCTACCGAGGCGTTCTACCTTGTTCTCAAGTACGCAATTGAAGATCTGGGGTTCCGCCGAATCGAATGGAAGTGTAATGCGCTCAATGCGCCTTCCAGACGTGCTGCGCTGAGATTAGGATTCACCTTTGAGGGGATTTTCCGGCAGCATATGGTGGTCAAAGGGAGGAATAGAGATACGGCGTGGTTCTCGATGCTACGTGATGAGTGGGAGGGGGGTATCAAGGGGGCTATGGAAGAGTGGCTGCAGGAGAGCAACTTTGACGAAAGTGGTAGGCAGAAGAAGAGCCTTGATGAGCTGCGGGTGGGAAGGCAGCTTGTAATTTAGAATTAGAGGTGGTTTTCTGCCGCATTGATCTTCTATGCACTCTTCTTACGGAAGAGGCCCAGTCCAAACAACAGAGAGGATAAAATCGTTTCTTTCGCAAGATGTCCTGTCGCACAATATATGTCCGTTCTGTTTGTCGATCTTCATTTCCATAATATTTTAAGACGCTCAGAAACATTTGTATCAACTCAGAGTTAAATTGCAAAGAAATAGAGAAAGCGACAAAAACAAAAGGATAATGCGTTAGCTGGGAGTCGAACCCAGATCTATTGCTTGGAAGGCAATAATGCTAACCGCTACACCACTAACGCTGACTTGTGAAAGGTGGCGAACTTTACATTATATGACAAACTGTCAAAAATGACAGCTCTATATTTTGCTGCCCATCTCAATTAAATGCTATGCGTGCTCAAGTCCCTGATAATGCTGACATTGTATAAAATTCGGACAGGAAACCTCGCGCATTCTTCGTACGTATTGGTACTTTCCGCCATCAGCCTGGTATAGCCGTGGCATTCAGTAGCTTATCTGTGGATATCTGCAGCCGTCACTATATATATATAGTCTACTTGCTTTCCAAGAACAAGTCACCAATTCTCCATCGGACAGTCATCCATCCAGGGGTATATTCGAAGCCACATAATTCTCCATTCGCTTGTCATCCTGAGGCTATATGCGTATTATTGATGTGATGACTCATTTCTACTCAATGCAATTTAGACCTCAAGCTCAACGTGTCTAGGGATTTAAGCGGAGTTTAGGCGTATTTACGGGTTGTGCATGTGTCTCCACTGCGAGTTTCACGACACATATATAATCCTGCATTCAAGGCATGAACTGTAGGGAGTTTCTTCACCCTTGGTTATATCCCTAATCAATAATGCCCGACTCACCAGCCACCGTCGTGCTCATCACAGGTAAATATGATCAACATACATCCCTCGAAGCCTAGACTGACTATTGCAGGCGCAAACTCCGGCATCGGCTTTGCAATAGCGAAAACCATCGCCTCAGCCTCGTCAGACTACCACGTCATCATCGGCAGCCGCTCTGCGCAAAACGGCCAGAATGCAGTCCAAGAAATTCAGTCCTCGGAGACCACAAAAGGCTCTCTTTCTAGCGTCCAACTAGACGTCACAGACTTTACCGCAATTGAATCCGCAGCAAAGCATATTGAATCGCAGTTCGGCCGTCTAGACGTCCTGATCAACAATGCCGGTGTCTTCTCACAGGCCCAATCAACCAAAACGGCAATGGAGGAGACGTTCGCTGTAAACTGTATCGGGCCCGCACTGGTCGCCGAGACCTTCAACCCCCTCCTGATGAAGTCGGCTCGTCCGTACTCGATCTTCATCTCGAGTATCCTGGGTTCGTTGTCCGAGGCGGCTGATCCGACGTCTCCGGTCCACTATTATGACGGCGTGACGTACCGGATGAGCAAGGCTGCGCTGAATATGTTGGTTGTACAGCAGCATAAGCTGTTTGCTCCCAAGGGGATTAAGGTATTCGCTGTGTGCCCGGGATTGGTTCGGTCGAATCTGAGAGGGAAGGGAGAGGAAGATGTGTCCGCTGGAGGAAGGGCTGGCGATCCGATGGTTCCAGCGGAGATGATTTTGGGTATAATTGAGGGGAAGCGAGATGCTGATGCTGGGAAGTTTTTGCGTGGTGAGAGGGTGTTGAAATGGTGAACCCTATACATAAATGGTTACGATTGCGTGGGAGAGCTCAGTATGAAGTCGGTTTCCTTGCAGGAACGGAGGATATCTTGAATATCAAGAATGATCTCTGTTGAGTTTGTATACCCTGGCTGGAGAAGTTAATCACAGTTGTCACTACAAATTGGTTATTGCAAATTGAATACTGTTCGTCAAATACGGAAGGCTTCCCTGGCAGGTCTAGAAGTTAATGGAAGTGGTCAAGCTTGCAGGTTGACGTAGTTTGAGATTCTGCTAGACTTAGGGAACCGAAATAAGTATTTCAACTGAACTGACGAGGCCTTTCAAACATTGGGTGTCAAAGAAACACATGCATATATCAACCCATCAGATCATCCAAGAACTCTCCGCGAAAACTCCTGAATCCACTCAGCCACGTCCTTAGCCTCCCTCAAATGAATCAACAGATGACCCTCGCCCTTGACAACCTCCAAGCGCACATCCGCGTTAGCGAGCCGTTCCTTGATCTCCACAGCGTCCTGCAGCGGATAGGTCTTATCATCCTCGCCATGAATCAGAAGGACGGGAATACGAATCTCCCCCAGCCGATCAAGCAGCGCATCCCTCTCCATCATCGAGTCCAGGGTAGGATCCACGTTCTCTGCGCCTGAATGGCGCTGGATCCAGTCCTGCTTGATCTGAGTCGCACGCGGGCCCTCGAGATCAGGATTGCCACCCCAGCTGAGGATAGCGGCGTTCATGATCTGGTCGCTGGGAGCAGGTGTCGCAACCCAAACATCGCGAAGCTGATAGAATCCGCTACGTTGAGCGTCGGTCGAGGCGGATGCATTGGAGGCGACGAGAACAAGGCCCGAAAATCTGGCCTGATCAAGCAAAGCCAGGCGGAGGGCGACCATCGTGCCCATGGAAATGCCGGCGATCATCACTTTGGAGAGTTCGAGTTCTTTCTGTGAGGCATTAGCTTTGCCTATGGCTGTACTGGATTAATCATACCAAGACAGCGAGGACATCCTCGGCTTGATCCCAGAGAGTAAATTCCTTGCGGCCGGCGGTGGTTTTTCCGTGGCCGTTCAAGTCGATGCAGAGGAGGTTGACATTTGGCAGCTGTGGTGCGAGAAGCTGGATAGTCTCTTCCCACATGGCCGATGACATCCACGAGGCATGGATGAAAAGAATGGTAGGATTGCCCTTTTGCAGGGGTGCCTCTGTCTGCCAATAAAGGCCGTTGCTGGCGAATCCGGAAGACATGATGATTCTCTAGGTATTTGGGTAATGATCTCTTGTTCTTGAGTCTGTAGTTAGGATCATAGAAGACGGCGAGTGTGTGTATTTATATTGTGGACAATTGATGGAACGGGCATCGTTACGCTTCCGGTTAAGGTTGGAGGATAACGTTATGCGGGACGGTTATGGGAGGACCCCGCGAATACGAACCATCTTGAAATGGTATACCCTCGTATTCATAACAAAATCTTGTGTTTCGAACAATTCTAATATACAAAAAAAATTGCCTAGCTAGTGATCTAGCCAAGCCACATTTTCGTATTAGTATTGCTGTGATTGAAACTGCCCCAAGGCTTCGAAAGTAGGTTCTGCTCCAATAGATGCTTGCAGCTCTGCCGATAATCTTTCCTTACAAAATGACAATATTTGAGCATGATGATGACTACTAGGACCGCCACCCTGCGTTGACCCTATTTCCCAATCTGGGATAAATCCAGAGAGAATCATATTAGTATGCAGGTTCTACCTGATGATGGAGCATGTAATGAAGGCAGGTAATCTAAAAGTTCGAGTGCGACGTGGTGCGACATCCCAGATGGCGTAGCGGACTGGATTTACCCGACTCATCAAACGACGGTGTCCGCTCGTCAAGCACTGGTTGCAGACTGCGTCGTATTTTTGTAGAGACTAGATGACAGTAATCTGTGTGATTTGGCATCAGGTGAGTCGTCGTGTTCGATAATATCCTGCCCGTTTGAATTTCCAGGCTTTATCTCGTAGCTCGGCCACGCACCGTTCCCATGCCCTTGGATTGAGATCGAGCCTGGAACAAGCCTCTTCATTGAAACTCGCAGTGACCAGGTCCTCTAGCTTATATAGAGTGGTAATACTTTCCCTACAGATGATGGTCCGATATTTGAACTTGTGATGAACCCCGGCACGATTAACCTAGAGCATTCTAACACAGAGAAATTGCGCCTGTAGTAGGCTCCGAAGCCGCATATGCGAGCACTGATATTGACAGTCTGAAGAGTGACGACGGCAATTTTCATCGCCCTGTGCAACAGGCTGCTCTTTATCGCACTGCAATAATTACCTGAAAATGGACAAATGCCAGGTACTTGGGGATTCTGGACGTTTTTACCTTCGATTACCAGTACTGGATCACCACACTGACACAGAGCTGACTGTAAGTGAAGAAAGTACAGTGTGTAACGCAACCCCACTGTCAAGGGCTTCTGATATGGGTGATGCGGTGAATTGCTACCTAGGGTTACCTTGCCTGTCTACAACACTAACTAGCTACCTGAATTGTACTGGGCAAATGCGATGACTCCGAAGTTTCTGGTAAACTTGGATTGGCTAGACCAAAGACTGACGAACAGAAGATCAGGCTCAATAATCAGTTCGGCGATTCGCAAATCACATCAAAGGAATATCTCGCAGGCTGCTCATATGCACCCGGTACTATAATCTTTCTGCCCCGTCAAGTCACTCCTGTGTCCCTGCCTGAGACCGTTGGGGCCAGCGCCACTCCCTCCTCTGCATCTGACACTTCCTTGCCAGGGTTCCGCAAATGCCCGAGACCCGATAGCTTTTGGTTAATCCATTGTATTACTCTGTACCAGATTGGAGTCGATAGCTGGCTGATCTTACTGTGCAGCTCCATGATCTCTCTACTTGTAGTTATGAGCTCATCATGAAAGCCCATGTTCTCTTTATGAGCAGCACACAGCTCCTCTGTCACTGTCTCTAGAGAAGCTGCAGTACTTGCAAGCTGGGAGGAGATGGAGGTATTCTTATCATTCAATGACTCCACCTCCTGTTTTAGGATGTCAATCTCTGACTGCAAGGTCTTCTTATAGTTTTCCAAGCCCAGGTTGAGAGACTGAGCTTCATGCAGTTGAGCAGTCGTTGCCATCAGCTCCATAGTTGCTGACTGTTCCCGATCTTGCAGATCTTTATGCTTGTCCTTCCCGGCGTTGATATCTGCTTGCAATGCTGCATTCTGCTTGTGCAGTTTCTCGCATTCCGCAGTTAGGTCGGTTTCCTGGTTCTTGTAGCGTTCTTGTTCTTCCTCGGCTCTCTTGAGTAAAGTTGATAGGCGAGAGTTCTCGACAGAGAGTGGAGAGTTTTCCTCTTTCTTGTCCTTGAACCTCGCGAAATCTTTTTGCAGCCGAGCACAAGTCGCTTGACTCTCCACTAATTCCTTCTTCAATCGTGCATTCCAGTTGAGATGCCGACGAAGCACCACAGAAAGAGCATCCTCACAATCCTCCTTGACTAAAAGCAAACATCTACACTCATTGATCTCTTTCTGCAGTTCCTTCACGGCTTGAATGATCTCTTCCCGTTGCTCTTCGTACATCCCGCTGATACCCTCGACACATCCAAGGATATCCTCCCAGTTAGCCACGACCTCATCCACCTGGTCATTATGATACATGCACAATGCCAATCGAGCAATGGACCGAAGTTCGCTGTTGGTCACATAATGCGGCGGTGTCCTGGCCATAGTATCTAAGATGGAGAGAATGGCCCTATACCTAGCTGGCGGGACATCCCACCGACATCGACCGCGACATCCACTGGTAGAGTGGGGGCGCGCCAGACCGACGCATAACATGCCTCGGCCTGAGACGTCGGTGAGTTGGAGAATAGTATCGGGATCCCAAACGGCGGTCGACATTTTGCACGCTTCTGTTGTTGATTCAGAGTACGCAGGAAAGAATGTGGGATGATGATGAGGGGGTTTTATGATGCTGCGCCGCATTTCTGACCCTGGTCATCTTGGCCAAAAATAGCAACACAGCCTTGTTGGTGTTGTACTTTGCGCATGTACCATATCTGTATGAGCTACCTTTCCCCGGAGACTGGGAAGCCGGAACATTATTGGAGCCTTGCCGCAGTTGGGCTGCAGTCCACTGCTTTATATGCATCTCATATGTGAGATATCCAATCATTATCACACCCCACTGCCATCGATAAAGCCCGCTTCACCCCACTGCTGCCTGTTATTATGAGACTTGTTGTCGTCTGGGTCGAATTTCGGTTTACAAACAAGCTACCGACGATGACTACCAGAATCAAGTTACCGTACTACGCGGTTGATTTGCCTTGCCAACTGCCTACCGAAGCTGAAATTGATGAGGCTCCCGATATTGCCGAGCAGTACGGAGCACGGAAGGTCGTTGCAATTGAGCCCTATTTTGTGGTGAAGTTTGGAATGGGTATAGACCTGCTCGAGGGAGAGAACATGATATTTGTCCGTGAGAGCACGAGTATATGTGTCCCTCGAGTCTATGCGCTTTATACAAGCACGAATACTGGGAAGAAGTACATCGTCATGGAACGGATTCCTGGTGAGACCCTTTTGTTATCATGGTCCCGGCTGGGCCTTTCGGAAAAGGAGTCAGTCGTTACTACGCTGCGTCGATACTTTATCGAGCTACGACAGCTTCCGCCGCCCAGCTATTACGGTAGTCTGGGCAAACGCCCTCTCCTCGACGGAATATTCTGGACACAGAAGCCAGAGCCGGCCATCAATGGCCCGTTCACCTCCAACGAGGACCTCATCGAAGGGATGGCCAGAAAACATACCCACGACTCTGGGCCTTCAATCAGAGCGGACTTCCTTCGCCATTGCCTACCACGTGTCCTCCGTGATCAGGGCCCAACCTTCACACATGGTGACTTTCAAAGGAAAAATATAATGCTGAAAATTAAAGAAGGCGATGTTGGCGACGATAACGCCGAACTGCAAGTTGTGGTCCTTGACTGGGAGAAGTCAGGCTGGTATCCAGCTTACTGGGAGTATTGCCTAGCTTATTGCGCCCTACGGTTTGATAATGATTGGTGTCTCTGGGTTGATAAAGCGCTGGAGCCCTTTATCTCCGAGGCTGCTTGGCTGTACCAGATACGTCTGGAGTTGTGGTCTTAGGGGTATAAGTTGCGGGACTTCTTTAGTTTCCTAAAACTCCGTATATACTAACGAAGCCAAATGACGCCAACGAATAACCTAAGATAAAGCAAACTTTGGCAAATTGATTCTTAGCATTTTCAAGATTAATACTTATGTGAGAATATGTCTTGCTAGGGTTGGTACAAGAGAACATACAACCTACGGAACTTGCCTCCCTGATAGATCCTCCGTATAAAGCTCCAAGCGGACGAACTTGCCAGTAAACATGGCAGGAGTACCCACCAGCACGAGCATCAGTTAAGACGGCCTTATCAACTCCTATCCAACTGAAACCGAGCTTGATTGAGTGCGGATCGGCATGAACGTATCGCAGGGAGGAGTCGCGAGACCAAGTGATCATAGGAAACTCGGCGGTTCTGAACGTGGGATCTCCGGCTAAACACAAACACACTAAACAGCTTTTTTGTATCCTCATAGGCAGCTTCGTATGCGTATTTAGTGACAGTCGTGCCTTTGAGGACCGAGAATATTTGCATATTCTTCCTGAAGAATGGTAGCTGGTGGACCAACGATAACCAGATGCTGCCCGGGATGCTGGACATTGATTACAACCCCTATAGAGCGACATGCTATGGGCTTAGCCATTCCTAGATGGTTGCTTAGATTCATAACTTTGTCAATAAGTACTATATTGTGATGAGTTAGTGACTTATGATCTACACCACTGTAGACCGGTGGACTTGCCACCCAAGTAATGCCAAGGGCTTTGGTGATAAATGTCCTCTAGCACTAGTGGTGTATAACAGCTCTCCTTTGAAGACAATCCTAAGAATTAGAAGATATAGGAGTTTCGGAGAAGTACGGGCATGGGAAGTGACCGGATAAGTTTAATGGACCCATGACCCATTTGCGAAAGCTGGCTAGTGGTTGAGTTTAGGGCTTAGTGTTAACTGTGCTTTGTGCTATATTCTGTGCTTTATTCGTGATGACCTGTGTTTTTGTCTGCCCAGGTAATAGAGATTGCTGGTCAAAATTATTATGCTGTAAACTGCATATTGGATGGTTCCGTCCAATATTCTCGTAGCATTTGCTACATGGACAACTCTCCAGCAATTACATAATTGATCATCCGCTGACTTCTCTTATCAAAAGAGCGATCGTAATCCTTTCGTTGACATAGATATGACGAGAATATCCCCCTAGGGTACCATGGTCACTGAGACTTGATATATGGGGTTTCTGGGGATGAGTTAGCGTTGTGATTGGCAATCGGCAGCCGGCCTGGCTCGCCGCAATGGATATAGGGAACCTTATTGCAGTTCTTCCTAGTAACATGCTATTACTACTATGTATAGCGTATGATTGTAAGACATACTGGTCCAGACTGCTTCCTGCTTACTTGAAAATTGAGACATGACTGGTTGTTTGGAGACAAAACAACACGTCATGCTAGGATCATTACTTGAAGCAGCATATATATACAAAGCAAACCGTCTGATTCAATCCAAGTGCTAGCCTTTTCTACAAAAACCTAACTGCATAAGATACTACTCATCGCTAATACTCTCCATTTGACACAATGCCTTCAAAACCAATTGCTTCCCCTCCCCTTCAACCTAAGAAGGTACACGGCACGACCCGCGATGACGAGCCAGTTGACGACTACGAGAACGCCATCCGCTCAAAACAACAGGAAGAAGAGGGCTCACAGCGTGCATCGGACGCAGGCAATATAGCAGCAGCACGTCGTGTTAATGCTCCGGGCGGACCGCACGAACGGCATATTGGGAACACAGGGTCTCGGAATCGATCGTCAACGGGGCATTGAATTGGTTGTCTGAGATCTCGCGGGCACCAAATTGAGAATAGGAAAACTTCTTTCGGATTGAGCTGTGGATAAAATGAGAGGTATTAGGCTGCTGCCAGGCGCTCCTGTATATTGTATTACAGTCTCGAATCAGAAACTTGCAATCACTTTTAAGACAGTTCATGCAGCCATATGGATTTAGTCCTACTATTTGGCATTTAGCACATTATTACATCATCCATTAGGTTTTCATGAGTATGCTCGGAAACATCCACAAGAGATCCACATATTTCTGCTAACATATTTGTATGAACAGTCGGAACAACCCGCAGGACAGTTACTACCTAGTTAAATGATACTCATGCCTGCATATACATGATCTAACTAAGGTAGTAGTTCTATAGAATGCAGAAAACTAAGTATCTTAGATAAGTAAATAATACCTATGCATGTAATCGCACACCCAACAAGTTTTACCACCACGGCCCACGCTGTTTGGTTTTCCTCTGTTGCCCGTATCACTGGTCCCTGACGTTCAACCATCCTACTACCGCCGCCTGAGGGCTGCTTCATCGCTTAACTATACCTCAACCCCTTTGATAAGGGAGCCGTTTTCGGCTCCCCTCGCGACTACCTTATTTGCTCCGATCCTATAAAGCCCATGATGACCATAAAACTCTCTTACTTCCTTCCCTTCACTTTCAAGCAACTTACCTGTCACTCCCACACTTTTTCTTGGCTGCTTGATTCATATGAGAAGCGACTTCCAACATCATCAAATATTTTTACATCTGAGAAATCGAGGATCCATTTCCCTCGCACGTCTTCATCTGCCATGCGATACTCATCTCAGCCGATCGGTTCTGACGAGGACAGACGGACGAGCACTGACATTCCGGATGTCTTCTCAGATGGCGCAGCTGATGGTATCTCAGCATCTGAGCCGGGCAACAGCGGCGACCAATCTGAAGTTTCTGATGATGATTCGATTCTTGACAACGAGGAGGAAGAACAAGAGCTTTCCACAATGCACTACCTCCAAGAGGCTCAATCTCTGAGTCTCACAGCTCCGACAGAACCGTTATAGTCCGAGGACTCAGGCTACGTTAGACGAGACACGGAGTTACTTACTCACCACCTCTCAAATGGCCGAACAAGCTGACTGCAGGCAAGCCTACAATCGAAAGTATTCGCAGAGACTTACGCCAATTTTGAATCATCCAGGTTGCTATATCTTTGCATAGCACGGGCAGAATCATGGCCACGAAGAAAAATATTGCATTTGATGTTATTGTTTTGAACTTAGTCAAGTTTAATGCTAGGGTGCCCCATAAGCGGCTACCGACGCTTGAACGAGGAGAGAGTGCAGCATGTGAGACGGTTGGATCTCCACTCACGTAGGGTGCCGAGCCTCACCCCCCACGTGTATTGCCTCCAAACTTCAGGTGCCTAATTTGTTGTGGCACTGCAACTCGGCCGACGCATATACACAAGACCTGGTCGATATCTTGTATGGGCCAGCATAATGCTTCTGATTTCCAGCCGACGAGACGCGTGGGGCCAAGTTAAAGAGCAGCCGATGCTTCAACCTCAAAGAGAACACGAGGATCAAACAAGGTAGGTACTGGAATAAGAGTGCTAGGAGCTCGGTAGTCGGAGCCATAGAACTCCTGTACGGCTGATCGCAGGTGTTGCAATTTGTCGGTGTCATAATCCTTTATGTAGTACCGAACCTTGGTCACGTCCCTGGGAGTTGGACCAACCGACTCAAGTGCAGCCTTGAGGTTCGCAAATGATTGGTGGACTTGCTGATCAAACTCTTCAGAGATTTTACCTGCTACCGTAAAGCCAACTTGGCCAGCGATCTCGATTATTCTTGGCCCCGGTTTTGTGACAGCAACATGAGCATAGCCTCCACCGGGGGGCTTGTGGATAGTAGCGGGGTTTGAAGTTGTGACATTCTCTGACATGATAGAAACGTGAAGTCGTAGACTGGGGATTTCAGTATGCAGGAGAGTCTCGTGGTGAACTCGAGTGGATGACGGAAGGAAGGGTTGTTTACTCCCCATGGCTTGTCTAGCCTGCCTTATAAGGAACTGAAACACGCTAACGGTCTTCTATCGTGTTTATTCTGTTTGCATGATTTACTCTAGATTCTCAGTCACAATTGTCTTGAGATTCCATGGAGTGGGGTAATATAACACTGACTTATACTGCGATGACAAGGGGTTGTTCTAGTACCAGTAAAACCTCGCTATAACGAGCCTTGATATAACGAGAGCCTCATAATACGAGATTTTTCCTTGTCTGAATGAATTTTCCATATAAATAACGAGATCCCTCGTTACAACGAGTCTGGTTAGTTTGGCCTTTGCCCCCATATAGATCTCGCTATAACGAGGTCTTCCCGTACGGACTAAATTTAGATTTGATTGTTTCAAGTTACAGTGCTTCTCGAAATCAGTCTGACCTGCAAACACATTATGGTTGTCTGCTAGTCCCGCAGCCAAGAACTTAGTTGAAATATATCATTTGAACAAATTGCATTAAATGGGGACGGCTGTAACTTTCCTAGTGTATAAAACGGAAAATTTATATAGTACTGCGTTAAATTCCGTACATATGCGAATGGAGTACATAAAATTGTCCAATAATCAGCTTGAGACAACTAGGCAATATGAAGAAGCTGACAGATAAGCTCTGGAGTCGTGCCGGCATCGCTCTTCTTATGGTCCGATTATTACCATTCCAGTCATTCCAACTTTTCCTGTAGTTAGAGTTGGAACATCAGGAGGAGTAAGATACGTAGCAGCAAATTGTCCTTCATGCCAAGCAGAGATAAAGTCATGACCTCGGGCGCAGGAACCGTCGACTGCAACGCGGCAATCTATATGATTTATGAACCGATTGGATACACAGAATCTACTTCTTTCTCCTAAAGCGTTACCTTACTCATTGCACAGAACTGCAAGAATGACATCGTTCGGACCCTAAAGTATTGCGGAGCTTACCACACTATTGCTTGCATAAGATACAGTACGATAACCTCGTGTCAAATTCTCTCCCCGTTCCAGTGGTCTGTCTCGCAAATTCGTCCCTTGTCAATCAGAAGTTGCCGGCGTACCCTATGGCTCAACGTTGGCCTCCGGCATTTTGATCTGGCAAGACATTCAGGGGAGAGTGGATTCATCTAGAGATCATGAATCGATCCACCCTTGGCTGCCGACATGGAAATGTCGCTATGTTCATAGATTCGGTCGGCATGGTACGCAGCTGAACCCCACGGTAAAGCAACCCCGCGTAGTAAGAAGTGTTCGCCGGCATGGTTTTCCACCTCGACGTCAGGAAGGCCGGCAGACGCAGAACTCGTAGCGACGAACACGCTCCGAACCTGAGGATGCGCCGTGAGCTCTGCAAAGGAAATCGGCTTGGTCGTTTTGTCGTCGGAATCAGTTTCGCCGAAGATAGGCTTATAGCAGCCCCAGGTCACGGCCACCGCCTGTCCCGTTGCGGATTGACTGGCTCCAATAAGAACGCCACCGAGAATCCATCCAGCGGGGTTCCAGATGTTGGTAGCCGCGACCCCTGCCGCAGCAGTCGCAACACTTTCAGCAGCAACAGCGGCACCGAGGGTCATCTCCGCAGCGGTAGCGGCACCAGCCGCATGGGCAGCGACAGCAGCAGAGAAAGCAGCTTCGGATGCAGTGGTCGCGACCGCAAGTTGGACACTCGCGGCTTGTCCCATAAGGGGTACAGCGACTGCCGCGCCACCGCCACTCGCGAATACTGCAACCATGAAGACCGCTGGTTGCGAGGCGCGTGGTTTGAGGTGAGAAGTACACTAGAAAATATTCCAAACACAGAGTGCTTGGGTCCTCTGAGAGAGAGAGAGAGAGAAGGAAGGTCAAACCAAGGGCGCAAAAAGGCGTTTGAGTAGAATGCCAGTTTGACCAGGTTGGAGTCTGCCAACAGGTTTCAAAGACAGTTGATGGTGGCCTATTTATACACATCGCCACTTCTTATCACAAGCAATGATCAATTTTGAACCTTGCCCATTGCGCAGCTCTTTTACTAAACGAGACTGGTACTGAAAGCCTTCTGATTGTCACGAAGACCCTCCACCAATACGGCGGGAGCTGGCGTCTACCCCACGCAAAAAGTAGTCCTTGATCAGGTAAAGCGCCAAATAAGCGAACAAAAGTTGCAGGAAGCTGCACTTTGGTGGTCGCGGCCAATGGGAATCGCAGCACCCATCAGACGTTGGAGACCAACGTCATCCAGTCAATGGAGAGATGTATGCATGTGCACGTCAGCAGGKCAAACAAGGCGGATTAGCCAGATCAGATTCGCCTAGGGCTGTTTCCTTTGTGTCAAGACTCCAGCCTGATTCCAACCAAAGCTAGAGCTCAGGACAGTCGTCGAGTGAGACCTAATGCCGTTGAAGTATTGGTTGCCGTGCCCTCATTCTGCGGCCTGTACGCTCCTCCTCTCCAGCTGAAAAGGTTATTGGAGAAGTTGCATTCAAATACATATACCTCGAATTTCGTCGGCGCCAAATTGGAGAAAATCTCAGCACGATTCTGTCACCTCCTTAGGATAATCCAGCAAAGTTGCCCTAATCTCGTACACGTCCTAGCCCCTCAGACCATCACGATGCCAGATAAAAGCTATTTTGTCTACAGTTACTTCTACCGGATTGAGAAATGGACACTGGAGGAGATCAAGGCGTACTTTGAGGGCCAGCCACCCGAGTACCAGATCAAACTCACGTAGGTATTCGAGACCTATTAACTCCGTAGAATATTAATGTTTCAGCAGAGCGTATCAGTGGAAAACTCGGTTGGACAAATTAAAGATATTCAAAAAACTATCCCTGGAGGAGAAGATATATATCAGGGCCAAGCTCGCCGAAAGAAAAGGAACGTGGTCTCGCTTGTTTTTCGTGGGCCACGTACTTTTCGAGAACCCCGATATCGAGACCCTCTGTAAGAGGATTGGACATTTTGATGGCGATACTGATCCTCCAGGTCGAAGAGAAGTGGTGTTTATCGACCTGCCGTTTGATTTTGACAGGCTCATGCAGCCCTACGAGTTTAGGAATTTCCAGCTACTTCTGTTCAACGCGAGAATCCATTTCGAAGATTCGTTTGCCCGCGGTATCTGGGCACCAGATCACCGAGGGCTATACGGACGAAGTCCGACGCTACAACTTGAACTCAAAAAGCTTAGTAGGCAACATAATCTTATCTTCGACGCTCTGAAGAAATTCAAAGTGAGGGACGAGCCCAGCGCCCAAGCACTACTACAGACTGCAAGATCCTCCTACGGAGAGATTGTCAACAATACCCATCATCGTCAGTTCCATGATATCCTCGCTATCTTATTCATGCTTCATCGTGCCGGGAAATATGAGTTCCAGAAGTCCATGAGAGACAATCTTTTGGCCTTGGCGAGGATCCTTCTGCCGGAGAACGACCCTCGCAGGGGGATGTTTGAGTGTCTCGAGCAGCTCCGCCTAGACGAAATCGGTCAATATTACTCTGCATTCAACACCTACTGCCGCCATCTGTGGGGTCAAAAGGCCGGGGATGATTATAGGGCCTATTACTCCTACCATCAGGCCAGCTTTCCGAGAGTCCCTCAATGTGGATTTTACAGCATATACGAAGGAAAAAGCATATATCAAATTCAATCGATACTTACTTGGTTCGACACGAGCTTGGGAATGTACAGCCCGGAGACCTCTTGTTTGTGGCTCACTGCCCTTAACTACCTCTGGCATGAAGGAAAAACGCAAGACCTGATATCGGTTGGGCGGCTTCTATGCCAGCGCATCGTTTTACTAGGACCACGCAGACGGCTTGAATCCCAGCAACTAAACCTTGACGGCTCGGTGGCGCGTTTCCTACTCGCTAGGGCCGAGGAAGCTGAAGGGGATTTGGATTGCGCGAAATACAACTACCAGTATGCGGTGGATTTACGAAATGAGATAATTCCCAGTGAGACTTGGGATCCGATTAGAGTCGCATCGTTGGAAAGGTTACTTCTGTTGCCTTTGAGTTTGGGCGACACCTCAGCTTGGGAGTGCTGGGATGCGATGTTGAAACGAATGTATAACAGTGCCTAGGACAAAATCTAAAGGAAATAACCAGGAATCGAAGCATTCCGCATGACCAAGGCAGTACTGGAATCCCCAAAGTGATGCTTATTACACCTTAACGTGACGCGCTCAATTCGAGTTATTGGCTGACGCGGATTTGACGGCGGGACATCCCCAACCCAGAAGATATTCGAGCTGAAAGTACAAATGGCATCAAAGTCCTAGCTGGAGGGAATGAGCATGATCATCAGCTGCGGAAGTGGAAGACCTTAGCTGCAAAGCTACGGCAATCTCTGGCAGTGTGACCAACATCAACAATGCTCACAAAGCTGTTGCGGCATGCCCATCCCCACTTGCAAGCGCGATCCAGCTATCAATGGTCCTTAAGGTAAGCGTACACTGATACAAACGAGGAGCGTGGAACGATATTAAATACATATCTGGCAGGCAGGATCGTCCTATATCAGCTATGTCGTATACTGACTGGATCAAAGTGACGGCTCCCAACGTTACTGGAACATGGAACATGTTAGTAAGAACGCCGATACTGGTAAGAGTTACCGCAATGCGGGTGTACGCTGGCTCAAGGAGCGAGATATCCTTGAAGTCATCCAAGCAGTAGTTACTGTCACACCTCCAACCCGGATTCCGGACGTCGGGATAACTGACCGGAACCACTTTGCCATTGGACTTGAGTATACAGAACAGTCCGTGGTGGCTGCAAACGATCATTTCTTGTCAAGAGATATCCCACTCAGTAGGCATTCCAACCTGCCGGCCGCAAATACTGACCAGGATGCTCGAGGAACAAAATCCAGCCTTTGAGAATTTCTCCCCTCCGTTGCTGCCAACCCTGCTATCCTTGAAGAGGCCGACATCCTCCCTTTACTGATGAGGACAAATTTCTGGGAAGATTAACTCCCTGTTGCTGCATGCAGAAGAGGACCTGGATAGCACTGAATCCCTATCAGGCGTTGGAAATTGACTCACTGGGAAAAATTGAGATCAGCAACCGGTGTAAAACCAGCCTTGGGTTGGATATTGTGGTCTTTGATATCGCAGCTGCTGAGACCATTGCGAAACTGGCGCAGATTGCTTTAGACGGTCTACGAGCGAAATTTGTCAAATAGGCACAGGCTTGAGATCAGAGCCATAATTTCTGTGGAATTTACTAAGTGACAAACAATAGAGACATAGGCTCAATGATTTCCTTTGCAGTTACCCTTCGTCTATGGATTGGATATGGATATCAAACTCTCCGAATGTCGGAAGATGGTTTGAACTTCCATGGACATCATCAGTACAATGCATATACATCCCAGTATAATATTATGGGCTTCTAAAGCCAAGTGATATAAGGGGGAAAGCTAGATAGGATATTCGGCAACGTCAACACACACCTGCAGAGGCGGAAATCACGCTCAACCTGACTGGATTGGATTTATCCGTACGACTCCTGCAGCCAGTCTGAACTTGTTTACATTTTACCATTCCCGCCCCCTATATGGTAGCATGCACTGTAGCGATATCGAATACCATTATGATTGGTACCACGATATTTACCTCTGAGATAGCAGAGTACATAAAAGAAAGAAATCAAGCTTCTTACAATCCCCGTAAGGTACCGTACCTTAGGAGCTACCAATTGTTAGGCACGATGACGGTGGGTTTGTAGATTATTTCTTCAATGTTGATATCCTTGAATCACGTCGCCTAAATACATTGGTAGAAGTAACCTTCACGAGCAAAACCATCTTCCAAACTTCTCGAGACCTGTCATGCCCATTAACGCTGATTGCCCCCTTATCTAGCGCATCTTTTTCTAGGCGGCGCTCGCACGAGTACTGTAGAGCAGCTGGTGGATCTGGATTAGCAATCACAATATCATCTGATTGGGTTCCTTCCTCGATGCCGCAAATATTGTGCTTTAACCCTGATTCTTCTGCAGACATTCCTGCGATTGAGCGTTGGCAGATGTCCGCATGGACTTGCGCGACCCCCGCTCTTCTGGAGCCGTGATTTGAAGTTTGACATCAGCCATTCACGGGCTGAGAGGTGGATAAGAGAGACAGTTTTCTCTTGAGATTTCCCAGTTGTCTGGGTTGTCCGACGTTTATAGCATGTTCGAGAGGCATAGTCTCCATCCGGCCATCTCATCCAGGCTACCCTGGCGCCCTTCTTTGGGCAGCCAGGGCATTAGCATACCCTAGGTATCTTTTGGTTTTGCCCCGTCAGAGTGCCAATGGCTTTCACCCTCGTGGTTTTGGATCCAGAAATTACATGTAGTTCATATGTATGAGCCATCTTCTTGGTGGCCGTGGCCGTGTCGAGGGCAAGCAGTGCAGGCACAGACTCTGTCATCTGGTACCCGCAGCGTTCTGGGCGGCTCTACAGCTGGGTGCTCATGCTGCTGATTACCCTCCTTCAGAAGGTTATAGTACCTAGAGCAGATTTTGCGTCCATCCTCTTTACGGACATGCTTCAGCCGGTCTTTGCCTGTGATGGGGCAACCATTACAAGCACAGTGGACTTGTGAGTGATGAACATGTGCCTTGGATGTCCCCCAGGCTTTTGCATGCTGGTGGCATGCATTGCACATCCATGTGCAATTTGGTTGAAGGTAGCTTACTTCGTAGCCGACCTTATCGCAATCACCACATGCGCAGGAAACGATTTTGAAGCTCCTCTTCCGGAGCATGTAGAGTTGTTGGGTATTAGCCGGATCTGCCCTCTGCTCTTTTACAATACCACCTCAATTAAACGGAAGCATTGGCTCAGTAGAGGGGTTATCGCTGGCAACAGTGGCATGGATGGGCTGGATCCTTTATTTCGACTTGCCTTGCGAGATACCTTCCTAGAGAAAATGGGAAAATGTGCGCTAGCTGTGTTCTCGCAGCCTTCATGCTTAGTTGATCAGCTTTGTATTTGCGCTTGGCTTCGGGATCCCGTAGATTAGAGACAACGCCGTGATAGTTGTCCCGTATAAGGCACATTGTCTTCGGGCCCTTTTGATCTTTCTGGAGCTTGACTGCCTTATTTCACAATTTATAACGTCGATATGTACTGGCAGCCCTGGACCGAACTGACTGCCTCGAGTACAACATAGAACCACGCATGCACTATCACCGACGAGGGCATATTTCGTGCGTTGAGCAAGTGCATTGTCGCCTCCTTGGTCTAGCTGCGGAACTTGCTCTTCACTGTTGCCCACCGCCTCTGATTATGCTTGTCGCCAGTGTGCTGAGCAACCCAAGGCTGGATATCGCGGCGGACGCAGGAATGGTTCGTATAACACTCAGTATAAAGGCGTTGTAAATCTAAGAAGGAATTCGACCATTAGAAGTACATGTGGACTGGAATCCAGTCTGAGGCAGAGCGTAAACGGTTGTGTTTCAGTGTCGAACCATCGCATCAATTGAGGGCTCGCCGATGTTCGCATGTCCTTGACCAATAGTAAGCTTCATCACCATGTCCTGAGGAATACGCCATATCCTAGGGCTTCCAAGTCCCCCAATGGCTTTTCGAATGGTTGGGAGTGGGGCACCATGCCACTGCTTAGGTGCTTGGGTGTTTTGTGCCCACGGGCTATCGCACAGATAGACCCGAGTATATTGCCCTCCTTGGGCGACATCCGTGATTTTCCCCTGTCTATACTGATACAGTGCTTATTCATTGGGCATCGGCACTCTTCTCTTGGTAATATCGCATTGGCGGCGAATCCTGTCCCTTAGTTCAAAACGGATAAAGAAATCCAGACCACTGGGCACGAAGAAAAACATACTGTCCTGAGCGTTTTACCATCGGAATGCCAGCTTCGATCGTAACGTCGGAGGGCTCGGAACATAGTCGCGAAGACCCATCTTTGATGGGCATCATTCGAAGCCACAATGTGTTTGTCACTGTGTCGAGTTCGTCCTCGAAGGTGAGCTGAGACTAGAACAATAAAATAGCGCAGCTTACTGAATTCCAGAGCTGTCCAGACTCTTGCCGATTTCCTCAGCGTCCACCGAGGGTTCAAGGATGCGCATGGACACAAGCTCTTCATGGCTGGACAAGCTTGAAATAGTATCAGAAATATATTTGATGGATTCAATCTATTGTGGTTATTTTCCATCTTGATGATCGTTTCGGAAGGGATGGTTGTAGAGTTGGTAAGGAGGGAATTCATAGTTCTGGCCCGGTGAGGTAGGGCATTCACTAGAGCAATAGGCCGATCAGCTTACATTCACTGCCTATAGCCTACAATCCTGTAAAGGCTGCAGCTTGTCATTCAACGGTGAATTTTAAACTAAGTAAGCTGAGTCCCAATCCATGCCGGTCTGGCCACCTGGACTAATATGGATCAACACCCTAGGCCTGTCCAGCGGGCAGCCACTTTCTGGCCATGATTTTTGTCGAGCTGGGAGTCTCAGACTAGCTCGAGGTCCCCGTACTGAGTTTCAGTCGTTGGTTCGTAGATCGGTGGAACTCCTTGACTTCATTTATGCCATTTGCTATCGCCGTGCCTGTAACCTCTCTGGTTTCCCATAGGCTGAGCAATATAACTGCACTGTGTATGTGGATATCTCCGCGTCGAAACCTTCTGATTATGATCCGTATCTATTGACTGATCTCCTACACTTTACGCTTATGTGCTAACCTCTTGCTCCTGCGCCGATATTCGGACGCCCGTCGACAGGCCACACATTGAGCGTCTTCATCAAAGAAGTGGTCGTCCCTGAACACATCAGTCACCCTGAGACGCCATCCTCTGCAAACGGGGATACTCACCTGTCGAGCTCACACTCGTGGGGAGCATCCTCTGCGCAACCATAGCACATGGGCTGCCGATATGTACAATCATTCAGCACTCGAATGATCTGACTCCACATGTCGTACAAAGTACCAGTAATGGTCGAATTGTCTCTTTCACCAGGCCCCTGGTCCTCCCTGCAAACGGAAACACGTTCAATGAGAACAGGAGGCCCATACTCGACTCTCTCAACCTCGACCCATCCCTCTCCATTGTCGATTTCCAAATCCTCCTCCCGCACACAATCCCACATATGCGTCTCCATCGCTGGCGTGACATCCTGGTCAAAGCATACTACCCACAGCCCCCTTTCCTCGACATCATCCCAGCATCGACAGTCCTCAGGTACAACTAGGACAAAACTGCGGTATCGCCAATCATGTCCGTAAGAATGCTGCTTCCAGAACCTCTCTGTGCATGCCCAGGTCGGGACGATATGCGGCAGGGGTTGTTTCCCGCGTAACTTCCGCACGGCTTCCTCGGCATCCTCCTCATTATCAGCCGATGCCCTTTCCTTCCTGTGCATTTCCTCCAGGGCTTTTCTTCGGTAGATCTTCTCAGCGCGGTGGTGCTCCATGCACTCTTCAATGCTTCCCAGTGGGGAGTACACGTCTACACGGGGCCAGTAATTGTGTAGATTTCCACTGTTTGCAATACCGTGGCTACCGAGCAATTTGGACCCAATTTCTTCCGGGGTCTCGTTTAACTTGGATAGAGTATACAGGTGAATGCTCAATTTGATGATGGTCGATGGGTTGGAGCACGAGCTCGGCGTTCCTCCGACCACAGTATAGCTGTTTCCACGATGGTCGCGGAAGACTTGCGGCTTGTGGTTATATCGCCATCCAAACGCCACTTGCTTCGTTCGTGCCATTGTGTCTTGAATTGAATGATGGAGGACTCACTGATGGAAAATGAAGGTTAAAAGAGGGCTTCCATTATTCAATGTGGGACTGGAAGACTGGAAGCTTGTTTTCAACGATCCAATAGGAGGAGGGGCTGATCAGGCAGATCTAGGCACCTGCTTACCTAACACCGGGTCTATGAAAGAAGTTTTTTGGGATTGACAAAGACCAATGGAATGGGTCGTTACCCTATGGGAACTGTAGCTTTGCAATAATCATGACTAGCACTAGCATTATCTGCTACCTAGGGAGTTATGCTCTCCGTTTTTGAGATGATAATTTGATTCTTCAGCTGATCCAAGCCAAGATTACAGGATCTGTGAATTTACAACCTATATTTACGCCAACCTTAAGCGGCGTCTGTTCCTTGGTGATATGGAAATTTTATCTACATGCCAAACCAGGCTTCGAACACCAAACACGCATTCGAGCATTACGGGCAGGGCTTCGGATAACACGAGCAGCTCTCACACTTCGACATACGGCCCTGTTTGATGTTTCCCACCTACGACAATTGTGAAGTAGTACTAGACATCGTAAACGCGTGCATCCTCCCTCATTAACGTGACAATCTTTTGATTGTTTCTATAGGCCCTCGCCTCTGTGATATTCTCTGAGTCGCAATTTAGAGGAATGTGGCTCTTAACACGACACTTTGAAGCGGGCCGCCGAGGCAATATGCTTGTTCCTTATGCAGCATGAGGCATGATCGTGGCTTTATTATGAGGTACTTTAAAGAATTCTAGTATTACGTATCGGCAGTCCCAAAGGCATGTCGGTCATCCTTGTGGCTATTTTCGTGGCGCCCGAATGCGGGCCAGCTTGAGCAAGCACATTTAGAGGAGAGGAATGCTGCTGTTCCCACCACTCTGGGCGAGGAGATTTAATAGCATCGGAAGCCGCTTGTCCTCGATCATAGTCGTAGAATTGTATGTAGAGTTGTATACCGGGCTGGTGTTTGTGACGACGCTGCTGTTACCGGAGACCTGGACCTCGTCTCTCTTTGAGTACCCGGGATAAACAGGCGGGATCACGCACGCAGTGTGCGCGGTCTCGAGGTTCCCATTAAACGCCGAGACGCAGAACTCGTAGTTCCACGTCCCAGGGAATAGGAAAGCCACACCGTACGTCGTCGCAGTTGTCTTGGCGCCCGGGTTGAACTTGTTGTCCCGCACGCTCCGGACATAGACCGCGTATCCCGAGGCGCCGGCCGAGGCGGTCCAGCGGAGTTGGACGGTGGTGGGGTCAACGTTGGTAACGGCCAGGTTCGTGGGCGGCGCGGGCGCTCCTGCGCCGACGATGACCTCGAGACCCGCCGCCGGCAAGCCTCCCGCAGCGTAGGGCTGCCCTGTCACGCTGCTCTTCAGATTGACGTAGGTAGCCACCCAAGTTGCGTAGCGGTGCCCGGGTTTCAACCCACCGACAAACAGACTCGTCCCCGATGCGGCGTGTATCTCGATGAAAGCCCCCTCAGTGTCCCTGTCCCACACGATCACTCCGTACCGGTTGACACTGTACCCCGTAACGGGTCCCCAGGAAAGCTGGATGCCGTCGGCCCCCGACGGCACTGCCACGATGTTTGGGGGCCCCGGAGACGTCTGCAGGTGAGTCGTAGCCTTAGTGATCTCCGACCAGCCGGACACATCGCCGTTGTCACCTCGGGTGCGGACCTGGAACTCCCACGTCTGCCCGTCTAGCAGCCATGTGCTCCAGCTGGCAATAGTGTCAGGGAAGACCTGGCCCTCAGACCACCAACTCGTCATCCCCTGGACTCGAGAGCGTATGTCATAGCCTCGGGCGGTTGGAACCCTATTCCAAACCGTCTGCAAGCCCTCTGGGAATGAGAAAGTTTGCACACCGGTTGGCGTGCTGACGACCCTCGGCTCCGGGTTGGCCGGAACCACGAAGTCCGGACCTTGAAATCCAAAGTCGGCCTTAAGGCTGCGGGCAAAAGCCTGCGCGATATGGTACTCGCCCATCGAATTAGGATGCAGTCCATCGTAGCCGTCAGGACAACCCTCAGGGCGGCAGTTATAGTTAGCGTTGACGTCGACGTAGGCGATGGGAGACTCGTATCGGAACCAGCTTGGGTACCTGTCGCGCAGCAGCTTGTTGTACGTGTTCGTCTTGTCGACAAGGTCCTGGCGGCCTTTGATGAATGAGCGGTGCACCACGTTGCCCAAAAGGATCTTAACGTCTGGCTTGCCCTCGCGCGCGTTCTCCACTAGTGCCCCCATGTTGCCGACAAGATCTTCAGGGCCGCTCACAAACCAACCCAGGTCATTGAACCCGAGAAGGACAAAGAGATAATCTGGCTGGTGCTCCTTGACCCAGGCTTTGATGGTATCCTTCGACTGCGCCACCTGCCGGCCCCACCACGAAGCATGATGGGAACCGCCGAAGAAGCCCGGCACCCCGTCAGCGTAGAGACCGGTCACTTCTTTAATTTCCGGAGCAGTTTCTCCCGGGAAAAGGGGTGGCTGCGGCAGGGCGGCTTGGGGCAGACCCGGCCCATGTGTGCCAAACCAAGGCCCGACGAAACTGACATCGTAGCCCAGATTATCCTGTACTAGAAATGCCGGATCAGCTATTAGCGTCCCACACACAATAGCCTTGGCTAAGGCCGGCAGACAGGCACTCACACCAGGCAAAGATACGCCAGCGCCAGGTCCAGTCGGCCTCCATCCCATGCGAGATCGAATCTCCTACCACCATCACTTTGGCACTTGGTTTTGGTGGTTTTGGTGGATCGGGTTGGACTGTGTAGCCATCGCCGCCGTCCGTCTTGCAGGGAAGGGCACAGTTGCCGCCCCAGACGACACCGTTCTGCGAGAACTGGTCCCTTACACCGGAGGAACACAGGCCTCTGCAGTCCCCGCCATGTGAATACTGGCACGCGCTAATATATCCCTGAGACTCTGCAGTACATCAGAGATTTGGGCGGACCATCTATAGCAGACATGAAGTCTGAGCCACGGGAGACATCCACTTACGCCATGTATTGAGGATGATGCTATATCCATTGTGGTAGAAGATGTACTGAGGGTTGCATATACCCTCAAAGGGGCACTTTTCAGTATCATTAATGCCGCTCCAGGCAACCTGATCTGTTGCAGTAAACTGGACACTGTATTTGCCAAGAAAGTCGTTTTCGAAGTAGTAGATGGGCGGTGCGGTGGTCTGTGGGTTAATCCAAGCTATGCTAAAGTGAGCGTAAATTTAGTGCTCAGTATGGTATGGAAGCATCTGTGAATAGGCTTAGTCCACTTACTACATGTTGTCATTGGTGTCGGGATTCTGGGAATCACGCGCCCAGGTTTGGAAGAGTCCCTCGCTGCCGCTATGTGTCTGGAAATACGTGCGACAGTGGTCGGTGCTTGTCCAAATATTGTACTCATCTTTCGTAAAGACGCTCAACAGGTTTGCAAATAGGCCTCCTATGATGTCTGTGCCGGCGCGGCCAGCTTCGAAGGCGATTTCTAGACCAAGGATGGCAGGGACGACAAACGGAAGTACGCGCCTCCGTAATGAGCCCTGCATATAGTTGGTGAGTTCATCGACAGGCACAGAAACTCTTTCGCCGTCCTTCAACATGGCGAGTATGTGCTCGTGTCGGGCTTGAAGCTCCGCCAGAACATTTGGATCTGTGATCTGGCGGCCTCCCAAGGGGTTTTCAGTTGAGTTGGGGGGAGGTATGGCTGCCGCCAACAACAGCAAAGCTGCGAGACATAAGAGAACCTTCATTGTGAGCCTTGTGGCCACTGTAGCTGCAGGTGATGAAGTTCGACTATGAGAGACACCTGGTGTTGTGTTGCTGTTTAGGAGCTTGGCTAGACGGTCTTATAAGTTACATCTGAAGGAGCATAAGATGGCTCCATCTCCATTTTATTACCGAGTTAGGTAGCATTCGCTTTCGTTGCACTTTAGAGCGGCTGCTCGCAGGATCTTGATCCTGGAAAAGTACGATTTCTTACCTGTTTTAACCTGGTAGCTAGACCTTGTCTTACCATACAACCCCCATGGGCTCAGCTTGTTAACTACTGCAATCGATCCGGTGGTCACCACTTCTCGTCATCAGCCAATGGTGCTGGTGTTTTCTTGTTGGTAACAGAGCAGCTGAAGGCTGTTCTTTACGCCAGCACCGCCGAAGTAACATCACTGCATGCCTTGGCACTGACCAGTCCAAAAATTCCTGGATGGCGCAGCAGTAGCGCCATCTGGGGAGTTAGATAATCTCGGAGAGCCCGAACTGGGTGGGGGTTTCCAACTCGGCTTCATAGGGTTGGATTATGTGGAGCTCGCGGCTTTCGCTGTGGGTGGTAGCAAAAGGAAGATAGGCCAGGCTGTGTCTGACGTGCCCCTGGCCGTCTGATGGAGATACAGCTCGTCAGAGAGCAGCTATAGAAATCTCTGGAGGAGCCAGGCTGTCGAGGATTGCGTCTTCTACAAGGTAGCCAACTTGCCAATGCAGTCCGGCGCGAGGCCTCGACTCGCATAACAAAGTGCGCCAAGAGAGGAACGGACAAAAATTCCGCGGCTGAAAAGGAGGGCCAAGCAGTCAGCACTAATGTGAAAGCAGGGTTTTGAGAGGAGCTTACTGTAAGCGCGCCAACATCCACCTTGCTGGTAAATGAGAAGATAGTGCACTTACCGTATTCTAGATTATGTGCGGAATACAGTCATTTTGTGTAAATTTAATCTGTGGCTAGTCTTGGGTGCGGCGCTTAGAAACATATTAAGTGTCCTTGGTGGTGAAACTGGTTTTGATGCTCACTATAGGTGATTAAATGCCAGAGCAACCATTTAGTTAACACCCCCCTACTAATTAGTAGAAGTCAGTTATATGTGATGTCCAGTGAAACTCGTCAGACCGGGAATAATCTATTAACTATATTTTATGTACTTGAGAGTCAGACAAAGCCACTGGGGAGATATTGCTGGCATTCACCCATGCACCTGCCCTTTGCCCTGATTAATCACAGCCCTGTAACCAACATCACTCTCAGGATATACGAGACTCTAGAAGCCTTAAGACTTAGGGAATCTGAAGTATCAATGCTTAGAAGGATCTCGGGACAACAGAGGACTGAATTCAAAGTCAAGGATATAATACTGATTATTAAATCCGAGTAATGAATCTTCTACTAGGTAAGTTAATCTTCCGATAGGCTAATATATAACATACAGGGTCCTGAATCTGCTGATGAATTCCCCACACTATTTTCTTACTGTGTCCATGGCAAATTTGTAATAATAATGCTCAGACAGCAAAGGTCTAGACTTTGGATTTGTCTTGGCCATTCATAAGAACTTCCCCTTGGTTGGCAAAATATATATATTCAGCACAACGCATAGTTTCACACCTATGATATCGGGCTTATGCTGCTGCCCCGATTCTGATATTCCTTAGGATGACGGTCAGCCCTCGCCCTTCGCAGCTGTGGGCTATATTGATGACAAATGTATTGGTGGCATACAGGTCTCTCTTTAAACCGGTTCATAGGCGTAAGCACTTGTGCTAGGTCGATGTCGACGAGGTGATGCGCTATAGCATCGTCATCTCGCGCATGATTTGCCAGGTTTATATAAGATGCTTTTGACCCTGGACCGTATTGATAATCATTATAGAATCTGGGCTTCACCAAGGCTCTATCCAGTCGTTCTCAAAATACCAGTAAACTATCAGGAAGACGGAAACGAAAACATGTAACACGTCACTTGACCAAACGCATCGCCAATAAAAAGAGTATTTTTGAACATCCTCCAGGTACTGCGATGTGTAGGTCGTTTACCTGCAGGGATATAGAGAAGATTCTTCCCCTCCCGACTCACCCACTCGCCGTCATATCTCAGCCCGTCAATTGCCAGCCAATCGTCAGAGGTCAGCAGCAGCGGACTGACAGAGCCATTGTCGAGGGTCAATCGTCCCACGTTCGTCAACAGGAATTTGCCGTCGTCGGAGAATGAAAGCTCGGTAATTAATCCTTCGAGCTTGGAGGTCTGGGTGCAGGTTCCGGTAGCAGTATCCCAGAGAGATATGCCGTCAACGGACGAAGAGGCAAGGATCTTGCTGTCCGGCGAGAAGGCTGCCCCGATATATTGTTCCCGTGGGTGTTGTCTAGAGTCCGGTGGGAACCAGTTTCTGTCTCCAATAGGAGCACCTTCCGGGATGAGAGAGCGGCCAAAAACTTCCCATCGGGGGAGAAGTCTACATCCCTGATGGAGAAGCCTTGGAAACTGTGTTTAGAGGATCCAGTGGCCAGATCCCAAAGCTGTAGGGTCTTCATTCCAATATCCTCCGCCGCGAGGGTGTTGCCGTCTGAAGAGAACACCAGCCTTAGAAAGTGTCTCCCGCCGAGTTTGAGAGTTTGCAGGCGGCTGCCCGTGTCAACATCCCACACACACACTGTGCCCTCCACCGACCAAGATGCGAAGATTTGGCTATCTGGAGAAAAAGTGACAGAACTTAACCTTTCGTTGGGGTGCGCGAGTGTATGTGTGCAGACACCGTCAGCTGTCCAGAGTTGCATGGTGTTACTTGTTGAACCCCACAGGAGAACGGTATCATCTGGAGAGGAGGACACGAAATTAATCGGAGCGCCCAGCCCCGTCGAGGTCTGCTCCGCTTCGCAAACTGAGCCGTCCCAGACTTTTACAGTCCATGCTAATAGCTGTAAAGAACAAGGTTCATCGCTACGGTCTCAGATGGTTAATGATCAAAATGCCGGGAACGGTGACATTTTGCTTCTGAGAAGTAGAGTGCTCAGGAGATTGAAATGTGAAAGAGACGACGACACTAATGACGGGAATGACCTTGGTTCGATATGACCCCGGTCATACGATGCTGGTGATGAGTGGAAGAGCTCGAGCACAACCCTGCAGGGCCCTGCAACGTCCCTATCAGACAAGAAACTAATGGGTAACAACTTCAGATATCAGTAGTTCTGCGGGAGGCACTTACTAATACGTAACTTCCCAGAGATGCTGGATGTGCTCCCAGCGCACTCAGTGACCGATGCCATACCGGCAGGCTGCGTAGTCGATGGCCAGCGTGAGAGCAAGGACCACGGAGGGGCGATGGATGTTTTCCTGGTTCCGGAGAAAACAGCCGTTGGCTTCCAGAATGTCTGTAGGTATGTAGAAACTACGTTTAATCAGTTCAACAATGTGCAATGTCCTTGGGCTGTTTCCGCAGGCCGACCATGGGCTGGCCAACTCTTTCTGCCCATTTACAAGGGACAAGTGTCCGACTTATACTTGGCCACAGGAAAGCCATTTTAAAAGTAAGCACCGAATCTCGGATATTTTCTGGCCTCTCATCAGTACATTTGAATATAGTGGCAGCCTTTGAACCACCCATTCCAGCGTATATAATTTTCCACGAGCAAAGTTTTAAAAAAAATAAAAAGAAAAAGAAAATAATAATAATTAATTTACGTGAGACTGTGATTGCTTATTCTGTTGTACTTGTCACAACTGTCCAGTTCAACTTCGCTAAATCAAGCTTTCCTTATACTTGACAATCTCCGGCCAGATCTTGGCCCACCTCTCCAAGCTCTGTTTGCTCCATACTTCCTCAACACTGGGATAAAATCCGGAAAATTGCGGCAGCCCATCATCCAGCCTAAAGAAGCCCCTCTTGCTTCGTGTATAAATATGAACATCCGGCCCGACCTTCCACGCCTCATCCAACGTCCCCACACGAATGAATCGGCAAAACGGCCCAGCCCCGTCATAGTTTGACCAGACTGCTACATGGCATTTAGGGCATCTTGCGATAGTCTGCCCCTTTCCAGATTCAGACGGAGTGAGGATTGTCTCCGGCTCAACGGCACGGTCTTCTTTAAACGGCCGGATTGGTGGGGCGGCTGGTTTTGCGTCGCACTGGGCAGATGCAGGGACAATTGGTGGTGCCGACGGGAGGAGAGTAACGAGGGTGGATTCAATGACTGCGTTCAGGGCAAATGCTGTCCCTGTCTCGCGCTGGCAGGAAGTGCAGTGGCAGCAATGAACAATTAGTGGGGGTGCTTCAAGGCGGTACCGTACGAGACCGCAGGCGCATCCGCCCTCCATTGGAAACTCAGGATTTCCTGATGTGTCGTTCCCCATTTGTGTCGTCAGTTGTAAGAAAGGACCACCATATGGAAGGGCATCTTCTTAATCTGCGAGGAATTGGACTCCTATATAGACATTGAGCAGCCATGATCGCAGCTGCGGGGCTCGTGTTCGATTAGTCATGGACTCATGAGGGCGGCAGGGTGATCGTATTTGTGGCCCAGAAATTATCTAATACGATCGAATGCGCTGATGGCAACTATCAAACCCTTGACTGCCAATTCAGCGGTATGACGATGGTCTGAAACGTATCCAGAACTATGCGATGAAGGGGCCGAGAACTCAAGGGGTACGCTATTCCGATTTTGCATTGAACTGCATGTGGATCTTCCTGTCTGCTTTAGTACTAAGCGGACAGGGTCTACGTAGTTTCCATTGGGCAGCTGTGGATCGAATTTCACCGAAACAATTTTCTCGGCTTTTCAGGGTAAGGTAGAGTCTTAGAGATCTACGGAGATCTCACGCGGGAGAGTCGGAACCCGTATGTGCTTGGTGGTCGGTAGCTGAGTTAGATTCAGCGATCAGGACGAACCTGTTTATATCGCACATGGCTCCAGTGGTATGACGGAAGGGTCGGTACTACCGCATCCTTGATCCCCAGTATACAACCCCAACTGACGATGCCGCCCGCACCTCCATCCCTTTCTACACTAAGGATGCTCAGGCTCGCCTTGGGTCCTACCTCCCCAGTGACTTCAACCTGAATGACTTCCTTTGATGTGCTTGCCATGCAGAATCGGTGCGCCTATGAATACACTAGCTTTGGGGACTTCTCTTTGTGCTCTCTTTTCCCCGAGCTGGAATGGAAGGACTTTGCCTATAATGTCGATGTCCAGTATTATGGGGATTATGGCTATGATTCCCCCACTGGTCGCCGCTAGGGTATTGGTTACGTCCATGAGCTCCGCTGCCCGCCCCCAGGGCCAGCTCATCACTTCTAGTGACTCCAGCCTCAACTACTTCTACAACGAACCGCCCAGTTCCCCCTTGACCAGCTCTATCTTGATATGTCCCACGATAATATCATCGTTCCCCTGTGATCTCTGCTCTTGGGACTGCATTACTTCAATTATAGCCCCCAAGGTCTGCCCTCTGAGATCGACCATGCTCCCAACTGCACGTTCTCGCTTAGCGAGATGACCCCCTTTGGCGCCCGCTTCATGTCTGAAGTCTGGACCTACCCCAGCAACGTCTCCTTCGGCAGCCTGGATCGCGCTCTCTACGTCAACCCCATGTGGCAAGTATTCACTGGCGCATCCTAAATACATCCGCTTTGTCTTGAACGGTGCCCCGCTCCCTATGCACGGCCTCGTGGGCTGTGAAAGTGCGCAGAACGGTTTCTGCCTCGTTGACCAGTTCCTGCGCGGTGTTCCCACACTGAAGGAGGATGCAAAGTAACAGGAGGTTTCCTTTGGCAAGTATCCCACCGGCGGCCAGGTGGATGACGGCATTCCCAGCTGTTAACTACTTGAGTCTTCAGAAGGTGTAGGGTGGGAAGCTGAATTTCTTTTGCAGGATGGCGGTTTGAGACTACTAACTTTCTTACTTTTCTTTAAAGTATCAGCCTTATCCACCCTATATACATTTAGAGTAATTGATAATAGAGATTGACAGACTCAAGCGATGATTTTTTTATGCATCTCTTCATGATTTTCATGAAAGCAGTATCGCAAGTCATAAGAAAGAGACTGGAATAGAAGAGGGTTTTAATTGCTGATTCATCCGTTCCGGCGAGGTACAGTACAGTCAGAGGCATCTAACGTTTACGATCGTATAGAAGGATTAGCAATAGAATTAAAAAGATAGGGGTAGTAATGATGATGCTCGTATTTGTTTATATGGTTAATAACTGGCCGAAGATATTTCTGCAGTGTGAGTCGTTAGCGTCAGGCAGCTAACCGCGACAGTGACTGAGACGAGTAGTGATTAAATTATGGAAGAGGTTCGAGTAACTAATATATATCTGCATGACTGTATATTAATTCAACTGGCATCGGTCCAGTCAACATGGAGCTCTATCACACGTTTTATTTACCTCTCCCCATCAGCAGGTTATATCCCAGGAATAATGTGCCGTCTGCAGAATCTAGGCCGGTACAGGGAGGTGAGTACCTTGCCAGAGCGGACCTTCGGATCCATCTTTCTATCCGCTGTCCGGTCAACCTAGATTACTTTGCTCGGCTACAGTCATTGGAGTTATGCTAACTTGCGGTTCCTGCAGATCACGAATTAATCCCTCGGTAGTTGACCTTAGAAGAACCTGATATAAGACAAGCATCAGAGAGGAAGATGGCCGGTCATCAGGGGGAGCTCCCGGCAAAGCTTGGTATTTTTGACTCTTTTGCCTCTGTTGTGAAGCAGCCGGTATCTCTTCGTGTCTTCCTTCTTGACGTACTCGGTAGATGGTGCACATTTCGGTTAGCTCCGCATCGAACAGACAGAGAGACTGATCGACACTGCCTCGGTTATTCACCCGGAGAGGAGAATCATCAATAGAAAGAATATGATTCGGTTCTGTTGATCACTGACAAACAGTTGCTGATGCACGTGGACGCTAGAGTGGATTCTGCACCGTTTTTAGGATCGTAGCGGCTTCGGCTACATCTCTTAGCTTGTTAGCTGCCCTTCCAAACCTTCCTTGATTTTCTCCGTCGGAGTCCCACTCTCCCGCCCGACAATGCGCCGTGACAATGCGGATTATGCAGGCCGAGGGCGTGACCATGTCTATCACTATGATTGATGGACATGATTCCGTCTTTTCACATGCTTGATCGATGTTGATTTAGATTACTTCGGAAGTATTTAAACAAAATGGCAGCCCGCTGTATCGAGCGGAGTGCGGAAGCACACTCCGACTACAGCGGGCAATATGGTGAGAAATACACCTGTGATCACGGCGTTGTCCGTCCTTGCGACTGGCGTATTGGCTGCCGTCGATTATCCTCCTATTCCCAGTGACTTGACGACTCCTTTCCAGCAGCGCCTTGCTGTGTATGGTCCTAATGGTAAGACCTCGACCCAGCCGCAACACGTGATCTAACAGACCCAGCTGTATCAATTGGATGGAACACATACGAGAAACTGGACCAGGGCTGCGTCCAATATGGCACTTCCAGTAGCGCCCTGACCTCCAAGGTCTGCTCGTCCGTTTCGACTACGTATGCCACCTCGCGCACGTACTCTAATGTGGTGGTGTTGACCGGCCTTACCCCGGCCACCACCTACTATTACAAGATCGTCTCGGGCAACTCGACAGTCAACCACTTCCTCAGTCCTCGGACTCCAGGTGATACTACTCCATTTAGCATGGATGTTGTCATTGATCTTGGTGTGTACGGCAAGGACGGGTACACCGTTGCTTCGAAAAAAATCAAAAAGTCCGACATCCCGTACATCCAACCCGAGCTCAACCACACCACCATCGGACGACTAGCCAGCACAATCGATGACTACGAGCTCGTAATTCATCCAGGTGACACGGCCTATGCTGACGATTGGTATCTGCATGTCGATAATCTCCTCACTGGCAAGGATTCGTACCAGTCGATCCTGGAGCAGTTCTACGACCAGCTCGCCCCGATCGCTGGCCGCAAGCCCTACATGGCCAGTCCAGGCAACCACGAGGCAGACTGCACTGAAATCCCGTACACGTCCGGCCTCTGCCCCGAGGGCCAGCGCAACTTTACCGACTTCATGCACCGCTTCGCCAACACCATGCCCAGCTCCTTCGCCTCATCCTCCTCCAGCACCGCCGCCCAGTCCCTCGCCTCCAAGGCCAAATCCCTCTCCAACCCACCCTTCTGGTACTCCTTCGAATACGGCATGGCCCACATCGTCATGATCGACACCGAAACCGACTTCCCCAACGCCCCGGACGGCCCCGGCGGCTCCGCCGGCCTCGATGGCGGTCCCTTTGGCGGCGCAACCCAACAGCTCGATTTTCTGGCTGCCGACCTCGCCAGCGTCGACCGCACCGTCACGCCCTGGGTGATCGTCGCCGGCCACAGACCCTGGTACACCACCGGCGGTAGCGGCTGCACCCCATGCCAGACCGCCTTCGAGGGCCTCCTGTACAAATACGGCGTGGACCTCGGCGTCTTCGGCCACGTGCACAACTCGCAGCGCTTCCTGCCCGTCGTCAACGGCACTGCCGATGCGAAAGGTATGAACGACCCCTCCGCACCGATGTACATCGTTGCCGGAGGGGCGGGGAATATCGAGGGACTGAGCAGTGTTGGCTCGAAACCGGCGTATACTGCTTTTGCATACGCGGACGACTACTCCTATGCGACGGTGCGGTTCCTCAATCGGACGAGTCTGCAGGTGGATTTTATCCGGTCGAACACCGGTGAGGTCCTGGATTCGAGTACGTTGTATAAGAGTCACAAGACCCAGTTTGTGGTGCAGTAGTCTGCTCTCGCTGTGAAGGATATGTATATACAATGCAATGCATGCGTGGTGGGTACGGAGTAAAGCAGTCAGTGACCAGTAATGTACATGAGACCTGCTCAGTCTGTAGTTGGCCTTGTGCCTCTTTGTCCATCCACCAATAGAATAGCCATTATGTCGTGCGCCTGTAGATGTAAATGGCGCTGCTTGTGCTCCAGGCACGGTCTTATTCACTCTGTCAAGAAAATGCGTCGAATGTATGCGATCGAAATACGGTAGCTGGTGGGTATATGGCGATTTTTTCAGTGGTAACGGGAGGAAGGGCTATTTGTCCAGATTCCAACCACGCGCTTCCTCCGCCTCGCGCGCGTCTCGCTTCTTGTTTCGCCAGAGCAGATAGCAGCATACGCAGACGGCAATTAGGACGAGTCTATCAGTGGAGTTTCAGTATGAAGAACATTTCCAACATCACTAGAAGAGTAAGAGAACGCACATCCCAACGATAATCCCCGGCACGCCTGTCTTGAGGAAATCGCTGACCGGTTTCTCGCAAGCGGCTGAGTTGGCGTTACTCGCGTCGCAATCTCTCCGTAATAATATCGCCATTTTGTTGTTACTCGTATAAGAGCACTGATGTTGTGCTCTGCTGTGATAATCTGTTGTGCTGCGCGGTTGATGCTGAGATGCAGATCGTCGAGATTGACAACGGCCAGACAAACAAGAAGAACCACAACCAAAACCCAAAAAGCAGAAAAGGGGGTCGACGGGTTTAAAACCAACGATGATAGGCTGCGAAACGCAAGGTCGAGAACTGAAACCAGCACCCCTTGAGGCGAGACATTCTGCTGCAAGGTCACCAATAAGGAGCTGCCAAAAACGCCGGTTGCAGCGCCCCGTCCACATCGCGCGGCGCTAAGGGATGGGCTGCGGAGTATCCAGGACCCGTTCATTTATTACAGACTATTATTATCTATGTGCATCGAGATTGCTGCTACGCTATCTACTTGTCTATGCGACGGTCATGTTTCATCACCACCAGAACCGGCCACAACTGCAACATCACCCCTCCCACCATCAAACAGCCCGCAAACACCTGCGCCTTCAGAAAATCCGCAACGGATAAATCCACCAGCGCCCCCGCGATGGGCGTCCCCACCAGCGATCCAAACGAACTGATCCCCCACATCATTCCCATGCGCGTCCCCAGGTAATTCGGGTCCGGACACAGCGCCGGATGCCCGATGATCGCCGTCGGCGCCGTCACCAGCACCCCGCTGAGAAACCCCCAGTAGCACGCCCAGACGATGAATCCAGGGAGATTGGTCGCCGCGATCCAGGTGAACATGGCTAGTGCGGAGCCGGCGACGCCGAGGCAGAGGATGGCGATCGGGGGTATGTACGCGCTGAGGAAGTAGGGGACGACGCGGCCGAAGGCGGAGGCGCCGTTGATGATGGCGACCATGTAGAAGGAGAGGCTGCGGGTGGTGTGCAGCTGGGTGCGCGCGTACGAGGGGACGTAGAAGAGCGGGATGTAGTAGGCGAGCATGACGCAGGTGAGGGAGGTCGAGAAGAGCATGAAGGGGAGGTCGGTGAAGGCGCGCCATTCGATCATGCTGCGGGCGCGCGTCTTCTTGCCTGGTCTGCGGCAGAGGATGAGGACGGCAAGGATGGCCAGAGACAAGTTGATGAAGCCGATGCTGCGGACTGTCCAGGGGAAGCCGATGCGCGGTTGCAGTTGCCTGAACATGATGGGGAAGACGACGCTGCCGACGCTCGACCCGATGGCTGCGCAGCCGATTGCGATAGGCCGTTTCGTGGTGAAGTTGCTCGAGATAACCACCATGGCGGGGATGTAGGCGATGCCGCCCCCGATGCCGACGCAGAAGCCTTGAGCCAGGAGGATCTGCAGAGTTAGCCAGGGGGCTAGATGGACGGGGAGGAGACCTACCTGGTAGTATTGCGTCGCCAGACTGGTCATCATGATCCCAAAGACAACGAGGATCATTCCAATAGTGATCAGAACCCGGAGATATCCTGAATCGACCAGCGGACCAGTCACGACACCAACCATGACGATCAATGTGGCCTGCACACTACCCACCCAGGAAATGGACGACGGCGATTGCGATGTCAGCAGTACCGTCAGATAGTACTCTTGGAATGCGCCATACGAAGCAAGCAGTCCCCTGTTTTGTCAGCTCGAGTCGCCCTGTGACTGATACTCGTAGACGTACCATGAATTTACAAACACACAGAACCCAGCGAGTACACTGAGCCACGCTTGTAATCCCCCATTTGGCACCGGTGCCACTGGCTCGACGGCATCTTGTCCTGACGGGACGGCTTCATCTTCATCCTGTTGCAGTGAGCGAGTATCCGCCTGTTCAATTGTCCCCATGCCGCTTGTCCAAAGATTCCTTCCCAGGATTATGAGGACTCCAACTACGAGTAGTATGGAGAAGCCGAGATTATAAACCTGGTCGGGGTCATCCCCGACTCCCCGCAGTGGAGTCTGGAGTTTGCCGTTTTCCCGTGGGGTAATGTTTGCCATGACTAAGAGGCCTTGTCGGCTTAAATGACGGCATTTATAATGCCTGGCAGTATTAAATTCGATGCTGATGATGGCCTTGATTCTAGGATTGACGACAATAGACAATAGCAGGAATGAATAGCCGCGACAAGAGTTCACCACGCTGTACGCAGTGTGAGTGGTGACAGCGGCACATTGCGTAAGGAATTTCCAGAAAGAACATCTCCGGCAGTACCCGCACGGAACCGGCCAGCGGAGACTCGCGAAATCGGGATCCATAGCAGAAATCAATGGCTAATTGCGATAGCGATAGGTGCGATTAAATCTATAAGATCACACAGTATCCGTATGGGCTCCCAGAAAGCACCAGGACGGTAGTTTCTCATAGCAGTTGCATCCACCCAGATTAGTTACCCCGACGAGGCTCAGGCTTGCTCATTTGTGGAGTTGTATTTCTACAAAACGTATAGACAAACGAACCTCCATCATTCAAGCTAATTCATGTCTAACCATGGATGGAGACTCAAGCTCGGAACGCGCACCTGAGGAGGAAAGTTCCGCCGGTTTTGACTGCCTGACATACACCTGCGACACTGGCTGGGTACGATTCATTCTCCGTTTTCGATGCCGTCGCAGAAAATAAAAGAAGACACCTGCTCCTATGGCGATGGCTCCTAGAGGGACTCCAACTCCAATCCCGATCTTTGCGCCTTCTGCGAGTCCAGATGAACCGGACTGATCCATCGAACTTGCTGGGGGTGAGGTTGAAGTTGGACCCAGTGAAGAAGATGATGTCGATGTCTGGGACGCACTTGCCGACTTGGGAAGATCGGATTCGTCCCAAATGAGCGGAATCCCATCGGCGTAAACGGTCAGTGGAGTCGAGAGCGTACTTGTGACAATAATACCCGAGGCTGCCAGTGTGACAGTCTCCTTTGCCGCGAGGACACCGCTGCATTGGTGACCACCGGCATAGTAACCCATGCTCCTACTCAAGTAAGCAGACATTCGACGTCCAGCCCGGGTCACTCACGTAGGGCAGCAGATGGCTCCACTGGTGCTACTCGTTATATCAAGTCCATTCCATGATCCAGATAATTGGCCCGCTGTGGCCCATCCACTGGGGCAGTACAATCCTGGAGAATCTATATTTGACAAGTAAGCACATCAATGCATTCTCTTGGAAGCAAATCTACATACACCAGTATGTCCCCCAATAAGTGGGAGAAAGAAGTAGCGATGTTGGCATTGTGCCCGTTGGGTAACATGTTTCGCCAGGTCCATTGAACCAGTGACCGTAATACGTAGTTGTTTGCGGTATCCCATTCACCTCGTAAGCAACTGTCGATAAAGTCTGAAGGCAAGAAGTTGGGGGCGCAAAAGTGGTGGTTAGTGGCCCTCGGTTGAAGTAGCTGGTTATGTTGACCGGTGTAGCCATTTCGAGGATTTTCAGTCTATGATTTCAGTCTATGACACCTTGGTAGGGACAGAGGAACAGGATGAACCTGGACATTTAACCGTCTTAGCTTTCAGCTTTGCACTGCGGGGGTGTGTCGATATGGCGTAAATGGCGCTGTGATGGGCGCTTGGACATCTCATCTCAGATTAGATGGACAAATAACACGCAGTTGGGCAGCCCACGATATTTGAAATTCGACTAATGGCTAATTAGAGTTCGTCCACTGGAGGCCTGAATTAAACCCTTTCTGGCTGACTGTCGATCATCTTCAGCTTCAAGGGATGCTGTTGTCAAATATCTATATACACGTACTCCACAACGCATCACACGCTAAAAGAATGAGACCAGACCCCTGTATTACTCTCTTTTATGAGACCGACCCAGTTACTTTAAGTCTAGAGCCAATGGAAAAGCTGGATACTTGCAGCAGACTGTTGTGCAGATTAGAGCTGGATGATCCCCTCGTATTCATGCCACGTGATCGCCGTCCAGGCATAAAGAATGTGGCGATGCCAGAGAGTGACCAGCATCATCTAATTTACCTTCTCAATATCAAACAACAAGATGGTTCAAACCCAGGTTATTACCTCGACCTCTGTCGGTATCCGCTCATGGCAGAGCGTGTTCCGTCTACCGCCTCCTGATCGACCAGAGTCTCCTCCGTATCATGCCCGACGCCCGCATAAAAAGTCCCGCACGGGCTGCATCACCTGTAAGCGGCGGAGAGTAAAAGTAAGCCTCAACCGCAGAGTGTGAATGTACCGTACCACTCACAGGAGCGTACACAGTGCGACGAAACTCGGCCTCTTTGCCGGCGATGCGAGAAGCTGGGGGTTTCTTGTATTTATTCCCAAAATGAGGACCTTCAGAAGATGAAGGAACCAGATGGCACCGCATTCTCTCTGTCACTCAAGGATCTGGAATCAAAGGTCAACCAGGCTTTGGTGATTGGGTCTGACTGTCTTGAGATTGGCACATTGAAAACGGCCAATGAGAATCGGCCCATGACGATCGTAGCGTTCCAGCACTTCATGAACCATTCTACAGACACCGTTGGCCATCCTTCCATACGACACGTCATGAAGAGTGATATGATTCGGGTCGCCTTTGGAGTGAGTCCCTATCTACAGGAATACTTGCAAGAGTACTGATGTGATTAGTGCCCCCATTTAATGTACACCATCCTAGGCGTCGGCAGCCTCCATCTCAGCCGGATCCGTCCCCAGAATCAAACCTTGCGACTCGCAGAAATCTACTTTTGGCAGCAGGCAATCAAGGCATATCAGGCCGCGCTATCATCCAAGGTCTCCCCGCAAAATGTGGATGCCCTGCTGTCAACCTGCATGTTCATGGGCGTTACGTCCGTCTGCCCCGATCATTTCGATCCTACCGACTCGTGGGTTCTGACGAACGCACCCGGAGCAATGAACTGGCTTTGCCTGCAGAGCGGTCTCCGCATCATCATCAAACTCGCGGCCCCGTACATACAGTCCAGCATCTGGGCATCGGCATTTCAGCAGACTCACCAGGAAGAAGTACAGTTGTACGAGGAGGGTGTTACCCAAGGCCGTGATGGTCTTGACCCTGACCTGGCTGACTTATGTGGGGTTGATGACTCGACCACCGCATCAACAAATCCGTACTATGAGCCTCTTAGATTGCTGGCTGTCATATCCCTCTTGGAAAGGAACATGAAGAATGCCCATCAATGCGCCTCTTTCATGGGCAGACTGGAGAATGATTTCCTTGCACTCCTGAGGGAGAGGGACCCGCCTGCGCTGTTGATCCTGGCGCAGTGGATGGGCCTCATGTGTACGCTGTCTGAATGGCAGCCCTGGGTAGAGGGGAGGATCCGCGGCGAATGCAAGGCGATCTGCATGTATCTAGAGCACAGCACCGACCCCCGGATTCAGCGGCTTCTTCGCTTCCCAGCAAGCGCCTGCGGATACAACCTGGCATATGTTTAATACGCAAAACTATCGTCTATCTCCGTATATCGCTTCAGTCTACTACTCCTTGACCGCGATCTCAAGAACCTCCGCCAACGAATCCACCGCATAATCCGGCCCGAACGATTCACATTCCTCCTTATCGCCCTGCCCAAACCGGCACCAACATCCCCTCGCCCCGATATTGCGCGCATACTTGAGGTCCGTAATCGTATCCCCAACCATCAGCACCCTGCCCGGATCCAGCTCAAACCTCTCCCCATATACCGCCTTCAACCGCGGCACTAGCGCCTCCGTGAAACTCGCCGCGTCCGGCTTCCTCTTCGACCCGGGCGTCCCATCACCGATGATCAGCATCTCATCGACGAATTCCGATAGCCCTGTTCGCTCCAGCGCCGTCTTAATCGGGGGAACGGCCTTATTGCTCACGATCGCGATGGGGATTCCTCGCGAGTGAAGCCCCGCCAGTAGCTCACGCAGACCCGGGAACGGTTTGGTGAATTTCTCCTCGTGCATCGCGTAGAGGGAGCGGTAGGTCGCGACCCATTTTTCCTCGTCGAAGGTTGACGGGTCCGGTTGGAGCGCGCGGAAGGTCTCTGGGAGGCCGGCGCCGATGGCCATTAGCCGGCGGGCTTTGGCATAGGGAATTTCGTGGTCGGGGAGGAGAGTGGTGAAGGTTAGCGCTGCGGCATGTTGGATTGCTTCGCGGGTGTCGAAGATTGTGCCGTCGAAGTCGAGGATGACGAGGTTGGTCAATATATGCTCAATAGTCATGGTGATTTTTGTAGATGGAATGGTAATGATGCTCTGAAGATGAGGTGGTTTATCTGGGATGTTGTGAGTCATGTAGGTGGGCGGTTTGATTATCGTTTGATCTCAGGGGCCGAGGCTATTTTAAGAGAGTGGATCCTCGGCATTTCCCCGATATAAATATCAGCTAAGCAGATCATGTCCGTGATATTTTGTTACAACAATGCCTACGTCTTCTGATTCGAAGATACTGGCTGAACCAAGGACGCTGTAGGAGACTGATGAAAAATAGGGTCTCTCTGATATGCTTTTATTTCTAAGTGATTTGCTACCGTCCGGGACAACTCATCCTCCATAGTTTAAAGGCAGATAAAGACCATTCAATCGCAGGCCGAGCTCAGTCTGGGTTGCTCTGAATCCTAGTTCGCATCCAGCAGGATATATTCGATAATTTATTGACTCGATAGAATCAACACAGACCATTACGATCGATTCGATTAGAAGGATTCCCCTTGGTATGTTGTGGTCTTGTTGAACGAAAAATCCACGATTGCCTTGGACATGAGTACTGAAAGGAAATTGATCGTGTTCGCAACACCACTTTCGAAATGCAGAGAGTGAGAGAAAGCTATGAAGCTGTTGGATTCGAATAAGTAGGTCCGAAGAGAGAGGTTCCTCCATCGACGGAATGCTGGCAACTGACAGTCCGAGTCGTGTTGCGGGGGAGATGGAGGTTTGATCGGGATAGCGGGGGGAAGAAGAGCTGTGGGAAACGGCTTCGTCACGCTGCCGATCTGGACGATCGCAGTTCCTCTGGACGAGGAGGTAATGTGACGTTTCTCTAGACGAGAAACCCGTTTCTTAGGCCTCTGGAACGGCCAAGGATGCTACCATTTGTTATGGAATCCTTGTACGGAGTAATGTCTGTCTTCTAAGGCTACCTTCTAGCTAAGCCTGGATAAACGTGTTGCTGAGTGATGCTAGCACGTGACAGAACCCCCCCATTTTCGAAAATCTCGTGGCCTCACGATTACACTGAAAGGCGAGGTACAAACGGATAAGCGTAAAAAAAATGCTATACATTGGAAAAGAGTAGCGCGACGGGAAATCAGGAGATAGGGTTAGGAACGTTCAAGGTAATTTTGGCCTTCTTCGCTGTGACGAACTCTGGGTGGCTGTCACTCGTAGCCCCCAGGGCGATCATGAGAGACCTAAGCTCCTTTTTGACGTCCGCTGGGAGGGGCCACTGATGGAGGCTTTTCCAGTCGAGTGTGTCGTGTGTCTTCTGACGAAACCAGAAATCCTCCATCGCCCTTAAGACGGCGGAGGCTGCCATCCCGTAAATATGTCGTTAGAATAGTTGGGAGTGCTTCTGAGGGTGTGGTTTAGCGCAGCCGCGGGTGTTCCCCACGGGAACGTAGCCAGATCTTCTTGCACTCGCAATTCTCCGACTAGCCCAGAGACACGGTTGGGCCAGTTGGTTTTGTCAAAAATCCATCAGGGTGTTCCGGCAGACCGTAGAACTCGAAGGGATCGTCGCGACGCTTCGGCGCCTTAACGGACCACTTGTTGTACCTTTCGCAGATCCATGCCATGAGTAGTTCGCGGTCCATGGGTCGCGGGATGGCTGGATCAGCCTCGTCCGTCGGTTCTTCATCATCAGCATATTGGATTATGAGTGTTCGTTTCTTTGCACGGGGTTCTTCCTTCGCAATGTTGCGAAGGTGATGAAGGGGATGGCATCTTTCGTCGCTTTGATCTTGGTCTCCAGGTATACTGGAAGAGGGATCTCCTCTGCCCAGGGGGGCAGATAGACCGGGTCTTGTCCACCGCGAATGTATTGCCGTGATTGTACGTGTGTGGACTCGTTTGGTCTTCCCGGTTGGCGATCTGGACCCATTCCTGGATATCGTCTGGTTTCGGTGCTCCCTGGCTGATTGGGACTTGCGCTTCCCAAATACGGCGCTGGGCCCGCCAGTTAATCATGTTAATGTTCACCTCGGATTGCATGCTAATCAGATCTTTTAGATGTTTCTCCATAACTTCCTTCGCGGCGACTAGCTGTGCTTTCCTTGATTGGAACTCCGGGGTGAGCACTGACTGTCCATCACGTAAGGGTTTACCGGACGAATCGCAGACTTGCGTCCATGGGGCCGTGATGCTAAGTTTCAAGAAGGCTGTAGTCCCATGGAATTTGGTCCAGTAGCCTCTGTCTGACCAATTGTTCGGCATATCCGTAAAAACGCCCACCGGAATCATCGGCATTGATTTCGGAGCCCATTTTGGAATCACCGGAGGCGGCCTTTCTATCTTGGACGCGTCGACGTTGACTTGGTATGCGTTTGGCAGGAAATACCAGATGGAGTAGGTTGTATTCTGTGCGAGTTCCTCCTTCTTGTCTCGGATGGCCTTGAGTTCTCTCTTTTTTGACCTCGAGTTCCTTCTCTTTGGCCTCCTTGGACTGCGGTCTGGCCATTGTGTCTGGCTGCGGGTGTGGAAACTTGGTAGGATACTTCAAGTGTATGAATCCAAAATGGTCTGCAACGAAGAATGGCCGCTGCTCCTCAGTCATGAGTAAAAGGGTCAGCGACGTGATGAGTTTGGTGGGGGAAGGAGTGAGAAGGACGGTGAGAGAAGAGTGAGGTGTTGGCTGGAGCGGAAGGAGACCGGTAGAGGAAGATATTTAGTGCGATGTTCGATATTCACTGGAGATACTTGGCTAAACCGATATTGGGTATTCACTATTTGTATGTAGTGTGCGTGTTGATCTGATGTATTTTTTGGTGTAGGACATTCACTGGTCCAGGATTGCCAGCGCTTGCCTGGCTATTTGGTCCAGCGGTTGAGATACCTGCTCCGCAGAGTTGATTGTCCAGGAGGTCTGTACATGGTTCTACGTGTCCGTGGTCGCCTGTGGATTGCGGTTGTTCGAGTTGCGTCGCCGGCGCTGCGGTCTGATCGTGTTCCGGCACGACCACGACCGGCGCTGCGGCCCGTGTGGGTGTAGAGGCTGGCAGTACTGGTTCGAATCGCAGTTGGCCCGCTGGTGCCACTGAGGTCTGGCAAGGAATACTGTCTGGGGGTCGAGCTTGGTCACTCCGAGAAGTCTCAAACTCCGTCGCCAGCGTGGGGGACTTTGGGCTGCTATGATCGCTGCCGGTTGCCAGCTGGGCTCGTTCACGTTTTCCCATTTTACTAGATAGAACCAAATCTTTCGTGTCGAACCACGGCGGATCGGTAGCATCTTCTTATCGAGGATCTGGTCCACCTCAAACGGCAGTGTCAGTTGTGCATTTCCTCAGGAATTGTCGCGGCTACTAGTCGCTGCCATGGATCATCGGGGGCTTGTTCCAGGTGGATCACAGAGATCACCGGATGGATTCGTAGCGACATTGGAAGTTTCAGCTCATATGCCAATTTCTGAACTCTTCGGAGGATTTCGAATGGTCCTAGTTTAACGGGGGATAGTACTGTGGATCCCGGAAGGGAATATCCGACCTGGCCTGGCTTTCTCGTGAGATGGATATAGGCTTGTCCTTTGAGCTTGTGTTTGCGGTCGAAGTAAAATGCCATTCGACTTTGTGCATACTGAATGGCGTCCGCTGCTTCAGCTTGAATTCTCGTCTGCTTAGCAATGAAGTCATCTGCCGTCCGTATACGTTGTTCCGGCGGCGGGGTGAATTCTAATCTCGGTTCCACGCCGTACAGTAACTCGAACGGTGTTTTATTGGTGGTCGCGCTCGTTGAGGTCAGAAGGAAGTATTCAATATCCGGCAAAAGGCTCTGCCATATCCGCTCTTCCGGCATCTGGCACAGGATGCATCTCAGCATGACCTCAATGACCGCGTTGAATTGTTCTGTCTGACCGTCTGCCGCAGAGTGATATGCCGCAGTGATTCCGAGTCGCACGGACGCTCGCTTAAACAGATATCCCCAGAATTCTGATGTCAACTTGGAATCCTGGTCGGATATGATGACCTGTGGCAGTCCTCAGGACGGGAATACGCGCTTGAAGAACCTTTTCGCCCAGTCAATGGCCGTGTATGTGGTTTTCCCCGGAAGTAGTTTATTGGCCTTTGTAAATTTGTCCACCACGACTAACAGGGCATCATAATCCTTTGTGGACTTAGGGAGACCGGTAATGAAGTCTATGGTTAAGATAGAAAACAGTTGCGACGGGAAGTGATCGGAGCGAGTTGGCTGTAAGGCTGGAGCCTGTTTTCCTTGGATGTCTTGCACATTGGGCATGTCAGTATGTATGATTTAACTAAGGCTTTCAAGCGGGGAATGTACACTGTTTTCCTTAGATTATCCTGTGTATGTTGTACCCCTGGATGTCCGTTGTGATTGTGTGTGGCCATTAGAATCAGCTTCTGAGCTTTCACGGGGACGCAGAGACATTCTGAATTGTCCCTGACTATGTAGAGTAGTTGAGTCACTGTGCCCAGTTTAAAACCGTTCTTTATTGGATTCCCCGGCTCGCCCTGCTGGCCATTTCCGTAAGGTTTCTGTATATACAGCCTAAGTGACGATCGGAGGGCAATGCCGTGGTTATAGCTCGTCGCAGTTGGGGGTCCATGGATACGACGTTGATCAGGAACGCAGTGGGTGGAGGATCGCCATCTTGGACAGTGATTGTATCTGGAGCAGATTCTGGTGAGGCTGTCTGCATGCGTCTTAAGTGGGACAGGGCGTCGGCATTGCAGTGCACGTGGCCTGGCTGGTGAACTATGACCATGTTGTTTCCGAATTGGGAGAGGTATAGGGCCCATCTTGCTAACTATTAGTTCTTCTGATGAGGGGCTGAGGAGTGCATAATCCCCTTGATGGCTGCATGATCTGTGTACAGGGTAAACTGATTACCATCCAGATATTACTGTAACTTCAAAATTGCCCATCCTACTCCTGCTACGCCTAGTTCAGTAGGCCAATAGTTTCATTCTGCTGCCAATAATTTCTTAGATAGGAACAACAGAATTAGTCTTTCCTTGCTATCCACATCAAGTTAATACAAGGCGATGTCAAATTCGAACATATCCAGCACTGACTGTTTACCATATAGTTTGGCCATCTGTTTCAAGCGTTTTGTGAAGGAAACGACTGGCCCCTTTTTAGGGTCAAACAGTTGGACATCCTCGGCCTTGAGGCGGGTAGTCGGCTCCGGTCTGGATGAGGATCGTCGTCGGGGACGGTAATGCCGAGAGTGATGACGCCTCGACCTCCGGTGACTGGCTTTTCCATCAGGGTTCGAGTCCGAAGGATCGCTGGAATCGTCTGGTGATCCACTAGCGCGTGAAAGGTTTGAGGAATCCGTGTGGTGACTCCGAGGTCGCGAAGAACGGAGATCGGTATGGATGTCCTGCTCTGGTTGCTCACGGACTGCCGTTTTGCCTTTGAGGGAGGAGGGGCCCGCCTGGTGTTCAAGAGACGGTTCACGATCTGCGGCCGAAGGTCCTGCGCGAAAGCCTTCGATAAAGCGTTGAAATATATCCGGTTTTCGACCTGCGTGTGTCCCTGCGTCAAGGACGGTCTGAGCAGCTTTACTGAACTCAGCTTGCTTTGTTTCGTCGATACAGGTGGCAACAGCCCTAGCCGTGGCGTAGTCCGATTCGCGGAGGAACGGAACGCAATGGGTGAAGTGTCCGTCCAGGATTTCCTGTATCAATCGAAGGATATATACCGCGTCTCTTTTATACTGGGTTTTCGAGTACAGGACTGCGGTTGGGGATTCGGTTTAGGTGTCTCCCGAATCCAATCACAGAAGTGCGTTTGGCTGACCGGCTTCCCCAGGAGGAGCTATGGTTGTAACCGAATTCGTGGCAGCGTTATCGACGGACAGGATTTCGAGACGTTTGGCTAGCGAGTTGATGACTCGCGGAATTTTAGGGCGTCAGAGATGGATGAGTGTATTGAGTGAGAGGATGGTGTAGTCGGAGAGCGAGGCTGTTCTCGATGGGTGGAGAATGAATCGAGTGGAATAAGATCTGTGGCAAGCAGGGGTCTTGTCTGGTATTGCCTGATCCGGCTCGGAAGGAGGAGTAGGTTCTGGGTCAGAGGAAGGCACACTTGAAAGCGTAACGGTCGTGGATGGGGAAGGTGCCGTTTCAGCGAGCGTGAGTCGTGGGTTTGCTGGGTCCCACCCTAAGGCTTTTGAGATGGCTTTGACTTCTCTGGTTACGAGAAATCGGCCGGTAACCCAGTCTGTATTGCCCCAAAATCCGCAGCTGTTGATTTCCGAAGATGGCGGAGCAGGGAGATTGTAGTGTTTGAGTTCGTCTGCGACAGTGCCCACGCTGTAGTTGTTTTCAAGGAGCTTGCCCCGTGTCTTTGCGTCCCGGAGTTATTTTTTATTGTCGCTACCATATTCTTCACTCTCTCCCTTGGGTACCTCGTTCTCGGTCTCCCTGCTCGCTCTAATGAGTAGCAGTCGTTCCGCGTTTGCTCCGCTCAAGACTAGTCACTGTGAGGTGTGCGTCTTCAAGGATCGAAAGGTCAAGGTATCTTTATCTCGTATCATGAGTTTGTAGTTGAACAGTCGTGTATCAGACCGATTCAGTCTCCCGAGTGTGATTGTTATTCCATGCGCGAAACCTCCCACAGTTCAGAATTGGGCACCCTGCGGGCAACTCCGCTCTTCCGCGTCGCTTGGCCTCAATGAGGTCAAAATCTCTCCTGGCCACATGCTTCAATGAGATATACTGATGGTGGCCACCTCTTCTCAAGCGGTCAAGCCGCAGCCTTTACCGTCACAGCGTCCTTCAACGCTTGAGATCTAGCGAAGGTCAAGGAAGGATAAAGGCCTGTTGAGCCAATTCGGACCACGAGATCATTCTCATTCAGACTTGGGTCGAAGTGATGGCTGGGCCTGAGGACCGCAGTTGAGCACTGTCTCCGGTGTGGCGAGCACCCAACGTAGTCGGTGATGAAGTAAATAATGTATAGATGGCCACCGACCTCGCGATATGTCTCTATCCATATTAACAGTCGCGATTGGCTCACCCGGAGGTGATGGTGACTTTCCTGCTATCCTYCKYGACCACCGAGACCTGGTTGATTGCCCGGGGATCATATTGACCATGATATGTTCGACAAGGTACATCCTCATGGTTGGTTCAATTGCTCCACTGCGAGCTCGACTTATCCACACAGTGGTGTATAATCGGTTGGGTTCGAGCGTGAGCGCCCAACCAAGCGTCCGGCGGCAACTCCACCATCTGGGCGGCCTCCGAGATGGCAGGGTCACCTGGGGTAGGTGGAGGAGCATCCCATTGTGCCCTAGCTATGCCCGCTGGAGGCGGAGGCGGCGCTGTGATGATGTTACCCTGCGGATGTTAGCATAAGGATATCGCCGAAGGGGAAGGCTTAAACTTACCACAGCAGTCGGAGCAGACCAAATATTTCGCATAGTCCAGACGGAGGACCCATACTGGTGGGTGACCGGCGGCAGCAGAAGAGAGCCGGGGCCCGGGGAGCGGTTACGGGGCCAGCGGCAGGAGCATTCGCGGCGCACCGTTAAGAAAGCTGTCGAATGCATCACCGCCGATGATTGCTTCAACGCCCCCTTTCGATTCATGGACCATTCGAGTTCGTGAACCACCAGACTGTGTCCGCCTGCAATCTGGGCATTGACTCGGATACACTCACTCCTATGACCAAGTATGGGTGCCGTCTGGGTCAGAGTACAGAGTTGGTCCACCGGGAGTTTCATTCCTTGCTTGTGGGTCCGCTGTAGTACAGCACAAGGAGCAGGCCGTGCTCCCGCAAGTGCTCGAGTTTTCCACCCCCACAACAAGACACCGATCGCAGACACAGTGAGTCCGTAAATGTTGGTTATGCACTTGTTTTTCTGACCAGGTTTTGTTCATTGTTCATTGACCGGAAGAGCGGTTTGACCGATTTCTAGCCCCTCCGCGGCCGCCGCGTCGAGGATCAGATCTCTCCCTTCGAACGGTATTTGCAGAGAGCTGATTTGTACCGAAATTCAATTATCATTTGGCAATGCCAGTGGCACGCTTCTTGAATTCAAATGCTGAAATTGCATGTGAGAACGCAACTCCGTATTCGTGATGAAGTTGTGAGTACGCCCTCAATCGTCTGCAAGAATCGGCAGTATTCGATCCGATCCGGTAGCTGTCGGTCCAGCGTCGTCAAGACGACCCATGTACCAGGGGCTGTAATCCTCATCTTGATCCTTCTTGTATTCTTCGCCCCATTCAAGCTGCATTCTGCTCATCCGCACGGTGACGTTGGATCCGAAGGCTCTGACCTGTTCACGGGTGGTAGGTATGTAAACGCAGTGTTGGAGTCGATAGACTCGATATAACCTACATTTCGAATCAGAATAATTAGCAGACATTCTATAGGAAGAAGAGCGAGGAAGATACTGTACACAAAGGACGGCGCATTCATCGTCCGACATACCTGGCGACAACCGTTCTCGATACCTTCTCTCCTATGGCGCGGAGTTAGTCGTATGGGAGGTAATCCCTTGATAGTTACCACCCTGGTGAGCCACTTCTGAAATATCTTTGTGTAGGGCTTGTGCTGCTAATTCCAGGAGTATGTTCAAAGAATCAAGGTCATCCTCGACCATAATTTGCGAGATCAGGTATTCAAGGAGAGGACGGATTATCTTCAAAGAATCGAGGTCGTTCATGTCCATAGTTTGCGAGATCAGGTCTCCAAGGCGAGAAGGGCTGAAATTAACCGAGCGAAAGAATGTGACTGAGCGAAAGAAGGTTGACATTGAATTGCGTGATCCAGTTTGTCTTCAAAACGAACATTTTTCATCTTGTTTATTTTTGTTTCGATTCTGTAGCATTTCTTTGATTGTGTGATGATGGCGTAAATACGCAGCATCATAAATTGCTTTTGCGTCACTTCGGAGGCTGACAGGCTGAATTCCCCATCTTCGTCCTTCTCGTCCTGGGCCGTAACGTAGGTTGCCAGACCTTGATATCCCCTTCAATTATCTTATTACTGTTGACCAGGGAGTCGGAATGTTCGGCGTAAAGCCTCTTCACCAATTCGATATTTCCCGCCCTGAGTCCGAGGATAAAAAGGGCATAGACATTCTTGGGGAACCAAGTTCGCTTCCAACGACGTAGATATTCTGACACACTATCCGTGTATGGCACGGTATCGCTAAAATCTCAAGAAGCAGATGGTTCGAGAACATCCTGTCCACAACTCGCCATTCATGGAAACCGCAAGGAGACAACGTCAGATGAGTTGGAGACACAACGCGTACCATTTATCTGGGTGAGGCGAGGGACGGGTCGTAGAAGTACTTCTGCTGCGGTCTCCATGACGGAGGTCCCGGAAAGTAAATATGACATAATAAGTGAAACGGCTGGTCCGTTGGTAGGACGATGATAGCACTAAAGCTGCCTGTAGAGGTGTTTCCTTGCCTCAACCGACAACAAACCGCCATTAGATGGCATCAGTCACCCTTAAAGAGTCTTGAGAACGAGGGGAAGCTGTCGTCAATCTCTTCCAGCCGAGGAAGGCCAGCACGACAACTAATATCAGATGCATCTTCGACGATTGCTGGGTGTCTCACTCGTCACAATAGTACCAGAACACTCGTGTCTTTCGCAATCTGAAGAAAGAGCTGCAAAACGACCGTCCAGGCCACATCCCAGCATCCCCCGGCAAGAGACGTAGGGACTTCGCCGGACGATACTCAGGTCATTCATTAGCACCGGGCCGATGTCTCGGGGTAGGAGGAGCGGGGGTTTGCTGAGAGATGATATCTTACTGACTCAGCGACGTCGTTAAACGTCGACTGACGGGCACTCAGTCTGGTCAAGCAGCACGAAATGGCAACGATATGATGGCTTTGCAATCCCTCTACGAAACCGCGCGCGACGGCGTCGACTGCTTTGCAATGGCACGGAAATTGAGTGAAAAGCGGCCCAGCCGCCTAAGGCCGTGCCTATTAGCCACTTGCACTTTCTACTTCGTGCACTCCGTAAGCGGGTCGTAATTCCTGAGCCAAAGTTGCCAAGCTGTCTTTCCGCACATCAGGTTTATTGTACCTCTAGTTGTCCTGTCGGAATCGGTTGTCCGGACGCGTCTGTTGGCAACTTGGCGGTGCCCTGAAGATGCCTATATTCCATCAACCGACCGTATGCGCCTGCAGCAATTGATGGGTCGGTGGTTGGCAGCGGCGGCCTTCTCCAGCCGATCGACTTCGGCCCGCTAATATGATAATATTTTATATCAGCCTCGGCTCACTACTATATGTACGTAGTGGCAATGAAAGTCTTACCAACATTTCGATGGACGAATCCATCTTCCGCATCTTCAGCTTGTGGCTTTTCTTTTTTTCGATTGCCTTTTCCTCCTTCTGACGCAGGGCACGGGGCGGTCATCACATTTCGGGGCTTCCATTGGGAAGCACCCCTTTGGGTTCATGGCGTTGAGACGATCGCGGGCCTTCTTGGTATACGGATTCTCGAGAGCTCGGTGTCAGACTTCCGCTTTCAGCTGGCAAGCTGACCAGGTTTGACTCCAGGACTTCTCTCGATGATATCCATCCTGTGACTGGTACGTTATTAGTTTGGGTCAAAGCGTAGATATCATGCTATTTGCAGCTGCCGGCGATGCCTACCTAAAAGAACGAGTTCCGCGCAAGTTGCCAGAGAAAATCCCAGTTGCTCGGAGCATCAAATCGTTAGCTGCCAGCATTGTCAGGTGACGGCCGCTGGCTTCTTCCACAAACCTTCTTTCCACAGGACGCGAAAAGGGGTATCGTGGTTTGATTGTATCTGCTATGGAATAGAACACATCTGCCAATCGCCTCATGGGCATCCTATTTCGCGACCCCTCGGTGGTTTCCACCTGAAATTGGAAAAGCCACGATCGCCTCGTTCGACGGACACTCTTTGCAATGGCTGCAGCCATCGCGTAAACCCAGCGTACCATGCCAGGATCAACGCGAGGTCGTAAGCGTTTCCCAAGAGACCCTCCGCAGCCTACCCAGTTAGCATGCCATCAACACATCAAAGGAAGATACATACACTATTGCAAGTCGCGTGTCTACCGCACTGCTTACACAGCACCAATGTGAGAGCGTCCGGAGTACAGGGATTTCGAAGGCTCGCCATGGTAAGGATCGAAATCGTTCACGGCAGTTTGCAGATATTTGAGACAACACATGTGTTGCGGTTTCACAGGGGTTACGTGCACGGCACGCTTGGTTTTCTTCAGCGGCATCCTAACGATGATCTGTCAAAACAAAAGGATAAACGAAGAAGAGAAAACTAGCTCAACAGTAGATAAATGTCAAGAAATAACGCAGAAAAGGCGAAGCCAAACGAATGACGTGCTGACACGAGGAGAGGTACAGAGAAGAAAAGAAAACAAAGGACTCGACCACTTTACAAATAAAGAACCAGCGCAACTTGGTTGCTCATGACAACATCACTTACACCAGGGACTACTTTACAGTAAACACACAAAGAACCTAATAAAACAAAGATGTTACATTTAGACTACAGTGCATCTTCGACAATGAAGATAAATGAAGTTGCTATCATTGCTTTCGACATATGTATGATGACTACTTTCAGACTATCAAGCTATATCAAAATAACTGAGGACAGTCACCCTGCAGAGGTAGGTATAATTATAATAGATTAGTTCTAGTTCTGGTTGCATTGCTATATTGTTACCCCTTGCTTACTATTTGTTTTTAGATGACTGTTTCATGCCCTTGATCTGTTTCCAAACCACTACCGTGAACATCCTGGATGCTCGATGAAGTTATATATAGACCCGCTTGTCGGATTCCCACGCGCAACCCAACCGCTCCTGTATCATAATTGGGTCGTGGAACGCTACGCTCATTGGATAACCAAGAATGGAAGACCAAAGGACCTGATCGTATAGCTAAGTACGAATCTACCTTTCAAATCAGCACACCAGACGATATTGGAGCAACGGATGCTTCCGAATGGCGCATCGGGACAATATCACTATCTCCAAATGACAAGAAAACCAAGGTTGATGAAGATTTTAAATCTTATCGTTGGGGATTACCTGCAACAAAGCTTCTCGCTACCATCAAGGAACCCCCTGGTTTCGAAGCCAACACCCTCTATCAACCGAACTTCCGACCTGTTCTGCGGCTCATAGAGGAATGGTATTTCTCCGTTGCCACTGATGAACGGATCAAGCTCCCCGACATGCTCCTCAAGGATTGGCCACTGACCGAACATCCACAAGTCCATAAATGACGCGGTCGAGTCACTCAAGTAGGGGCGTGACCTGGATCAACCATGCCATCTACCTCTGTTTCCTTTCGCGATTAAGTCTCAGTCTACGATTGGGACGTCCGCGTTCCAACTCACGACCGAGTCGTACAGTGACAACCGCATGATCGGCCACACCCCCTTGTTATTCCCAGACTGGATTTCCTTACGTCTTCTACTCTCAGCTGCTTTTGGTTTACCTCGTCTCACTTTTTTTGCATTAGGTTTTCTTTCATTTACTCGTTTTCGGCTTATCTATTGTTTTCCTTTGGCGCTCGGCGTATTCGTGGTGTGGGAATACCATGGTACCCGCCGTTCCTCTGAGGTAGCATTGCATTTACGGTAGATAGGGAATGAAGCTTCTTACAATATCCAAAAGGTACCGTACCGTACCTTCGTAGCTACCCATAGTAGGCGTTTACCATGCAAATCCGATTAGCGCGGCTTATGCAACGGAACCAAATATAATTAGAAATGAAAAATCTCAGAGCATTAACAAGGGCATCGATTGGAACATCCACACTGATAAAAAGGATAAACTTTCGTTGGATATCTCATTGAAATAGTTTGAGGTATACGACTGGGCAGATAGAGGACGCCAAAAGACTGATCTCCACGTTAAAGAACTAGAATATATTGGCAGCAGACCCTTGAACACCGGAAAATGTCCCATCACGTCCATACCTAGTCATCACCATAAGCTGGTACTGTATTGACACATTACTGGACATTCACTACCAGCCCACATTATCATTTAACGCCACGAAGTTTACTCTGTGATATCTTCCTATCTCACTTCATCATCTCCCCATCCCATCAAAAAGTGGAAGTCAAACCAAACGCGAGATCAAAATGCGTGGACTAGTCGACGAGACACCTCTCCCAAAAAGACAGTGCATTACTCCTCAAGATGAGGAAGATAAACCGTGGCTGCCATCCGACAGCGAGGAAGAGGAACCACACCGCGCCCCTAGCACCGACCGCGACGAACCATGGCTCCCCTCCGACAGCGAAGAGGAGGATGACGACACCAAAGGCAGCGAACATGAGAGGCGCAATGATCCAGGCAAGGAAGATCCGGACGACACCAGAGTTGACGGCTTCTCCCGACCACGGAACGCCATCGGGTCCCAGAGCGGCAATTCCCGTACCGATCATACCATCATGATCGAGTGAGTCGTCAACACACCAGAATACCGAACCGGGTGACTATCAGAGACACCTTCCCCCTACCAGTGAGGGCCAGAATACCGCCAGAGACGATATCTTTACGACCGCGAGCGGCTTTCCCAGGTCATTTAACAGAAAGCTATACTTCCACTGGGTTATCGACAGACATAAATCTTGGGTAAAACCCGAAGACCAGCCGAAAGGGAAGGATAGAACAAAACAAATCTGCGCTACGTTTGATATAAGCGACCAAGGAGACATCTCAAGAAACCTATGGAGCTCGCAGTGGCGGACAGGAACCGTTTCGTTCAACAGGTCCGATAAAGCGCTCAACTTCCCCAATGAAGATTTTACGACGTACCCATGGGGCCTTCCCGCCCAGAAACTGTATCAAGCAGTTGAGAAACGCGGTCGTTTTCAGGCAGACACTCCTTATGAGAAACCTTTCCGAGACCTACTTTGGCGCATTGAAGAGTGGTACTTCTGTCAAACGCAGGCTGAATATGACACCCTCAAAATCCTGGATATTACCGAATGGGGCTAACAGGAACAACACTCAAAGATCTTACCGATCCTTTGAAACCCCTGGACTAGCCGTCAATCATGTATTTTGGCTCAATACATTCCCAGGGGTATCTCCATAGCAGTAGCATGGGAGGAGTTTATCATATTCTACGATCTACTCAACCTAGCACGTATAACTCCAGTTTATTAGTAGACGACTGTATGATGGAAGAAATCCGTAAGCATCATGACAACATTTTAAGATCCAATTTCAACCGTTTCTAGTCTCACATTGATTGCTGACATCGAATCCGGTAACTGCTGAACTGTCATTGGCATAAAACCTTGTATCTTGGATCCGATCAAGCGCTGGACAAAAGTACATTTTTACCATAAATCAGCTGAAAGCCAAGTATACAAACATATTTCCTGTCTCGGGCTCTGTTAGTCTTTTTGGGAGCATCCAAGAATCACATCAAATTTCCATGTTGTCTCAATTCATTTTTTAGTGGCAGTTGAGACTTATTTCCAAAGACGAACTGCTACATGAAACAATAGACTTGATAGATTCCGTTATATTTAAAGTGAAGCTATTCGGAAGTGGATTGGGTTGTGTTCCTTGAATTTTGGATTTGGGCCGCCCTACGATGCTTTCAACGGATATGTTCTTCCATCCTCAGATGACCGGTGAGGATGCCACACCCCCAACATCTCTATGTGGAAATGGTAGGGGTCTAGGTACCTACGGGATCGCTGGAAGGTGTTAGATCTGTATGGGCAACACAGGGAAATATAGCCAAAACAATTTACTGGGAACTTTTGCGGCGTTGCATTGGGGGTTTTGCCTGGGCGAGCAGGAATCCACCGTCTTAGAGAAGATTCAACCCGAGACGGTTTGGTGCAGCAAACGCCTACTTCCGATATACAACAGTCGACCAGGTTCAATTGATCATCCGCATTAGCTACATAGCTTTTCGGTTACAAGCACTAGCCCACACTGATATATAGGAGAGCTTCCATACAAATCATCGAACGGAATCGGGAACGGCGATCGCGTGAGTATGGTACAAAGGCGATAATAAGCGTTAGGTCGATGCTCCGTCAGGAGTTTAAATATGATGGTTTTGCTCCCCATCGTAATCCCGAGGAAGAAGATAACCTTGAAGATGGTTACAATTGGGATGGATGACGTCCAGGGGTTGGTGCATTCAGAGCTGACTGAATACTTTCTGTATCGTAGAACTACATCTGTACTTAGTTGAATTAGGCCACTTTAGCTGAATCAGATTGAATGATCACAATCACACTGCTTGGTTTCTATCATAGTTTTGACTGATTCCATCGATTCCATCTGACCCCTAGCCGTCTTACCGTTTTCAGTACCCCGAAGATACTGGGCCTGTACGTCCGGTGGATGTATCCAGAATTCCATATTTATACGAGATAGACTGTGTTTGAGGAAACGACGAGTGAAAGCGTCTATTGAACATTTCCCATGAAGCTATGAAATCGACTAGGGGTATAAGACATACAGAACATTTGAAAAGCGTAGCAACGTTTCTTTCAGCAACAGCAAATCCTTCGTTAGACCCTCTCCGACCAGTAAACCCAAGCGTGTCAAATAAAGATGCTCCGAACGTAGCAGGAAGTTTTCCAGCGAGTCAAACTTCATGGCAGCCATTGGATAGCGATAACTCCGAAGTGTGATTGTCGATGATTGATGTCTAACCACCCTCGTGACGAACACGTACGCGCGTAGTGTATTGCCCGAATATCGAAAACATCTCTGGTTCGTCAGGACCCAGGGTGTCCGCCTCGCATCCTTGCGTCAACTCAAAATCCACCATTGTTACAGCATTGGTTTCCGGGTCGTATAAGACGTTATGCATCCCGGAGTCGATAACAATGGTAGACACTTGCCTCAGTACCTTGATAGCCTTGTAAATCTCTGAACGTATATGCTCCTTGACGCTTCCAGAAAGGTTGCCCCATTGCTTGTCGAGCGGTTCCCCATCAACCTTTGTCATCACAATGATATAACCTTGGGGAAAGATCGAAGAGCAACAGATCTTGCCGAGGCTTAGTAGTGAGGGGAAAAAATCGAAACCGGCTGGACGTAGCGCATGGATATTCTCATACGTCCTCGCTTCGTCAGCAAACCTACAGAACAAACGGATTAGCGATTGAGATACTATGCTACAAGGACACAGCAACAGACCGTTCGACTCGAGATGGCGACCAGCATTTCGCAATGGCCGGTTTTCCATCCCATGTGACTTCAAAAATCGCCTTGCAGGAGGATTGCTGGATAATCCTCTTGCAATTTACGAACGTCGTTGCAAGACCGTCGTCAGCCCCGTAAAGGATCGACGACGAACCAAGCATGTCGGATACCTCCTCCTTGGTGCCGATTTGGTTTCGGAAAGCGGACGGACGTATGGAGGCTTGGAATGAAGGCGGCGTCGGAATGCGGAGCTAGGGTCTGATGTTAGGAGATTGCCGCTATTATTATTAACTGGAAAACTCACCTGGGCGACGTTGAATTCAGGAGGTTCAACAAATTCCCAATCATCGGAAGCAAGTACACCTAGAGCTAAGAAGCACTGGCGAAGGCTGGGATTCGATGCGTCTCTTCCAATTGGTAATGACATGTCAAAGCGGTAAGGAGCCGTTCTGCGAATGAAGACCGTCGTCTCGTACGTGGACAGAAATCCAAACTTAAGCTCACTCGACCGCATGTACTTGACGAGTTGGGCTGAGGAACCGTTAACACGGCTATGAATAAGGTTCACTGGACTTACCAAGGTGATGCTGGATGCCGATTAACCGTTGGTAGCCTCGGCGAATGGAATAGTTGTCAAGAACAACTGTCCAGAAAGACTTGAGTTCTCCAACAGCCGCTAGGCGAGGTGGTCGAGGTGGTCCCGTTGTGTTGAACATAGTGATATCAGGTACTTGGCTCGTGTCCGTTGGCCCTGCAGATGACTGATAATCACCGAACTTTAAATGGGCGAGGCGAGTGGTGGCAAAGACTTTGGCAACAGGGTCACAGACGTTCTTGGTGAACCTGCCAGTCAGACCAAGTTCGCTGCCAACGATGTAACTTTCCGACACATCATCGGTGTATTGAACGGTATGGCTAAGATCTACAGATGCACATGCTTCGAGGACATCAGGTGCAAAGCTCTCCCATTCGTGGAAGAACCGTAGTGAAATGACCTCCGACGAGTTCGAGACATGACGAGTCCCGTTGATCTGTGTAAGCGGGGGGGGGGGTCGTAGTATAACCTCTGCAGCGGACTCCATGGTGGAGTTTCCCGAAAGTAAATCACTCATTGTGAGTAAAACGGCTGGGCCGTTGGTTGGTTGGACGCTGATGGAAAATTGAGAGAAAAGCGGGTGGTGGAGCAAGGGGAAAAGAGATGTGGAAAATATTGTTGGTGGATGCGGAATGCACTAAGCGAATTGGGGAAAGGGCTCAAGCCCTATGCATGGCCTAACCGCCTAAGGCCACATTACCCACTTGGTATTTCTAGTGTTGAGGTGACGTTCCACATCGGGGGCTGAGATAACGCGGGAGGCTTCGGGCTTCTGGGCTTCCTCGACTTCATCAGCTTCCTCGGCACAACGCTCGCCGACTGGCGGTTCTGCCTCTGCTTCCGCCTCAGCCACCTCAGGACCGACGGATTGGCCGCCTTTACCTTTGCCCATTCTGTTGAAGCTGACGGTACGTTTCAACTCCCCGTTCAACCCTTCTCTTGAAGCACTCAAATGCCCACTGCGCCAAGGTTTCGGTGTCTATGGATGACAGTTCTTTGAAAGGCTCAGTTTGGCTGAAGGATACCGACCCTTTGCAACCTTTCCGTTCCGACTGGGCCGGTTGGTTGTATTGTCTTCCGTTGATGGTCTTATTTGAAAGTTCCCACTGGTATGCTGTCTCGTCGACGGTTAGCGACATTCGCTGGCAGCTGATAGTGGTTTGTACTGAGCTTCAGCAGTCTCCATCGTAGGTTCCGTTCTCTCGGTTGGTCGCCTGGTAATGCTGGTGGTGTTTCTGGTCCATGGTGATTGTGTAGCGAAGGGGTTCCAGGTCATGCCTGATCTTGATGACTGCTGTAAGGTAGAGGTTGGGTGGTCGGCTCCGAGTGCCACTGAGCGGTGCGAGCGATAGGTGCCGGTGCCGATAGGATGTCCCCCAATATGTCCCATGGAGCCATGGTGACGCCCTTAGCGTAGACTATCTGTCCATCACGAACGATAGTATGTTCGATCGTATCGCTGGAGACCGATGGATGTCGGTTTGCTGTGAGTTCCTCCGAGGCTTGCCTTTTGGCGCCTTCATCCTCGGGCGATCTCGTGGGCATTGCGCTTGTGATTCCTCGAAGACGATGCTGCGGTTTTTCTTGTATGCGTTGTCAAGGGCTGCCCAGTCGCTCGGCTCACGTTCATTCCGTTGCGCATCTGTGAGCGGGTGACCGATGGCATCGCCCCGGCTGACCAGGAAAGAGCGAATATATAGTACTCATGGTCGTGCACAGAGGCAGGATGATGGTGGTTTGAAAAGGATGCAAGGAAGGCGAGAGTAGAAGTGCAGGAGCGAGTTTGTCTCAAGAGAAGTAGATGATGCAGGAGGGATACCCGAATGATGATACTGGTGGTCAGTGACAGTTAGTAGGTAGGTGTAGTGGTGGGATATGAGCAAGGATCTTGGTGATATGTTGGTGATTGTGGGAAGGGGGAGGTGTGAGAAAGGGGAAGTACATAACAGTGGGAAGGTCAGATTTATACTCGGCGGGATCAAGGGTCTCATCATAATATGAGGCATAGGTGAAGTGTTAAGTCATTGGTGTGTTTGGGTCAGATGCGTGAATGTTGTGAGAGTGAATAACAAGAAAATTTCTACTTCAGCCATTCGGCCAAAGAAAACAAATAGTGATGTGGCAGGTAGTATCTGTAGCCATCCTGGTAGGTCACTGCTTGGTATGCAAAGGTCTAACTCAAGCCATGATTTAGAAGATGATTAGCCGACATTAATTTCAGCTGTATGTAGATGTAGCGCTTGATGCTTTAGAAGTGAGGGAAGAGTGGTGGTTGAGTAGAGTGAGATGTGCTGATTATCCTTCATCTCACCCAACCCACATTAAGTGAGACAGATATGAGGATACAATGACCAATCTTCCACACCAAGGTAGGCAGCTCTCTGGCTAATAATGCCAGCATGAATAGCTGCACCCCAGTTGTAGAGAGTTAACACTCCAGTAACAACTAAATTGTCCCCCTTCTTTGAAGTGAATAGATTACTTAATAGGGTGCACTAGCTTTTGTTACATCAGACATGAATATAATGCTCTGTTAGCACCGCGTGGGTCATCTGAGAAGCCTAGCTTTGTAATTCTCCTAGTCTTAACTGCAAATTAGTTTGAACAGATATAAAGGGTTTGCTTTCATTGAACATGGCTAATGTAGTATTTGTGTTGATTCTCCTCCCTTGTCCTGTCCTGCTCCAGACAGACATAGCATCATCGAGATGCAGTGAATGTCTGACTATTTAGATATGTGAATTTGTCACCAGAAGACTGCAGATCCCAATGGTACTATTTTTGGTTAGTGAAGTCTGGAGGAAAGAAGTTTATTCCTATCTTTGAGCAAAATCTTTTTATGGCTATCTCATTCTACCATCATAGATGCTTCTCAGGCCTGATTACCTAAAGAGATAAAACTATTCTTTTGTACATTCCTAGTGGCTGTGAAGTCAAGCCGACAAGTCAGATCCAATTTCTATTATTGCATAGAGCTACCATATATATATCTGAGAGGTGTATGTCAGTCCATCTACCATTCCGTCTACTATTTCGTGGTAGCCATTGATGGTAGTTCCCTTAGTCATTTCATAACAATCCTCATTGGCCAAAGGCATTGTCCATATCATCTGTAATGGAGACCTCGTAAGAGTGAATGCATGTAACAAATGATTGGTGGTGGCTGTTCCATAATGCTGCCTCCCTTCTCTGTCTTTACGTGATCGATGCTGTGAGTCGGTGTAGGTGACGTAATAGTTTCCTTAGGGATCTAACCAAAACAGGTTACTTTCTGGGTATGCGTAGTTAAGACCCCATCGACCAACCGAAATCCGGCTCAAGCAACGCCCAGAAATGCCGAAGTGACGGGGTAATAAACTTCAAGACAGTGCTCACGAAGTGATATCAATCGAGCTAGAACCGAGCGAATCAAACAGCTGCTGGAACGACTAGCAAGCACTCTATTCTTAGAAAACTCCCGTCCTTCGTAGTCCAGCCAAATGCGGACTAGCGTTGTTTCACATTATGGTTCCAGAAACAATGCGTTTGTCTAAGCGAACAATCTAAGCCACCTCCAAAATCGATCACAACTACGGCCAAAACTACTATGACTACAGACCGAGTCGGATCGATGGACCACACATTCAGTCAATGTCGCCTAATAACTTGCTGCATTGCATGACACTAACTTGAAATACAGAACCATCTTCTCACTATTGCAGATAAACCACCAGTACTTAACCAGCGACTTCCATATACTTGCTGACACAATGTCAGCTCTCCAAGACCTCACGAGGACAATCATCCCTGTACTATCCAGGCAACAGTGGATTTTAGTGCGCAGGGTGTCATGCTTTCCTTCAACAGGTCCCTGGACACCCAACAGTTTACGAAAGCACCACGCCATGGGGCAGCGGATGAGCCAGACTGGCAGGTATTCGGCGCGAGAATGCAGACATTTCCTCGTTTATTGTCACGAGAGAAGCCCTTCCTCCGCAGCAAGACCTGGCCCAAAGTGAAAACGATTATGGATAACATGTAATAAAAGACTCCCACCGAAGGAACTCCATCAATCTGAATGCAACGTGAACTAGACAGCTTTAGGAAGCCGGGACGAGAAATCCATTTTAACTTCTAGTACTGGTGCATCTGTGATGATCTTAACTTAGTCTGTCAGTTTCTGTCGCTGCCAACCGAGAGCTTCACGTCAAGTCTCTCTGTTGGACGTTGGACTTGGGCGTGAAGTGAATCGGCTGAGAAATTTTAGGATATTCAATCAATACCAGCCATATAGCACTACGATTTTGACGGCCCTTGGGCAGAGACGAACTGGAGAAAGAGAAAAAACACTGGAGCCTACCGCTTGTCTCAAATGGACATATTCCTTGAAGTATCTAGGTCGGTACGACCCTGGGCGATCCGTGGGGCAAAAGCCACTTATTGATGTGGTTCGCAGTCTCCTAATAGTCGAGCGCCGCAGAAACAGGCTATGATTGACATATCAATGGACTGGTGCTGATTCACCTCAGGATTTTCTCTGACCCCGGCTTCCCAGCCAGGCACCCAAGTCTACCGTGGATCATACTGCTGCATTTATTTTAGATAATGTTTTCGTGCTGCGCCCATGTACCCTATGGTTCGCCTCCGCGTTGATACATTATTAAGGGCCCGTCACCGCCGGGGTGCGAGGTCTTATGGAAATGAAATATCATGGCCGTCATCTTGGGTAGACCGAGACAGCTCGCTGTTGTGGTGATTCTTTCTGTTGTGGTCTTTGCTATCTTTCAGTTCAGCTACACTGACGATTTTGCCGTCGCCAGACACTTGTCAGAGTCTGTACAAATAGTGGATGAATGTTCTCCTGGTGCACTCAAAGCTATCGATAACCCTCGTCCTATACTCGATCCTGCAATACCAAACATTGTCCATCAACTATGGAAAACAACCGATGTCCAAGAATATTCCACCAAAATCACAGCGTCTCGTGAATCATGGAGGGCCATGCTTGAGCCCTCCAACTACACCGTCAAGCTATGGACGGACGACGATGTCCTTGAACTCATCAAGGCAGATTACACTTGGCTGCTGTCGACGTATAAGGGATACCCTCACGATATTCAGCGTGCCGACATTGCGAGGCTGCTGATCGTCCACTCCGAGGGTGGCATCTATTCCGATCTAGACGTGTACCCCAACTCAGCTGAACATATTCAATGCCTCCAAAGACTTGGCTTACAAGCGATATTCTCCCCAACGGCAGGCACACTCGGTCTCAGTAACCATTTCTTTATGGCCAAGCCTGGATCTCCATTCCTGCAGTGGGTGCTCTACGAGGCCAAGCGGCGCAGTAGCCGGCTCGCATCACGAGCCATAATCCTGCCGTACCTGCAGGTTTTTTGGTCCACAGGACCGATCATGGTGACGGCAGCGTTTAGACAATACGCTTGGATATACAACACGCTACGACTCGATATAGGGCTGCTCGACGACGGGTTTGGTGGCTCGGTGGTACGACATGCCGCTGGACGGTCCTGGCAAGGAGTGGACGGCCGAGCGCTGAATTATATCGCGGATCATGCCGGGATGGGGTATGTATTATTAAGAGCTGTTGGATATTTTTCTACGGTGGCAGGACTTATTTATGTGGTTAGGAGGTGCAAGAATAGATTCACTAGGTGACAAGGTGAGGGCCAGGCCTATATATTGCCTGACATCTTATATACATCAAGTCTTGAGCCGTAGATTCGAAAAGGACGCTGTACAGGGTGAAATGACAATCCTCTGTAGCCTCGTATCAAGCAGCGCACTTTACATACGTTCTGTTTCCACGGAACTGTCCGTTCTTTCAAGTTTGACCTCAATATGTCAATAGATCCACTCGCTGAGGAGGGGAGCCGGTTCTGGCTCCCCTGAGGACCATCCAGTTCTCTCTATTACTAAATCATATTTATCATACCGACCGTCCGCCTCTGCTCCCATCCTCCCCCGGGTATCACCCATTGATATTCATCTATTCTCCCCACCCTTCGTGCTATCGTCAACTCCGACATCCTCCGTTGTATTTAACCGTTCGACCCTCTAGTCTTGTATTTTGACAATAGCCCCTTACTCCCAACTAGCTAGACCTAATAGGAGTAATAAATTAGATAATTTTGGCTCCGTTGGAAACAAAATATTCTGCCTATACCTTACCTTAGAAGGCTGCAGATCCCAGTGGTACCATTTTCAGTTAGTAAGTCTGGAGGAAAGAAGTTCATTCCAACCTTCCAGTAATCTTTTTTATAGCTATCTTATCCTACTATCATAGATGCTTCTCAGACTGGAGTGCCTGAGGAGATGAAACTCATCTTTTATATACTGCTAGTGGCTGTGAAGTCAAGCTTACAAGTCAGATCTAATTCTTATTATTGTATACAGCTACCGTATATGTATCTACAAGGATACATCAGGGCGCCCCAGATTCGTCAGCACAGCTATACACATCCTACACTCAGATATAAACAGTGCTCTAACAGCTCACGGAAACATTAGACTCGCTATCAAACTGTGATGCATGAATAAGAATAAGTGCAAATTCCTCAACGGAATAGTCAGTGCTGATAGCCTCTATTGACCGCGTCTTTGATTCCCATTAATACAAAACCATTCATGTTCTAGCGTTTCTGCCGCTGTCAACCGGTGGCTAGGCTCATATTGTAGGATCTTCTTCAACAGATCCGCCAATTGTTCAACCTCGCCGGGGGAAATCTCTCTGGAAAACTCTTCGCCTGGCCCCAAGTCCCAATAATGCAACCCTCGTCGTAGCGCCCACTCTATCGACCGAGCGCCGGTCGATAGGTCCGATTGTTCTTTGGAAAGTGCATCCACCAGAACCGCTCGACCGAGTGAGTCCGTTTCATCTTTGAAGAACTCCTTTCTCTGCTTCCAAGTCGTAGACCACCACGGCTCTGGCAGTGCGCCAAGCATCTCAACCATGTAGAAAAGGTGGCTATCAACATCATCATCAAACATGTCGAAGAGCTTTCTACCCGTTCGTATTTCGAAGAGGGTGCAGCCGAGTGCCCAGAGGTCACATCCAAATCCTGACGTATTCTCTAAAACAAGTTCGGGGGGACGATAACTCTCGGGGATACCAAGCTCCTCTGGTGGGTTTGTGACATCGTAAGATTCTCCGAAGTCGATCACAAGAATCTCATCTACGACGTACGGCAGCGGAACATTGCGAAACTCGACCGGGCGGACGAGATATCTAGGCGCGGTAGGATCAGAGGGAGTCTCCCCTGACTCAGTAAAAACTTCTACCTTGACGGGTTCTCCCAGGATTTTGAGTACTTCATCCTCTGGTAAACCGTCAAGGCCCTCAACTTTTAGGAGAATGTTTGACGGCGTGAAGTCTGACACCAGTTAGTTACAACCGTGCAGTGTGGCTCGTGGAAATGTTGGGAACTGACCTCCATGACATATGCCATGACTATGCAATGCAGCCATGACTTCAGTAGCTTGTCGAGCCATTTTCCGCAAGCTTCTGTCCGGGTCTTCGAATTGTTGGGCTATAAGAGAGACACATGGACCCGCCACAGGATACACAAAGCAAAGGTGTGACCCGTTTGGGCCTTCGATTCGAAATTGATCAAACGGGAGGCAGATGTGCTTTTCCAATCCAACTTCTCGAAGCCGTTCCACGCGAAGCTCTGGGTAATCGTCTTTAGAGTAATCGGCCATAAGGATCTTGACAGCCACATAATGGGGTGTCCCATTGCGAAGGACCTGACACAGCCAAACGTTGGCGAATCCCCCGCTGCCTAGCTTGTGAATGACGCGATATTCACCTTCCTGTCCTATGTGGTCGCCAAGCTGAACAACATGATGGCCACCAGGCTCATAATCCCAGATTTTCTCCAGTCCGAATGGGGCCATCTCGATGTACAAACCATTGAGTGGCCGCTCGTCATACTCTTCCTCCGACTGAGACAAAACGGGAAATCCAGGCGCGTAGTCTCCGTCATCCGACATTGCAAGTGCAGGCTCTCCTGACTGTTGAGAGCGTCAGACACTGAACTCCAAGAAAGTTGGAAGGCCATAAATTAGAGTACCGAATTGGCGACCTCCAATTTGTCTTCTTCACAGAACTGGCGACGTTAAAAAAGTGTTCAGCAAGTCGTGGAAAGGCGGGGCAGTGGCGGAGGACTAAGCCGGGGTGTAGGACGAAGCGACGCCATCCAATGAATGAACTAAGCTGGCATTTCCGTTTCCTTTGCCAATAAAGCGCCATTGTCTGTTATAAGAAATAGATCGATCGATTGTAGGACAACAGAACACGGAGTCGTAGACGACGTCGTTACACCCCTGCAGACCCCACGAGTCACCGTCTCCTTGGGCAGATCAACGCGGAATTATGCTGATGAGCGCCATTTAGATATTAACATTGTAKATAGATAAATGTGTCTTGTTGCTCTGGAAGCCCATGCGAATGCTGCATACCTCCAGGGAGCTCCAACCCAGATCTCTCAGAGGACGCGAGAACGGGGGAACCGCATCAGCTCTATTGGAACTCCTCTCATTTGACTGCATCGGCCGCTCAAACCCACAGCTATTCTTGTTGGACCTTGTGTACTGCATATCTGTAATTTCTGTTTCTTGATTGCCTTGCCTTTGCTAGAGTATTGTTCATATGCTATATCATGTTAGCGTACAGCTCGATGTCAATTTGTCAATTGACAGACTTATCTGTTGAAAGTGTTATTATGGAGCGATGGGCTTAATTCGGCATATCCTTCGAAGCTGCTGCCGCTACCAGATTGTTAATTGGGCTGATATCGATGCGTTGATGCTAAAAGATCGTGCGGATTGCGACATTCCCCTAGCGGGAAGACCCCTCATGCTACCATCGTCCCCTGCAATCATGCAATCAGCTTGGCGAATAAGCATCTTGTTTTTATTGGAGTCTTCAGAGGAAACGCCAAGTGTATATTCGTAGAATTGATATTATTCAACCGATAATCAGCACTTAGGTCGCATTGCCGAGGGCCACCAAGCAGGCCAACAGGCATTACTGGGTGGAGTTTAAAGACAAACTAGTATGAGCTCCAGACAAAAGGACAGTCTACTTGACAATCTAGATTCTCTGCCAATGCCAGACGGGCCGTCATAACGTCTTTTGAGTTTCTCGAAGTCTTATCGAGTTCTGTCCTACAGCATCACGTCATTGTGCCAGGTGATGAGCACCTTATGTTACACTCATCAAGGGATAAATAGTCCGACCTCGTACAGCATGATGGGTTAACAGCACTCACGATCTGCCTTCTGACCCAAATCAATCACAATGGGGTCCCAATCCAAATCCGAGCGCAATGATCAATCTGATGCATCGAGCTTCAGCAGTGGCGACCTGCAATACACTGCTGAAGCCGGTGCCAACTCCTCCGTGCCAACCTACCAAGAAGCCAGTGGTGCGCCGGTTGAAGTCAATTCACCGCTGGGATACTCGGTCGGATGGATTACAGTCATCTTTCTCAACCTCAGCAAGATGATCGGAACCGGTGTCTTTTCCACCCGTGAGTCCTCCGTCTCATGTGATGCAACACCTGGAATTGACAGCCGCAGCATCAACTGTCCTCAAAGGCGCCGGGTCCGTTGGCCTGGCACTGATCTACTGGGTCATTGGATTCTTCATGGCCGGCAGCACACTGGCAGTCTACCTGGAGTTTTCCTCGTACTTTCCCAGTCGGTCAGGGTCAGAGGTGGTTTATCTCGAACAGGCGTATCCGCGGCCAAAGTACTTTCTCCCGACTGTGTTTGCAATGCAGTCGGTTTTGTTTTCGTTTAGCAGTAGTAATGCGATTGGTACGTGCATCAATCTGGATACCGGGTATATCTGACCGATCAGTCCTCGCGCAGTATCTTTTTCGACTAGCAGAGGCGGACTCCACGCCGTGGAAGCTCAAGGGTGTTGCGGTGGCTACGTATAGCGTTGCAGTGCTAGGTAAGATTGCATATACTGTCGGCGTAAGGATACTAACAGTATAGTCCTGGCATTCAACACAAAGTGGTCGCTGCGTTTCGCCAATGCCGTCGGGTTCGTCAAACTCGTCACCTTGGTMTTGTACGTCTATCCCTTGTCATAAAAGAAGGAAACTCACGGGTTAGCATCGGTATCACCGGCCTAGTCGTCCTTGGGGGCCACACCAAGGTGGAAGATCCCAAGGCCAACTTTCGCGACGCTTTTGAGGGTAGCTCTTCTGCATCGGTGTACGGAGCCACGAATGCACTGGTCAAGGTAGCCTTCTCGTACGCGGGATTCGAGAATGCATTCAACGTGGTGAATGAAGTCAAGGTAAGTTATGCTTTTGGCTCCAGCTGTTCGGTACTCATGCCAGCAGAATCCAATCAAAACATTACGGTGGAGCGCTCCGGTCTCCCTCCTGCTAGTAGCAACGCTCTACATGCTGGCCAACATCGCCTATTTCTCCGCTGCGACAAAGGAAGAGATCCTCGCCTCCAAGGTCGTGGCGGCGGGTATCTTCTTCCAGAAAGTCTTCGGCACGAGCAGTGCGTCACGAGCCCTGAACTTCTTGATCTGTCTCAGCGCATTCGGGAATCTGCTTGCCGTTCTTATCGGGCAGTCCCGTCTCCTCCGAGAATGCGGAAGGTAAGTCTCTATGCTATGACTGACCGTCGCCGCCGCTAACAAGCCCAGACAAGGAGTCCTCCCGTTCACTAAGTTCTGGACCTCGACTCGTCCATTCGGCACACCGCTTGGTCCCTACGCGTTGAAATGGGCCTTGACCGTCCTCATGATCCTCGCTCCGCCAGCCGGCGACGCCTTCAATTTCGGTGCGTTCTCTCTGGACATACACTGTATAAAGCCTATACTTACGTTGGCAGTCGTCGATTTGGGCGTGTACCCCACCAGCGCCTTCGCCCTAGTCCTCGCTATTGGACTATTGCTTACCCGTCGTCACCGCAAGCGGCATAATATTCCGCACTCGGGATATAAAGCGTGGGACGTGGTGGTTGGCTTCTCGATCCTCTCGAATCTCTATATGGTCCTTGCGCCGTGGTATCCGCCCACGACGGGTGCGAAAGGAGGGGACGTGAGTTTCTGGTATGCGACGTACTGCGCCGTGGCCTTGGGAATGTAAGTTGTCCTCTGTCTTACTGAGTGCAAATGCTAATTATGTAGTATTGGGCTCTGTGGCGTGTATTACTACGTCTATATCAAGGCGCTGCCGCGGCTGGGCGGGTATACGTTCCGGCAGACTATCCTGCAGATGGAGGATGGGGCGACGGCGCACAAATTGGTCAAGGTGCCTAATGAGCAATTGAAGGCTTGGGATGCGGAACATGATGCTACGGGGAGAGAGCTAGCCAAGGAGGAGGCTGTTAGTACGGCTGTCGATGTCAAGCACGAGTTGGCATATAGTTAGCGTTAGGTCATTCATACCAGCGTTCCTATCAACTATAAATGTGAATGGGACTCTCCCCACTCGGCTGGTAATTTCAAGTCCCTGGGCAGGGTATACTCCCCCCGACAACTGCCTGGATTCGTACAACGCAGATTGCACCGTCCGTACAACCGACAATAACACTCGTCAGCCCTCGGGCACGCCTGCTCATTCAGCCGCTGCAAATCCACCCCATCCCCAGACCCAGTCGCCAGATGCTCAGGCGCAATAAACAGAATATGCCATATATACGACAGAATCCGCCCAGCGACCCGATCATCCGGCGGGGACGCTCCCTGTCGCCGCGGACCAGCCGCCATCCCATCAAGCAACCATTGCCGCAACGCAACATACTCCGCCCGCGAATGCCGCCAGATATTCTCCCTTGCCACTACAAACTGCGCACAGCACTGCGCTCTGACCGCATCGTTCCGCCCAAGCTTCGCAGCAAGGTACCCCTCCCGCTCATCCCCACCAAACAACACCCCCAGCGCCGCCGGCAGCGCCGTATCCGACGCCGCGCGCGCACTCCACGGCTCAAGCACAGACTGCATCCGATTCTCCAGACTGCCCTGCGGCGCGGCCGAGGCAGCGCACGTGCTCACGCTCCAGTCGCAGCGGAGGTTATGGTACCCGTATTGTTCCAGGGCGGTGGGGATGTTCAGCGATGCGAGGAGCGCGGCGTTATCGTAGGCTGGGTGATCGTTGTGCCAGGCGTAGCGGGAGCCATGTACGAAGACGGCGCCTGCGGCGGGGATGGAATCGTAGTTGTCGATTAGGAAGGTGAGGTAGGCCATTGCCTCGTGGCCGCGGTTTGCGGGGACTTGCAGCGTGGATGCAGCGGGATTGGGCGCGTCGACGGTGTAGATGCAGAGGTGGTAGGTTTTCGAGAGGGGATCAAGCCAGGAGGGGTCACCGTCCGCCGTGACGCGCGAGACCACCAGGGCTGGTTTGGTGGTTTTGCTGAGGCCGGGGCATCTTCCGCGGGAGGGCGGGATGGGGGAGGAGGATTTGTAGCGGATGTGCGTCCATGGGAATGTTTTGATGCGGGAGGAGGGGCGGTTGAGGATGAGAAGGAGGATGATACCACCTAGGACGGTGAGGTGGAAGAGAGAGCGCAGTGTTTTGCGTCTCATGGGGGCGACCTCTATCGTATAGCGCCCATTGTATAGGTTTGGAGGATGTGTCTTGGGATAAGTTGCTCTGGGCGATCCGCGGTCAGTAAGCCTGACGGGAATGCACCGCCTCATTCCCACCCCGTTTATGCAGGGAAGATCCCACAGATAAAAAGGTGCAAACCTGGATCAGACGGAAGAGATCATAAATCATATACTACAGAAATACAGTATAGATTGCCTCTATGACTTACTTCTTCGCCTTACTTCTTCTATTCAAGGGCCCATCTGATCATTCTTAACTTGGACAAGCTCATGCCCAGCCTCGACAAGCCACACAGGACCGTTGTGATTGGTCTACTCTCATCCCAAGGGCTTGGCACTAGCCGTATGAGGTTAGTCATGTCTTGGTCCAGAATGCTTCTAGAAGCCTGCCAGATTAGGAAGTACATACTAAGGTGTCAAGGTACTCTAGAGATGCTGTTTTATCTAACCTCTGCTCTACCAACACATCAAGCAAGTCAAAATTTGGTTTTCAGTCGCCAACCCCCTGCAACTCCCCTGGCAATCACAAACGCCACAAATGACGCCAGATACAACACCCCTCCAAACACAATCAACCCCCAGTACTCCCCATGGTTATACTCCTGGATCGCACCCGCGATAGGAATCGCCGTCAAAGTGCCAACACTCACCAGCGTAAAGGTCGTCCCATTGCGCTTCCCTATGTCCTCCGTCCGGCAAACCTGCGAGATACACACCGGGGTTAAACTAATCGCCGCACCACTCCAGAACCCGAAGCATGTCGCGTAGGCGATGATGGCGCCCTCATTATCACCGGCTTTATACCACAGCGCCAGGGTTAATATAGCGCATACTAGTGCCGTCAATGACATGATGTTGAATCGTCCGACGCGGTCAGCGAGCAACCCTGGCAACGCGCGGCCGGGGATCGCGCCGACATTGAGGAAAACGCTTAGCTTGTATGCCAGAGACGGGTCCATGCCGGCATATAGTCCGTACGAGGAGATGTAGGTGTACGGTATGAAGACGGCAAACTCCACCATCCAGACCGCGAGCGTGGTAGCTGCATACTTCGGCTCACGGAGGGCTCTGAAGTCGATCGCCATTCCGGCTTGGTGGTTGGGTGGGAGTCGGGTGCGAAGTAAAAGGCAGGCGAGTGCGCATAGCACGAAGCAGATAATTCCGATGATCCGCAGAGCCCAGGTGAATCCGAGCGTAGGGCCAAGATATAGAATGATCAAGGGGAAGAAGACCCCGCCTAGTCCGCCGGCGGTGCAGGCTATCCCTGTGGCTAGTCCACGACGAACGTTGAACCAGTGGCCGACAGCAGAGATAGCCGGAGTGAAGAGACAGCAGGAGGAGATGCCGCCGAGAACGCTGAATGAAAGGAAGATTTGGTAGTATTCTGTGGTTGTCAGCTTGCCTGTATACGAGACAGGAGGTAGGGGACGTACGTGTACTCTCGCTGAAGAAGAAAACGGCCAACACAATGCCAATAGATCCTGGCAGGACAACTGGAAGCACGCCACGGCTGTCAAAGATGGGACCTATAAACATTAGAAAGGATTGGACGTGAAGACAGGGTCAACATACCAACTTGCGCACTGCCAAAGTACAAGAAGAAACTGAACACGCCAAAAATCCACCCAACGCTCGAGGGAGAGTATTCGGCGAGCTGATGCTCGGCTGTCCATGCATGCAGCACCCCAATCGTATTCAAAAGACCCATTGATGGAATCATTGCACACCATGCACCGAGTACCACCAGCCAGGCCCGAAGGCCCCCTTCGGGGAACTTTTCGTCAATGGGATCATTTGAAGATTCACTTTCTGCCGTCTGGATATTGCGCTTGTGCAGGCTGTTGGATTGCTTTTCGAAAATTGTCGCATCCAGGTGCTCAGGACGTTCAGATATATCCTGACTCATCTCTTCATCGGTGCGTCCGAAGTTTAGTAACTCCTAGTAGACGTACACAGCCGACAAAATCAATAAAAGTCAACTCTTCCCAATTGAGTGCCTATCTAGTTCATATAGTGGTGACCCAAATCAGCAATTAGGGTTGGGTCACTCGGATTCCTGATACCCGACAGATCATTCGAGAGAAAACGTGTAAAGAAGGTTAAGAGGAGACCAGAAATAGGATTTGTTTGCACATGTCCGATTGCGATGGAAGCAGAAATTGACTCTAGCTTGATCTATACCCACTTTTCTCCATGTTGTCGAGTTGTTCATTCGCTTTTCACGCCCCACATCTTGTCTATCCCGTCGGGACTCGCCGCCACTCGGAACATCCCGAATGAGTAGTTACTGTGTATCGGATCATCAAGATCGGTCCCTTGATATGTTGTAACTGGCATAGTTCTATGCCGTTCGCGTCTGTGCGTCATGTCGTGTTCTCAGTCATGAGCGCATGACTCGTATCTTTCCACTGCCATCGCCCAGGTGTATAAAGCTGGTATGGTTGTGGCAGGTTCCTGTCTAAAGATTCTTGGTGTTGAGTAGTTTTCCCTGTGGTAGCTACAACTGGTGTCAGCTCCCTTACAAATGGTGCGAGAATCCCAAGCTTATGGTGTACGATATGGCAAGTATACATGGAATATATATGAATGCTCTCTCAGTATGCTCGTAGCACTGCAGAATTGTCATTGGCTGCGATATCAATGTCCCGTACTTAACATATATATACATTCTCTGGAAATTGGGACGCGGGGCTAGCTCCATTACTATGGATATACAGTAACATATTATAGAGCAGGGGTGTCTGCAAAAAGCGATGCCGAAAAACTCTCAGGATACCGAGCACCAGCAACCTCGGCCTCATTGCACGCCGCTCGAACCTCCTTTTCTTCCTCAGCCGACAACTCAACGCTCAAGCTCCCCAGATTTTCCTTCAACCGCTCGACCTTGGTCGTCCCTGGAATAGGGAAAATATCATCACCCTGCGCCATCAACCAAGCCAACGTCAACTGCGACGGGGCGACCCCCTTCTTCGCCGCAATCGCCTTGAGCTTCTCCACCAGCGCCAGATTCTTGCCAAAGTTCTCCTTGCTAAACCGCGGCGAAAGCCGGCGGAAGTCACCTTCCTCGAAATCATCTGGGGAGGTAATAGCCCCAGTCAAGAACCCCCGACTCAGCGGCGAGTACGCCACGACCGCGACGCCGAGCTCGCGCGCCGTCTCGAGCAGTCTGTACTGCGGGCTCTCGATCTCCAGCGCAAAGGGCGAGTATTCCATCTGCACGGCGGTGATGGGGTGGACCTTGTGTGCCCGGCGCAGGGAGTCCGCGCTGCACTCGCTCAGACCTAGGTATTTGATTTTCCCTTCCGCCTTGAGCTGCGCCATTGCCTCGACGGTCTTTTCAATCGGGGTCTTCTGGTCGAGCCGGTGGCAGTAGTAGAGGTCGATGGTCTTGATACCGAGACGCGCGAGAGAGCGATCGCATGCCTGCGGGACGTATTCAGGTGAGGAGTCGACGACTCGTTGTCCGTCGGGTCCTACACGGAATGCGAACTTTGTTGCGAGGAAGATGTTGTCGCGTTTGGTGGGATTGGCCTTGAACCATTTGCCGAGGAGGTCCTCGCTGTCGCCGTATATGTCGGCTGGATTCCATTAGTCGGATTCACCCGATATAGTTAACGTACATACAGCTATCCCAGAATGTTTCACCAAGTTCATATGCGGCATCGAGCAGGGCAAGTCGCTCAGGGTCGGGTTTGGGGGCGCCGTAGAAGGAACTCAGGCCCATTAATCCGAAGCCGAGGCGAGGGACCTGAGGGCCGTTCTTTCCCAGGGGACGAGTTGGAAGGGTAGGCATGTTGATTGACGGATAGGATGTCTTTGAGTTGATTAGAATGTTGGGCCAGTACTCTGTACACCCACAGTCCTTTTATATGTGGAATGTCCGGGAAGTCTGATTATGGAGTGACATCAGCGGACACTATCTTCGCTGTTATTTCCGTTCAAAGTGTCATCAACGGATTTATACATCTTATTTCCGCCGTGGCAGAGTTTATGGACGCTAGCCAAACCTTATCGGAGTTATCCTTAGGAAAAGTGCATAACTGTTGCGCTTCCCTGATACCGGGTAAAGCCCGGGGATCAGTCACTACTAATACCCAACGCTTTCCGGACTTTGACACCCAGCCCCTTCAGCCTCTCAATGGACTCATTGGAGAACACAAACCGGACATACTCGCTACCGTGTACCTCTCCCCATCCATCCATTGCAGTTGCGCATACACCCTGTTCCAGCAAACGCTTCGACGCGGTGCTCCCATCCAGCCCGAAATCGCTCACGCGGAGAAGCAGGCTCCATCCGCCCGCCGGTACGCCAACTGGCAACCCATCGAGTTCTGCAAGGACGAGATCGCGGCGCGCTTGTAGTTCAGCCACATACAGCGCCATGGTTTCGGACGACCGCTCGAGCGCAACAGCCACGGCTTCCTGAGCAATTCCCACGGGCACAACGACATTGGCCATAGACACCGCCGCAATGTCGCTAATCAGGTCTTCTGGTCCCACGATCCAGCCAACACGCCATCCGATCATCCGCAGCTCTTTCGCCGAGGAGCCTACGATGACCGTCCGCTCGAACATCCCAGGTAAACTGGCTGGGTGTACCACAGGCCGCGCATCAAAGACCAGCCGCTCCATTGCGGCATCCAGGATGAGAAGCAGGTCCTTCTGTACGCAAATCTCTGCAATGAGCGTCCAGTCTTCTAGAGTAAAGTAGCCCCCGCTCGGCATCGATGGCGACATGAGCAGCATTGCAGTAGTTGTATCAGTAATCGCCGCCCGCAGTGCGGCCTGATCTAGCTTCCACTCCTTCCCTGGCTCGAAGGTAAACGGCACAAGTTTTGGGACGCCGCCTGCAAGGAGAACCCGGTTGATTAGCCCCCGGTAGGTCGGATCCGTCAATATCACCTCGTCGCCTTCCTCAGTTGTTGCCAGCAGGACGTTCAGGATACCGGATAACCCACCCACGGAGATAACGCAGTTGCGCGCGCCGGAATATGTCATGCCGGAGAGCTGCGAGACATGTCTGGCTGCGGCGTCTTTTAGACGGGCTTTGCCGGTGAATGGGAGGTAGCTGTTACATGGGTCGTCGGTGACGGCGTGCTTGGTGTAAGCTAGAGCCTCTGGATCAGGGGGGATGTTGACGTCTAGGTTTTCCAGGCGAAGGTAGTCGTTGTTGGCTGCGTCGGCGAGCTGGGCCATCTGGTCGACATTGATGCCTTGCAGGTGGTCGAGTCGTCGGGGGCGAGTACGAGGCATGATGACGATCTACGATCTAAGACGTATGCTTGCAAGCTTGGATACTTGTAGAAGTGGTAATAATGAATGGCGAGAGTTGCCAAGTTAAATATTGGAACCCCGCACTTTAGGTTCACAAGCTCGTATTGACTGATAAGCGCAACATTCACACTACAGTACCGTTATAGCATGTGCGTCTCATCAAATGGCCGTAGAATTTTATTGAAGCATGATCAATTATACTTGGACATCATTGGGTACAGTGACTCATCTAGAGAATAACAGTGCAACTATTGGCTGGCCCGATCCCGAGTACGAAGTGGCATATTTATAAAGCTTGTGTTCCCCTGCAACCAAGCCAAGACAAAGCATCTCGGACACGTTGACATAACAATGCACCGTGTTGTTTCTCGTCTTCAGAACATACAGTCCTACCATACCCAAGTACGGACTTTCCGCAGAGCATACATGACGACCCCAAGCCTCAACACTCAACCAAAGCAAGCATGGCATCCTCCCCCAGAAGGCAGCCCCTGCTTTGTGGAAATTCCCGCCCAGAACGTAGAGAAGCTCAAGGTCAGTTGCCCAGACACAGGAAAGCCGTCCGCTAACGACAGCAGGCATTCTATGCGTCTCTATTCCCATCATGGGAATGGAAACCAGCCCATGGTGGAGCGACTGAGGATGGGAATCAGATGCGGCATTTCAAATTCACCGAACCTAAAGGTATTCTTCCTCTTTTGTGCTGCATCGCAGGCTGATGGAGTAGGATTTGCTGGCGCAATCATCAAAATGTCTCAGGACGGGCCGAGAATAGAGCAGCCGGTGGCTCACGGGGCAACTGTCTATTATATTGTTGAGTCTCTTGAAACGGTGAGCTCATTCGCCTTTCTGATGAAGACAGTGCTGATTGAGTTAGATGGAGAAACGGGTAAATGAGCTAGGTGGAAACGTTATTCAGGCGAAGACGACTGAGAGCTCGTATGGTTCGCTTATGAAGTTCTGTGATCCGGAGGGGAACAAGTTTGGTTGTTATGAGGTGCGCCGTTATGCCTAAATCAGTCTACATTAAGCAGATTATTCTTTAGTGGTATATGATATCTGTGTCAATCCAGGTGCTACACAATAAGCAGTTCTATAGATTTACTTAGGAGCGACCGCGTGAAGCTACAGTTTGAACAATCAGAAGCCCAAAGGCCAAGATCGCAATGCTGGAATGTATGTAGGAATGACATGAATTGTTCGATGATTAGAACTGTTAAGCACAGTTCTAATAACACAACTTAGTCTATTTCAGCTCTATCAATGACATTGTATGACAAATCCCAGAACAGAAAACAAAATGCAATCACAGACCAATGCAATGGGGTATACATGTCCGTGCTGATACCAGCAAACATGCGCGACTTAATCAGATAAAACTTCCTTCCTCAGAGGGATGCCTCCTGTGGAAGCAGCTGGGGACGGTCTCCTCGTTGACACAAACACCCGTCGTCGGGCAGTAGGCAGTACCGGGTCCGCAGGTCTTGAGGACGGGAGCGCCTCCGGACGCGCATTCGTAGAAGTTGTGGCAGTCGGAGCTATCGGGCCATGCCTGCCCGTCCCTGCAGTACGCAGTCGCTGCGGTGGCGGATGAGAAGAGGAGAGAGGCCGCAAGGGCGGACACGGCTTGGTAGATGAAGTGCATTTTGAGGGTGATCTGAGGAAAGCTTAGTGACTTAGGGATGGATGGTTGTGTAGGTGAAGTACCTGGTGAGTATGCGATTGAATGGTAGCAAGAAGTTGCGAGATGATATCTGGAGGTTTGATAGTTGATTCTCGGCTGATGTTATGAAAGGATGGTTGATATTGAATGAGGTCGAGGACAGGGTCATCGAGTCATCTTTATACCTTTTCTTGAGTCTATGGAGGTGTAGAAAACGGATGTCATGCCGTACTCCCTTGACGTCCAAATAGTGATACGTAGATTGACCTTCCGCAGGCGATTGTGACATGGCGGTAGTAACTGTTTTCGTATACACCCCTTGGTAGTGTGAAGCTGGACTACGAGATGAGCTTCCAGCATCAACTACCAGGAAAGACTTAGCATAATGCAAGCGACGCATAGTTAATTCTGAGAACGTACAGGAATGTGCTGGGCGGCATATTCTCGGGAACATCCATGGAGTGCTTGTTCCACGTGGCTGCTGGACATATCATTACGAATATTCTGTGGATGTCAGAACTCTAAATTAAGAAACTGGGGAACTGTCGTGCTAGAGAATTGATTAACTGGGTTGTTATGCGCATGCTACGGCTTCTTCCTGCACATCCTGACTTGCTTGGGGTATCCTCGTTGATAACCAACAACCGCGTATGCTGCCATTAGTTTTGTCTAATTGACTGATTGACTGGCCCATTGCTTAAGTGTACACATTCAGTTCACGAGTGCCGCAGTCTGGAGATGATGTTCTTGCGAAGTATCAGTCGGAGGGACGAGGACCAGGGATGAGGGCCGCCAGTAGCCACGCCGCGGAATGTTGGAATGCTGGAATGTGGAACTGCTTCCGAAGCCACACATCTTTATTTTATCCCTGTGCTCATTCTGAAAACGAAAGTCGATCGTAGTTCGCTGCTGGATCCGAGTTTACGAACGCCATTGTAGCGATTTACTGTCTTCCTGCCGAACAAAGTGACCTGAATATCGTCTGGTATACTCCACATGCTTTCGTCAACCAGTGGAGGCTCTAGATTATAGGATAGCATATTCTCTCTTTATCCCGGTCATTGAGTAGAAATCCTAATTATGAAAATACCTGGTGCTTCGGTATCGCAAGTGCTGTATGGGCTGCGGTTTGCGCGACCGAGCATACCTCAAGGGAAATGTAGCTTAACGCCACCTTGGTCAATGAAGGCTTGACGCACATGTAGTCACTAGTACTATTATTGGCTCGTTGACAGCCCCCTACATTCTTCGTAGTGGAACGTAAATCAGTACTCCGGAGAAGGCTGAGTTAGACTTCAGCCACTCCAACTAAGATACACTCTTAATGGAACACCAGATTCGTTTTACAGTAGGTGTCTGGGCTGGCTTACATACTGAAATAGTCGAGCTCAAGTTGCGAAACAAGGAGAGCTGCGAGTCGACGGAAACAAGCCTTGTCGGCCCGCAGGAGCCAGACTTGATTGTGGAGTAATTGAAGGAGAAGATTTCTTGGTTATCATTTCGTGTTCCTGGTTCTCGATGGGTAGTATCTTAGTGTTGTGCGATATGTATGGAATTGTAGTAATACGGAGTTGTGGAGGTTAAAGATCAGCAGGGCACGGAGCAAGTAGGAAAACCAGGCCCTCGTTACACTCCAACAGACTCCTCGTAGATCGCTACATCAAACTTGTCTCCATGTTTAGCCGAATATTGCTGGAACCTTCCGAGTCATCGTGACATGTCCCCTCGTCTGGCGACAAGCGAACAGCGCCAAGTCAGCCACGGGGTCGAACGAATTCAGATTTGTGTTGCCATTCGCCAGCGAGATTGGCCTTGTCCCTGACGCAGCCTTGGCTCGTATTGTCAAACATAATCGCTGTCCGCCAAGGACGGTGGCTTCCGTGTTCCCCTCATGAGTGGTTCTTGGTGCATCGAATACGAGGATCTGCGCGTCCAGCCCCTAGAAATGGCGACACGAGAAACCGAGTCTGCACCAGAGGCTCGTGGGGTTTGATCATAAGAAAAGGGGACGCCCGGTTGACCGATCGATCTTCGCTCGCGTTTGTGATTGTCACTTTCCATCCAAACCACGTCCTCTTCGATCCATTCTATAACCAAGGAAAATGAAGTGGTCAACTCTCCTCCCTCTGGCGCTCTCCACACTCTCTCTGCTCCCTTCCACAGGCGCATGGCAAATAACATGGACCGACGCCGACAACCAACAGCACAGCCAATCCGGCACTGGCCCCAGCGACTGCATCGTCATCGATAACCCCAAGGGCCACATATTCAAGATCGACTCCCAGGGCGAAAAGGGCATCAACATGCTCCTATTTGCAAACAACAAGTGCTCAGGCGGAGCAGCAGGCATGGCGACCGACGTGTTCTCCAGGGAATCCTCCCAGGATCTGCTCGGCTTCAAGGTCGTCGCTCTGTCATCAACAACTACCACGGCAAGCGCTACGACTGGGAAGTCCGTCAGCCGAGTTGCGACGACGTTCTCGCCCACTTCGCCGAGTGGGACGGCCTCGAGGAGTATCAGTGATAGTGGTGAATCGATGACGATTCAGCCAACGGATGCGATGAGCACGACTGCGACTGCGACTGCGACCACGACTTCGACTTCGACTTCTGAAAAGTCGAGCACCGCCTCGTCGACGACTTCGAGTGCTGCGAGCAAAGCTACCCCCAATGCGGCCGGTCAGCTGGCGGTTTCGAATGGGGATATGGTGAAGGGGCTCGTCGGTACTATCTTCGGATTGGGGTTGGTACAATGGATGATTTGATGGGCTACTATCCGGCCCATACGTCTGTGGTGCTTGTATACCAAGCTGTCTGGCCGAGGACGCGTCTCTTTGCCCCTTCTCTTCTCGCCTACGCTACTTACGACTCTCCTTATGATTAATCTTAATATGTCCTTTTGTGCATACCATGGATGAACCCATCCAATTCAATTGCGAAGATTGTATATTTTTCTAAAAAGTGACCCGAATCAATTACTGCTTTCCAATTACGTCCGTCGAAGGTTGCTTTCTGTTGATCAATCTCCTCGTATGGAAGGAATATCGTAGTGAATGACGGGTGAACAAACCAAACTTACCCATAGAAAAGACCGACAATCGCAAACCTTTAGCCGACCGTATCTCAAAGAAACTCGTCCACCACCGCCGCCGGCTCAAGCTCATCCGCATTAAGCGACGGCAGATGGACAGGAATCTCGAATTCCTCCCTCATCTGCCCCATCACTTCCTCGCTGTACTCGTGCACCTCCTTCATATCCGCCTTACCCACTAGATCATAGTGCCGCTTAATGCACGGAGGGAGCTCATCCAGCTGTACCAGCTCCGTCTGGACCAGCTCCGTCTGGACCAGCTCACTCTGCAGATCCAACCAGTACTCTCCTCGGATGGTCGGCCCAGGAAGTCCATCGCGGTAGTACAGCATCGCCAGCGCCTCCGCGTACTGGTTCGGCGTCGGTATCTTGACAGCGTAGTCGGTAGGGTCCATCCGGCCGAGACGCTCCCGCGGCGATGGCTCTGGCAGCCTGGCATCGTTGGCAAGCATGTAGTGCGGATCGTTAGCGTCGGGCTTGCCAGCCGGGATTTCTGGGGCCGTCCAGAGCAGATCGGACTTTCGGTGGAGTTCTATTCTGAACCACTTTCTTGGGTCGCCTTTTTGCTTGATGTTGAAGTGGGCGTACGGGGGTGGAGCGGGGCAGTTTGGCTGGATGGCGGGGCATATCTCGCCTAGATGGCAGAGAGGGAACTTGGCTGTTTCTAGGACATTGCGCGCTTCATCGATTACGGTGTCGGGGATGACGAAACTGAAGTCCTGCAAATGGTTAGATGAAGGTAAGCTATAGTTGGGATAAGTACTTACTGAGACGTGGAGAGGCACTCCGTAGAGATTGAAGACGAGATCACCCCAGAGGAGATTTGGAATTCCATGGGCATTAAGCAGGCGGGAAATCGAGCAGACCAACTTCTTGTTGGCTGCGTGGTCTCCTCTGAATTTGAAGTCTGCCATCGTGCGGTATGGATGGTCTCTCGAGGCTGATGTCGATCTCTGGCTGCAGTGCAACTGATATATATAGTCCTAGTCGGGGCTCCGTCAATTGCATCCATTATTCCCGTCTTGCCACTAAGGATGTGTCAAAGAAAAGTGAGACAAGTAGCAGTGACGACTCGGTAATACCACAGATGGCTTCGAAGTCAATTCGTCGGGTGAGACTGAAGGTAAGAGTTGATGGCTTGTCTTTCTCGACATTGAACCGATGAACAGATCAAGACAAAAATGCGACAGAGCCATTCTATCTTTGGTCTGACCTTCTTTTGTCCTAGGGAATGGTCAAACGTAATGTGCTGTTTCAGCAACAAAGACTCAACTAAGCCTATCACCGTCCCCTTCTGAAAGACATTCTGACACCTAAGCACAAAAAACTATATGAATAACTGCATTTCGCCTTGGGGAGCCTCGCAGGTCTCTACGGCCGGTATCAAAGAAGCACTATTGGAGTGAGTTCCGAGAGTAATTCATTTTAATTCTCAAGCATCATCATACCTGCCTGTCCAACATCACTGGGAGGACCATTATCAAAGAACAAAGAACTCTGGTCAAGGTCTTACATGATCTTGACACACCCTTGACACACCAAGGCAAGCCATCGTCTTTGGCCATGAAAAACCCCATCATAGATTGCCTTAATTCAGGGAAGTCACTCAACCTTATGCCGCGTGCGAGCGACTTGAGGTTCCAAAGTAAAGGACGGAAAGTAAAGGGCGGGGAATAAGGTAAGAATCCACTAGATTGTGAATAACAGTTTATTTTCAGACATAGATATTAATCATTGCACATCTGTTTTGACATTACCTTGGCTACCAATTTAGTCGCCGACGCTTTAGCCTCTTTTGTAGCTTCCTGTGATGCTTATTACAAAGTTGCTGTGGTATCAGTCTTTCGACCCTCGATCTAAAAGCAGCGCTCCCTGCCATATTTTGTTGCAACTAGTAAGTTATGTTATGTGACTTATGTCCCAGAGACGCATATAATTTGAAAAAAAGAAAAGAAAAGAAAAACAACTGACACACAATTACATTGCCACCTTATAGGGTAAACAAAACGTAAAAATGGTCTAATTACTACTTAAGACTCCCTCGCCACCGGGCTCAGGTAGACTTTCAGAGGAGGCTTCTCCCAGACGACAAAATTCCTCTGTTTGATCCAGCCATGACTGTCCTGGTCAATCTCCATATCAAAGTTGAAAACGATAAGGGCGAGGATTAGACGCATTTCAGCATATGCAAGGCTAATTATAGACTTAGTAAACTTCTCCCAAATGTAATGTATAAATTCACTTACTTCCGTCCAAGACAGTTTCGTGGGCCAATATGGAAGGGCTGAAGCGCATCTCGTCGATCGCTATCAAATCTTGGGTCACCGAGGAAGCGCTCAGGGTGAAAAGCATTGGGCTCTGCAAAGTATTTCTCGCGATGGTAGAGTGCCCACTGGTGAATTGCCACATATGTCTATATATAGTTAATAATGTGGTTAATTTACTCATTAATATTTGTTGTTAATGTCTGCTGACCTGTTCCGGAATATATTGCCCTAGAATTTGGGATCCTCCCTTGGGAACAACGCGCGGAAGACCATTGGCTACCGGCGGATACATGCGCAACGCTTCGTCCAGGCAAGCCAGCATGTATGTGAGTTGGTTGACACTGATAAAGTTGATTTCTTCCTCACTACTGAAGGTCGAGCGAACCTCATTGACCAATTGCTGATAGGCGGACGGATTTTGGAGCAGGAGGTAGGTGACTCCGCTGAGGAGGGATGCTGTTGTTTCCGAGCCCGCAAGGATAAGGATCTCAGCGTTGGCGATGAGCTCATCGATACGCAGATTCTGTAAAGCAAACAGCGGACGGTCGTTAGTGCCAGTGCTTCCTGGATAGAAGGGCCAAAGAACCGACTAATTCTTCTCTCTTCTTGAGCAATCCTTCTATCAGATCCACCCGCTCATCCGTGGCCGCCATGCGCCGCCGCATTTTGGCCTCTGTCTGCTGCATTTCTCTCTTACGGTCTTCCTGCATTGCCTTTGGGACCATAGCCAGGGCCAATTTTTTCAGCCATGGAATGAAGGCGAGAGTTTGCAAGACCGCTCCTATCCGTACGCATGCAAAAATCCCCTTGACCCACCCATCATAATCACCCCATCTCAAGCATCCAAAGGGTTCTCCAAAGGCTAGGTCACCGATGATATCAAACGTAGTATAGTTGTACCAGTCCGAGATGACCACTGGCTGACCGTCTCGGCTATTCTCCCGCAGCCTTTGCAGCAGGAGATCTATATAACCCCGGATCATCGGCTCCTGGTCTCGCATACACTTCTCTGAGAATCTAGGTGCTAGTTGTCGCCGCAGCCGGCTGTGCTGCTCGCGCCTTTCGTTAGCAATGCATAGTGCACCTTGTTCGGACATTCGGTAAAACCAGTCCGCTTTATCCATCTCCTCCCCGGTCTTCTTGTGACCCATGATTTCCAACCAGGCATCTGGATGAGAGAAGGCGAGCTCATCAGGGGCAACGCGCACGATATCTCCGTAGTGTTGGTGCATTTCCAGTACATCTAGGGTAAGCGTCCCTTTAATAAACCGGTAGATATATGGAAGTCGGGACGCCCTGTGGAGTAGTGGGCCAGGGAATCGGCTTAAGGGATGAAAGAAGAGATTATAGACGGCTTGGGTAATTACATAGCACACCACCTGTTCCATGTCAGAGCTTTACAACCATGAGGAGCGGGAGACGATGAGATTAGTGAGATACCACGGAGATGCCAACAAAAATTCCACCCCCTCCATGTAGGTACTGACATAGCTCGTGCAGATACATCTTCTAGTAGTGCTTGATAAGAATTGTTGCAACACGGCGCTTAACAAAGCACACTGCAGTATTTGAGGATCTTATATACTACATAGATTAAAAGGTGCTGGTGGTACATTGATGTAATAATATGTCATAGAACAGCACTTTTCAAACTCTCAGACATACAGGGTAGCATTCTATTGTAATTATAATGGGTTGACTGCAAACGGCCTGGCTGCGCAGTTTTCCACGGAACTGCTTATCTGGGCGATGCTGTACTGAGTGCCCATATTCAAATTTAGGTTTGCAGAATGATCAACGGCACTGGGGCCATCAGGGTTTACGCACCGCGCATGTAAGGGAGTGACATTAGCTTTTTCCGGAGAGCTGACCATACAAATGAGCAGTAATTGTACGCTTTGGACTCCCCGCAGTTAATATCTGTTGTCATGCCTTGACGTCTAAGTGGCGGAAATCGTCATCTTATCTCAAAATATGAAAGCCACTGCGATACCATAACCCAGAGAAAAAGGCGTCGCGACATATCGTTTTAGGACAGCGGTATGGTAGGTTAAAACTCTTGGTGTCACAGGAGGTGGGTTAGTGCAAACCTAATTAGTGTAGCTATGCGTGGATGTTAATATGTTACATCCATCGTTCGGATTGCTGATTATGTGGCTTAAATATGGAGTACGAATCTGATCCGCTCAGGAAAACGAGGTTGGACAATTGATCAGGTGTGAGCCAACTTGTAACTCTACCCAATTTTAATAAGACCTTCAAAATTTTATCAAGATCCCAGAATAAACCATAGCTAGAGAAGAGATAGCATGGTTTGGATGAGGTCTGCGCTCTTTGTGTAGGCCATAGCCCTGCTATAGTTCGAGTTAAGTCTCTATTTTGATTCGCTGCATTACGGCTTTTGCGCCCTCTCATTGGCTTCCCGGCCCACGCTGGCGTTTCCGTGTGCTTCCGAGTGCGTCGCCCTAATCCCCCAATACAGATCAAGAGGGATCGTCTCTGTTCCTCTACGATTCTGTGCCGTCATGCAGCTCTCCACATCATGATTTTGTTACTATATGTATTCTATTGGGATTGTGTCTGTCTATCTACGGTGCCTGGTGTGCTAGGAGTTGGGTTGTGGTGGGAATTGAATATGTTTACACTATTCAGTTTCGCTTTGCTTGAACGGAACGGTTCCTAAAAATCACCTGTCCAATAATTTTTTTTTTTTTTAAACCAGAACGTCGGGTTACGCTCCTTAAGGCATATCAACTAGTTACACTATGTCATACATACATTAGTTTGGTCCTGCGGAATACGGAATAGACAATTAGTAAGAACTGTCCGCGCCCACTCCAGCAGCTGCCTAGGGGAGTCGTCATACGGAACATGGGGCTACTTCCTGGATCAGACTGCATGGCACCTTCGGCTTTCCCTCTCTTCTCCTCCCTGAGCCACTCAAGCCACGCAGCTGCCAGCAATGCGCAGCAGGCCAGACCAATTCCACGTACGGAGTCTACATAAAGGCCCTGTTATACGCCGCCAGGACCGCTTGGAACCGCCCCAGCTTGTTTGCAAACACGTTCTGCGCTACGGAGCCCATGAAGCCGGCCAGGGTTCCGCAGAATATATTCACTGACATACTAGTGGGGAAGTCCTAAGGAAGGCTCGGCATGGTCTGCACCGCAGTAATAGAGGCCTAGAGTGCAACATTACAGCAGTCCCCAGTGGAGGACCTAGTAGCCATGTGGGCACCACCCCACAGACAAGGAATCTGACTTCGACACAAACAGGGCCGTCAGATACCCCATTGATCGGTAGAACGTGTGCAGCTTCCCTCATATCAGCTGGAAAGCGCATGCGGTCAGCAAGTAGGCGCTGCGCATAAACCTATGTCCTTGACGGGATGGACCTCGTCTGCGACCGTGGACATGGCGGTGGATATGTTCTATTGTCATCATACACGATCAGGAAGGAGGACACGACTTAAGTCTAAATACGAGGAAGATGAGCTTCATTTATCTTTGATACTGGGAGTCGTAGGCCGTCGAGTCAGAGCTGGGGGGCTTCTCTTGTCTCATCTGACGGGTATCCAGGGTTGGCCGTTGCATGCCTGTCCAGCATGGTCGGGATCGAGGTCCTTCTTTGTAGTAGTCTGATTGAATTGGCAAATGGCTGAAGAAATTTGAGACGGAGGGGCAGAGCTTTGAGGTCCTTACAACTTATCAGAAAGGAGAATCCCTGCTCTTGAGAACCCGCGGCTCAGAAGAGGAAGAGGGCTGTTTTCTTTCATCCTCCACAATCATTGAATTATTACTCCCTTTCTCCTGCTACAATGATGGGCCGATCTGTCGATACGTCTTCCGTCCGTCCTAGGTATAATTATGATAGTAAGCCAGCCAAGTTGAACCATGTATATCAGGAGATTTGAGTCCGCGCGATCAAGGTCGCTATGGTCCAGGGAATTACTTTGTTTCTTATCAGGGAAGCGCACTCCTATTCGATATGGACGCTACGCAACTCCCAGCTTATGCTGATCAAACATCTTCCGGATGAAATCCCATGTCTCCTGACGCAAATACGCATGAACCCAGTAATTCCCCTCGTTGTCTTTACCATATATCATGAAAGTATCCCGGAGATTATCACTTGCGCTCACAGTGGTTCCTGCAAATGCTACGCAAGCCCCTGGGCCAGAGCCACCCCCAGAGGTGAACGCAGAGGAAGAACGACTCGGTAGAGCCGCGGGACCGAAATGCGCTGCTTCCCGAAATTGGGCTTTTGACCAGTTAGTGCAGGCGATGATAGTTGCGCCCGAGCTGCCAAACAGGGGCATCAGCCCAGTGCTCGCGATGGTGGCCCTCATGACGCGCACCAGGCGCCGAGCTTGCACGTCCGTGGCCTGTTCTACGATCGCGTGTCGGATGCGACGGGCAATGTGGCCCAGGGGCATGGTCGAGTGGCCTTTGACGGGTGCCTGTAGGTCTATCATGGTAAGGAGAATGAGATTCTGCAGGTAGACCCCCGCAGGGTCGAAAAGGTCTTTGATACGGCTGCGAATGTCAAAGACGTTGCAGATGATGGCAGGTCCCGAATTAGCGTAAGAGGAAAGGACCATCTGTGAGCCCCAGGCGGTGATCAGGTCCCCATCGCTCAGGAAGGGGAATTTAGTCTCCTCGCTGGGTTGAGACGACTGGCTATCCAGTTGTGCCGACTGGCGGAGCCTTGCAATGAATTCTGCTGGCAGGTATATAATGCGAGCGTGGATATTCCTCTTGATGAAGCGATCCCACACCAGTCGGAGAATCATACTCAGCAATGATAGGCCCCGGATGCGGCGATGCTCTAGGGCGTGGGGACTCTGGGACCGTTTGTCGTCAAGGGTGCCTACAGACGCCATAATATCCTCCCTTGCCCCCAGGACAGGGGGTATCTGGTCCAGTCGATCCGCCAACATGCTCGACCAGGCTCGGAGAAAGTCCGCAGTCCCCATGGCATCGGTGACTGCATGAGGGAAGGTGATGGAAACTAATGTTGCATCTGTGAACGAAATGATACGCAGCGAGAGAAGCGGCTCATCGGTAGTCAGATAGTGCTTGATGTTGCTAGGCAATTCAGGCGGTACGCTGAAGGCCCGGAAGGTGTCACACCCTTCCTGAATTGAAGGGCATTGGCCAGTTTTTTGGGGCAGCCGGCATGCTAAAGGGTGTTCTTTGATTTGGGTTACGTAGGAGACATGCGAGAACCGCACCACAGCCTGCTTCTGGTCGTTGCGGGGGATGCGAATCTCAAGCAGTCCGTCAATCTGCCAACGGGCGTCAGATGGATTAAATCTGCGTGTATATGTGTATCACTTCTCACATTTCGTCGGAGACGACCACCAAACTTCCTCCAATCTCCCCGCTCTAATAACCGGACAAGCGACCCGTGAAGCTTCTTGGGGTCCAGGACACAGTCATACCGAAACATATAGGTGGCGATAGAATCCCGGATGCTTCTAGTTTGGTCCATGAAGTGGACCGGGTAAACATCATGCCTATCCAAATCATCTGAACTCGCTCTTTCCCTCCAAAGCTCAGTCAAATAGCAGACAACCTTGCGTATAAGGTCCATCATTGTCCCTTATACGGTAGTGGCCGCCCAGTGAGGACAAGTTGGTAATCTTCCAAGACAATAGTGGCGTACTAGTCAAAATACGCAATATGGTAAAGAGTTCTGCAGTCGCTACTAATATAGAGGTGAAGATGAAATCAAGTGAAAGTCAAAATTTTCAAAATTTGTCAACTACCTAACTACCTTTATACTAGAGGATATATCAACATTTGAGGCATTCTTTCATGTGTGCATGCATATTTGATCAACGTAATTTCCCACCGACCCGATCAGCCTGCATCGAGTTTGGCCACAGTCAAAAACTTAAAGCTATTCGAATCAACCAAAAGCGTATATGTTTCAATAGAAGTAGGTAGCATATGACGTTGCATCTGTCACCTTCCCTTGTTGGCTATTGAATCCGGCCGGCCATGGATGCTTTCAATTTTAGCATGTCGTATTCGTGACGCTTTAAAGATCTTTCCAGATAGGTTATGCATTGGGTGGGCTGGGGAATGGTTACATCGTAAGTGGATGTTTAATGTCACAGAGTATGCCCTATTAATTGACTTACGCTGCTGAATAACATGACAATGACAGCCAATGTTCCCTGGTAAGGCCATGCACTCGAGAGATAGGTAGCATGGGGTGAAATTGCCAGCTAGACCATTGCTTATCATGGCCATGGCCTGCAATCCTGGGAATAAATGGCCTTCCTTTTACGTCTCTGCATAGGGGCTAACACAGATCTCTCAGAAACCATGTTCCCTTTTCCACATGCCCTTCGGATTTTAGGAAAGTGACCTCATAGACTACAGTCTAAATCACTTCGAGTTACAGCTCAAAGGCTCCATCTAGTCACCCTTGAGCCTGTCCCGGACAAAAGAGACGGGGCCACCCTATCGTAATACATTTAGAAGTCCATTTATCCGAGTCGGGGAGTTGCTGATTGGGTCAAAAATTTTCTCTTCTGAAAATTAGGTTCTTAGCTTTAAATTTGGAAATATCCTGGTTGAAGTGGATAGTAGTGCTTGCGAGCTAAAACCACGTAGCGCTTTCATACCGGCCTCATCCGATTTTCTGCATGAGGAAGACGCAGAAAACCGACCATACAGCATATTTGCATAGTAGGTTTTAGAGCAGTGGACGCCACTGATAACAGTAACAAAAATATCAACGCCGCTCCAAGCCATCCAGGAAAGGTTATTTTCCGTCTCCCAAGTGGTGCCCAGCCAGGACCTGAACGACGAGGTAGGGCGATGAAGCTTAGGACGGCAGCGTTCTCGAAAACCTTCAGTGCTTTCTTTGTTGGTCCGTTTCCAGTGTATGGGACTAGATACCGCAATACTAGCTTGTATACAAGATTAGCTCGAGTCTGTAGCCGCACGACGATTCTTGATGCGCGGTAAACTTTAGCCATGCGATTGAATTGGACTTTGCTAAATTGGGAGAGAAGGCGATCAATTTCTTCGTTGGAAAGCCTGTATGCATGATGTTTCCCATTCAGAGCATCATATATCATGTTGGCCAGAGCGGCAGCATCTTCAATAGCACAGTTAGCTCCTTGCGCAAGGTTAGGTGTCATCTGGATGAAATGAACCGTTAGGCCGAAGAGTAGACATTTACTTCATGCTGACGAACCGTACCTTGTGCATACTATCGCCGATACAGACAACTCGGCGGCAGTGCCAGTTCTGAAATATGTTTTCTTCCAGTGGCGTCATGGCGAAGGCCTCGCGGTTCTGCCACACTTGCTTGAACTTAATGTCTTTCCATATGTACAAGCCAGTCAATTTCTCACAGCAGGCTGTGGCCTCTGCTGTGGAGAACCGCGGTGCGCTACCATATCGATATCTTTTCCCCAGTTTTAGCACGATGAACCAGGACAGTCGCCCTTTGATCCCAGGAGCAAGGATGAGTGATTTCCCATCATAGACGCTCAGATACAGGTGACCCTCCTTCAGTTCTGGAACAGCAGAGGAAGTGCCAAAAATACAAGCATATTCAATATGCATTCCTAATGAAGAATGAGGAGCAGTTAGCCTTCGTTTCGTCCATCGACAATATCCAGATGCGGAAGATCTACCATTTTTCTCACTATCAGTAATCGTACCTGGGCAGAGCATGTCCGCTGCGTGCCACATCTGAGCGCGCACGCAGCTGTGCACACCATCCGCCCCAACAACCAGGTCACCATGATAGGTGCTTCCGTCCTTTGTATATACCATCACACCGTCGTCTCCCTGGTCAACTCGAATGACTGTTTTACCCTCGTGAATGTCCGATCTGCGGGGAAATGACTGATACAGAATCTGGAGCAATTGTTGTCGCTCCAGAAACGCCATTGGGAACCCGAAGCTAGTGGAGACCAATCACTTTGGTCAGACTGGGGGAACACAAGACAAGAGCTTGTCAACATACACTTCGTTTATTGCCTTGGGGTACGGGTTGCTAAATTGGAACCCGTCCGGGAAACGAACGTGGAAAACATGCATTGGCTCAATCAACCTCTCAACAGTCTCATAGAGCCCAAGCTGCTCTAAGATCCTCCCGCCATTTGGCATGATGCCCACAAATGCTCCTTCTTGGGGTGTAATTGCAACCCGCTTTTCGAGGACAATGCAATGGATGCCTGCTCTATGCAGACAGTGCGCAAGAGTGAGACCGGCAATTGATCCGCCGACAATGATTATTTTGAAAGAAGAATCCATTTACGTTCTGTGGAGCCTGATAGAAGGCCAGAAAGCAAGTATTGCTGACTTTATATCACGTGAGGCTTTTGCAGAAATAATATAAAGATTTGCAATGTAGAGAATCTGTAACTTCAATGATAACGGCGAGATCGGTCTTGAAGTGGGTTAAATGTACCTGCTCTGTGAGGTGTGTCTTGTGCTTATATTCCAAGTCTATAGCTCGTGTTTGGTTTGCTTTAATATCAGTTCCGCATGCGGCATAATGACGTTCATTTGTTGAGGGAGGTGGTGCTCTCTGGGTCTAGACATCGATATTTACCCTGTTAGCATGGATGTTGCTAGACGACGAATTGCACCGAGGACCACAACCTTAAACGCTGGACTGTGACTAAGGTGGGCTTGACTAAACGATATACAGTTGCAACCCTGCCATCGCAACCGGGCGGAACTCCAACAGAATTATTGCGCTACACCGAAATTGTCATGGATTTAGGTTTCATCTCCACGTTCCAATGTGGAAAGGTCATCCTCGTGGCCACTATACTCAGTCACGCCTTATGGCTTCGTAGGCTTTCACCTTTCTTCCTTAACAGAACCACGTTGTCAAAGGACAATAGTACATGGTGGGTTTTCAAAGATTGCTGCTCGATCTGCCTACCCGGAAATCCCCCTTAAAGGTCCCTTCCCGCCGGCTTCTTTCCTCCCCTTTCTGTTCCATTCCTGATCCAGTCTTTCAGGCCCTCGAACTGTCGGCTTTCATTCCAGATCGTCGAATATTCCAGAGGATGATTCCATAGGAACCATCCAATAGCAAGAAGGCCACTCTACCCAAGGGACCCAAGGGACTGTGCCATACAACATTCGTATACCCATGTTGATACCGCAAAAATTCGAGTGGTAAGGCAAAAAGGGACACTATAAAGCAGGTGAACCTAACAACCAGGAAAGCAAATAGTCAATACAAAGGTGGCACCGGGCGGATTTGTTCACTGTGTCATACCAAATGAGAAGTCAAGCTCCGCGGCTGCTTCCCCGGACAATCAGTTGGCACAGGCAAACCGGCACTCGGGAACAATTGACTGAACCAGGAGCTCCACGCCGGTGCATCAATCTGTCCAAATTGTGCGACCATCGCCAAGTGTATAGCCAACCACCCTGCAATACTAACCGCAAATATCCAGGAAATATTTCGCTTGACCAACGGAGCATGCTCCCATTCATTGGGCGCGAATTTTATGGCGGCGAAAGGCGACACCGCAGTTGAGAGCCAGCCAGCTTGCGAAAATATACTGCCAAATTGGTATGTTTGGGGGATAGATCACGGCAAAGACAAACTCGCAGGCAACATTGCAACAAAGTGGCATCAACGCCATGCTGTAGGTACGGTCCTGAAATGACTTGTAAATCATCCCAATGTAATTGACTAGCCAGCCCACGCACATCCGCATGCTCAGAAGGGTCAGTGACCAAGGATCCTTGCGGTACCCGAGGGTTCTTGCAGCACCTCGACCTTGGACATGATTAACACGAGAATGGTTAGGAAATTATCGCTGTAGGCCCTTTTTCCTATGTTGATCGGGGTAGTCCTGAACCTATAGGCGAGGAGAGCAGAAGAAGCTGGACTGAAGTTAATGGGAAGAGACTTGATCATGCAGCCAATTAATATATCTACATTTAGCAAGGTTTGGGGGCGTGAACGGCTGCAGTGGAATAGAAAGTCTCCAAATTTAATCTCAAAGGAGGATGGAACCACGATTGCAAGTGGCGTAGCGTGCTTTAGCCCCGATGACTTACTTACTGCCCAGATAATTCTACACACCTCCTAGTTCCGGCTTCACCCTTCGCATAGTCGGCCTGGCCAATTCCAATCCCGGCCGTTGCTGTTTCACGTGAAAACCTAATCATCTATTCTGGACTGTGTTAGGAATGATACAGAATGGCTGGGCACAACATCACTTCATTTTCTTTCGCACAGGCCGAGTACCCCACATTCAGCAAGGAATGATCCTTACAATCTAAGAGAGTAGATCTCCTAATCATCCACGCGATGCATAAGTACAGCATTTCAGAAGGCGGTGATATCACCGTAGGATTCTCTCCAGTGTTACATCATTAGCTGCTTTGTTGCAACATGCCGACTAGATATTCTCAGTACTCCGGATTCGCCGGAATGGTAAAGACCCACAGGTGCTGCCAGACTGGCTGTGGAATGTGGATTGGATATAGGTCAATCAACTCAATCCGCACCATGTCCGATCCGACCCATGCGGATTATGGGCTGATCCATGACCTATCTAAACCACCCTTATATCCATGCGGGTTGGATTATGGATAATGGATATATCCATATTCCCTAGTCAGGTGACCCCTAGTATCCTAATTACCAACTATTTTTCTAGTATTCTAGTCACACCACAAGGATATCTATATATTTTATTCAATAATATGATAATTCATTATATAATATTATATATTACCTATTAGATAATCTAAAATTGGCCTAATTAGGGAGGTACGGGTGCCCCCTAATGTTACATGAAAAGTGGTGCAGTGATATATATATCTTACCACTACTATCCTGATCACTATCACCTAAAGTCTAAAACCTACCTGGTAAATCTAATATTTTATTTTATATACAGATAGATAGAACTATTCTCTATCTATATATATAAAAGTATCTCCCAATCTAGGCCTCAATTAGGTTAATAAGCTTATCAGTTTTACTAGCCCGCAGGTCACGTGGACCCGATGGGTTATCCATATCCATGCGGATTAATAGATTTGCGGATTGGGTCAGCCAATTTAGTAACTCTAGTTGCGGCGTATCACTCAGAAAAGGTATCGTTCGGGTCCACGAGGAAGCCCAGCTTTTATCGTATGCATAGTGCGTGGCCACATTCGCAGCGAGTCCCGAAAACGCAGCATCCACCCGTCTGGCTGATTTGCTGTCGTACGCTTGTTAAAGACAAGCAGAAAGAAGAGATATGAATGACCGCATTCCGGCGTGAGAACTTCGCACGTCTCGAAACCCTTTATCAAAGAAGCACTACTGGAGTGAATTCCGAGAGTATTTCATTTCCATTATTGAGCATCACTATACCTGCCTGTCAAACATCACCGGGAGGACCATTATCAAAGAACTCTGGTCAAGGTCTTTCATGATCTTGACACACTCTTGACATACCAAGGCAAGCCATTGGCTTTGTCTGTGAAAGACCGCATCATAGAGTTGCTTTAAACTTAGAGAAGTCGCTCAGACTCATGCTGCGTGCGAGCGACTTGAAATTCGAAAGTTAGGGGCCCGGAATAAGCAAGCATATTGAAGCACTATCAATCTCATATCCGCTGTCTCTATTTTCGATATTTGACATCCGACTGACAGTTACATAATTAGAGGACGGATGAGCATCACGAACCGATGTCCCATCGTAGGTGATGGTTAAACAGACTAACAGGCTCCCCTGAATTCAGGCTGAATGCGATTGGACACTAAAAATGTAACCATGCTGATATGTTACTTTCGACTCCTCTGATCCAATCCGCGCTCACTATTGATCCAGGTTCCTCGGTGTTTCGCCGAGTCGGAGGTTACAGGCTGTGTTGGATGCGAATGGATATGAAGACTTGAGACATCTCAGGGGTGGACGGTGTCTTTGCTGCGAGCGAGTCATGATCAGTGAATGGCGATCAAAACTACGCATGAACACTTGCTTATAATCTATATGGGCATTTCGAATAACTCTAACTCGATACAAGTAATATCCGGGTTCCGGTTCATATCATGGACAAGCCCCGCCTCGATACTTCATACTATTGAACATATCGACAAGGAAGCATKGGTTCATATGGCATGGCATGACCATCCGCCTGCCACTCCTGTGTCTTGGTCTCTCGCTGCGTCGGACTTAAGGAAGTATGCTTTTGGAACCTTGTCATTCTTTGCTGCAAGAGTCTGTGTGTGAGCGTTTGTGGTAGTTGGGTACATGTCATGTGTTCGGTTTGTTTCTTATCTACTAAGCTCAATTTTGTCTCTATCAGGTTAACTCGGTTTCATCCACCTAGAACGACCGTTCTATTCTCAAGTTTACCCGTACACCACTAATATAACACAAAACTGCCCAGCGGGCTCCATAGCAAATCAGCGCAGTCAATCGATCACAACGGCCAAAGATCCAAACGAGGGCGGAAACGGGACTCTGATCATCCTGCTCACCATTCTAGGGCTCTGTATCTTGTTTATGATGGCCTGCGGCATTCAGCGGTTGTCCGCGACATGTCCCACGAGCAGAAGAACTACATGCGAGAACTGCGTTGCCGGAATTTCGACGCGCTGCGGTGTCTCTCGCGGTCGAGATATGTGTTGGATGTGAATGGGCTGTGGAGTTGGTGCCTTGACTCTTGTAATACTTCTGTCTGGATAAGGCCAAGTGGCATAGCCTGGTATATGGATACTATTATGAATGGACGAAGGGAAGACATTCCTAACTCGAAAGGGAGGGGAAACGGAGCTTATGCTAACAACCAGACCAAAGCAATGTCACACTACTCCTGGAGCATATTCGTCACCTTTGTAAACACCCTAGGCTCACCATGTTTGGAAAGCCCCAGCACGTATTCACGTACGATCCGGATATCCTCGAAGGTAGTCTCATGCAGAACCATGTCGAACCGACGGACCATGTAGGCGATGGTCATGAAGAGCTCGATATACGCGAGACTAAAATGTGATCAGCGGCTCTCATCTCCGTACTGGCATGGGGTCAACTCACTTCATGCCCAAACAGATTCTGCTTCCCCGGGTAAACGACACGATATACTTGGTCAAACGCTCCGGCTGGTCGGATGCCTCGATCCAGCGCTCTGGCCTGAAGGTCTGCGGGTCGGGGAAGATTGATGGATCTTGATGAACAAAGTATGCGGACATACTTACAGGTGTCTGTCGTTGTCAGCAGTGTACAATATAGAAGAAATGGCATCTCACCCCCGGAAGAATCGCATAGTCCCTGTACTTCAGCGTCTCAGTCGGGGCAATTCTTGAAAGGCGAACCACAACCCCGTACGATAGACGAAGGGCTTCATTGATTACTGCGTTCTGCACAGGTCAGTCGTCATATATCCAGATGAGGTCGTGCAATTACCAGATACGGCAACTTTTCCAACTCAGCCCACGTCGCCGTGCTGCTCGGCGTGGGCAGAACACTCGACTGCAACTCGTGCCGTAGTTTCTTCCATATTCTCGGTTCATTCGCCATGTAAAATGTGGCGATGGTCAAGGTCCGTGCAGTGGTCTCTGTGCCCGCCACAAGGATGATCAAAGCCTCATCCTGAATACGGGCGAGACTCCGTTCTTCCGGCGGAATGGAGGGGTCTGTCAGTCTGTTGAAGATCGTTCTGGCGCTCTCGTCACACTTGGACTGCGACTGGGCGGCATGATCGAAGATGGATTTCTGGAATTCAAACAAGGCGGTTTTACCCGGTTGGATGAAACACATTATCTGTGCCGGAATCATGCGAAAGATTGTCACCAGGAGCGGGAAGAAGCGAAACCAATGCACGGCATTCGTGAGCTCGCTTGTTGCTGTCCGGATATCACTGCGGAACTGCGGGTCCTCGAGGAAGCCCCAGCTTTTACCGTATGCATAGTGCGTGATCACATCCGCGGTGAGTCCTGAAAACGCAGCATCCACCTGTATGGTTGACTTGCTGTCGTACGCTTCTTGGAAGCGTTGCATTAGCTTTATTACTCTCTCTTCGATGATTGGAGAGAGTGCCGTGACGGATTTCTTGGAGAAGAACTCGCTGAGGATGCTACGGCGGAACCGGTGATGGTCATGGCTGATTGTGGAGACGGTAGACAAGGGAGCCCCGTTTACATGAACCCATCCGGGATCTTTGTCGCGTTTGTGGGCTCCACCGGCGTAAATCGTATCGTAAAACGAGGGGTCTTTGATGTGTAATTCTCGAGGATTGATCCGGACGATGGGGCCTGGCTGGATGTGTGAGAGACAATGTGGCTGACGATATACAATCAACATTACCGTATCTCTCATGCATCTTTTCGATCTGGAATAGGAACTGGCCCCCCTTGATCACATCGTAGTAGAACTCGTAGAGGAAGGTGGCGGCCGTCAGTTTMGGACCCGGGTATCTGCTTAAAGGGTGGAAGAAGAGACGATAGACCGATTGTACAAGAAAGTAGAAGACAATGTAGGCCAGAGCCAGTAGCAGCCAGGAGGATGATAGCATCATTTTGATGATTCGCACCGATCAAGAGTTGTGAAGGAGAAGAGGGACGGGGCATTGACAGAGTATATATGAGAAGTCCCCTCTATCTAGAGCCAACCGCAGGCGGCAATCGTCCGTATTTCACTGGAGGCAAGCCATCCATGTCTTATTTGTCTTCTGCAGGACGATTCCTAGCCAAAAACAAGAGTCTGCATAAAGGAGGGGTTAGGCACATTAGTCTGAAACTCTTCGCCCGCAGGATTAGCTGACGAACATCCCAGCTCGAATTGTACTTTGGCATTGATGGTCGATGATCCAGCAATCATCTAAAGGTTGTGCGGTCAGCCCAATAATAGATACCCCGCCTTCTGACAACGGAGTAGTAATTGGACCTTGAGCTAGCCACTGGAGCATGCCACTGCTCAACAAGCGCAATCATAGGATGGGAAGATTATGATCCGCGTCGGCGATCTACTCCTACGGGACGACCGATGCCAAAACATATCTGAGAGAATGTACCCGTCTGACTGGGTCTTCTCTATTCTTCTGGTCGAGGGCGACAGGGTATTTGTGTACTGGATACGGCACCGATAGCTCTATCTGGTCATGTTCCTAGGGCTGCCAGGCCCTGTGAGCCACCTGGCAGCTCTGTTTTGCCTATATATCGCTTTCTATCACCGCCATTAATCAGTTACCTCCAAAGGCAAAGCCACTACCATAGAGATCTGTGCCCTGTTTCCCCTGTACATATCAAAGTAGCACGCAACAGATGTAAGAACGGTTGCCAACAAATTAACCTGGGATATAGTCCAGATATCCAGCCAAATTCCTGGACGAAGACGCTGAAATACGTCACATGATACTTCCATGCTCTCATTAACTGCGGCAGTTTCGCGACGGTCAACATAACACCAGTGGGACCATTAACTGTCACCCGAATATCCGTCTGGTGTGAAGTCGAAAATGAGGACCTGACCCGATCGACAACCGATGGCAACCGTGTTGCCCTGTACGGCAAAGCACTCGGGGCGGAATTCAGCGGGTAGCCAAATGAAATCGTAACCGTCGCGCGTAATCCAGGTGCGGTCCGGGCTCAGGCCGTACCCGTGAATCTCTGTCTCTGAGTAGTAGGCAGCTGAAATAGGCACAAAGTCCTCGTCTGATTCCTCCTCGTCTGATTTATCATCAGCTAATTCATCGGCTGCTGATCCATCGTCGTCAAGGTCTTCCTCGTCGAATAGCCCTTCTTCTGAATGACCATCGTTGCCAGCCAGACCGCCTGTCTCGGCTGATTCCTTCTCTGCGAATGACTCTGCATCAAGCTCTCCTTCTGCCTGTTCTTCCAACTCATTATCGTTGCCCCCACCATTCTCTTCGTCCTGAACTCCATTGCTCTCTTGATCAATATAGGTCTGTTCTTTGGTCATGTCTCTTGTCTCCGTCACAGGTGTAAGAGATGATAGATCAAACTTAATACGCCCAATTTCAGTGACAAGGTATGTAGAAGTAGGATCGAAAAGTAGTTGGTATACAGAAGTGCCGGCGTTGAACATCTGTACGCAGTCCCCCGTGGCCGCGTTCCAAATCTTGATATTGAAATCTTCTGATCCTGATGCAAGTTGATTACCACTTCCTGAAAAGCCCAGCGACGTTAGTCGACGACTATGGCCCCGAATTTTCCACATACAATATCTCGAGGCCGTCCTCCACATCTTCATGGTGCCACCCCTCAAGCCTGTTGCCAGTCGCTCACCAGTAGGTGAGAAGGCTACTAATGTAACCTGAAAACGATCAATTGTCTGCATGCATTTGCCTGTGCCTGTGTCCCAGATCTTGATGTTGCCACCCATTGGGTGTGATGCCAGTTGCTCACCAGTTGCTGAGAACGCTACTGATTGAACCCAAGAAAGGTTATAACCTTGGTGCTTGAAAGTCTGCATGCATTTTCCTGTGACTGCGTCCCAGATGTTGATATCACCGTTGAATAGGCCTGAAGCTACTCGATCACCAGCCATTGAGAAGGCTACTGACGCAACCGAGGGACCATAAGCTAGTCTCTTCAGCGTGGATATGCATTTGCCTGTGACTGTGTCCCAAATCCTAATAGTATGTTTCCCTGAGAGTGATACTAGTCGATGGCCACGTGCTGAGAAGACGACCGACTTGACCCGTTCCGTACGGCTCTGAATTGGTGTCGTGTTATTGACTATGGCGGTGTCCCAAATCTCAATATCACTAAATCCGGCCGATGCGAACTGATCACCGCTTGCTGAGAAGGACGCTGACAAGATCTTCCCAGTACTATGGCCCACAACCGTCCGCATGCATTTGCCTACGGCCGTGTCCCACATCTTAACAGTCCCGTCGAATGAGCCTGATGCCAGTTGATTTCTGTTTCCTAAGAAGCTTACAGAGAAAACTGCATCCTCATGGCCATTAAGTATGTGCAAGCAAATACCTGTGGCTGTATCCCAGATCTTAATAGTGCCTTTCGATTCCCCGGAAGCAAGCCGCTTATCATCTGCCGAGAATGCTACTGATTCGACAAATGCACGATAGGTACCAAGTTTGTGTATAGGTTTGCCCGTTACGGTGTCCCAGATAATGGTACTGCCCCCATCCAAGCCTGCTGCTAGTCGTTCATCGGTGTTTGAGAAGGCTACTGCAATGGCTGCATAATTCACCTCAACAGTCTGCACGCATTTGCCAGCGGCGACGTCCCAGATTTTGATGGTCTCATCCGCTGACCCTGATGCAAGTTGCTCATCAGTTGCTGAGAACGATACTGAGCAGACTGGACCATTATGACCCTGGAATACTTGCACGCAATCCCCGGTGGCTGTATCCCAGATCTTGATGGTGTCATCCCCTGAGCATGATGCTAGTAGGTTTCCGTTTCTTGAGAAGGCTACTGAATTAACAGTGTCATCATGACCCTGAAGTGTCTGCATGTGATCACCTGTGGCTGTATCCCATATTTTTATAATGCCATTCCTCAAGCCCGATGCAAGTCGATCACCGGTGGCGGAGAAGGCTACCGATTCGGGTGTAGACTTATTAAGGTCAAGCGTATATAGTCGAGGACTCCAGTCCAGTTGCGGGAGGGGTATATGAGATATCCAGGTGTGTAGGAATTTCTCAAATGTCTGCCGAATCAGGCTTTTTTGCGGGGCAAAAACAAGACCTGCAAAATATGCCTGGAGCGGGCCTACGTCAATCACTTGACGGAAGAAACGGATAAATCGATGCATGTCGCGAAGGAACGCAGAGAGTTCAGTGTTGTTGGCGGACTACGACTTCTATAAGCATACGCTCGTATAAAATTGAATAGCAACTTACGTCAACCGCAGTCTGTAATTCCTCCAGTAGCCTGATGCTCTCTGAAATCCCACCAGTAAGGCTCAATGCCTCAAGCCAGTGGAGGAAATGCTCTTTCAAAAATCGAAGAATTGCCCCTTCCTCGGTCAGCTCGTTCTGAAAGCCCAGCTCTTTTGCTTTGCAGAGATGGCCAACCCAAAAAACGCAGGAGTAACGTATCGGAGCCAACGGGTCCGGGTCAGGCGGCGTTACGTCTCTGGACTCAAAACCTGGGTACGGCAGAGCATAGATGTTATGTCTCAGTATCGAACCCATCGCAATAATCGAGCGCGCACTGATGTCCGCATTGCCTTGGCCGATGCCACTACCCAGCCTTGTTGTGTAGTTTGCCTCGAGATAGTCCTTGGCGGACTGGTGAATCAGGGAGACGGTTTGGCCCGACATTGTCAGGAATGAGCCGCATTTCCCGACAATTGTCCGAGGGTTTATCTTTGGTTGCAACCCAGCAAGAACGGCGAGCTCAGGCAGCGAGAGAGTACGATATGCGAGAACCACAGCGACTAATACGTTCTTACAGCGCTTTTGGTTTTCCGGACTGCCCTTCTCGATTTGCGCCATAATTAGTTCGTACACATTCGACAAGCCAGAGGGAATCTTTTGGATAGTCTCGACAGCATCCCACCCATCCACTCCGTCCAGTTCTTTGAACGCCAATGCCACCCAGAGGAACGTGGACATAGCTCGCCGGCGGATTTCGTCCGAAAGTTGCGCCAAGGTGTCCGTATCATAACCGTCTTTTCCCTTCATGCTGTCAAGCTTATGGTCAATATATGTGTTGACGGGGCCTTCCAAATGCCTAGGGTCCAATGTGACCGAAACCCTTGACACATGAAGATTCTTGAGGTCCTTGCCGTCTGTGTGAACAAGAACGTCCGGACGGCTAGAGAGTAACCACTTCACCTTACTGGAGAGCGCAAGCGAGGTATCAATCAGGTGAAGAAGCTGCTCCAGGCCTGGGGTTTTCCGGTCACACTCATCAAGGGCGTCGATGGCAAAATATATTGGGGAGAGGCCAGGGTCGTTTAGCATGCTCCGAAGAGCGTCAGATAGCACGTAAAATGCGCGCTCGCCTCTCAAAAGAGGGGCACCAGCATTTCTGCGCCGGTCTCGGAGGTGCGAAATAAGAGATGGTTGCTGCACCAGTAGCTGCCAAATCAGTGATCGCAAGGTGGTCGTTGCGCTGTTCCGGGTCTGATCCGTACCTTGGCAGAAAAAGTACGAGACGCTCGGTGAAAGGGCGGAGGGCTGACCGGAGAGCTGGCGAATGATCCCCATGAAGAGCATCGTCTTTCCGGTGCCGGCAGGTCCGTTTATCCACAGCACACTGCAGGATGGTCTGTTCAGTCCGTCATTGAACCAATTGGTGAACGCGGCGTACTCATCGGTTCTAAGGACCCAGTCATACGCATCGTCAAGCAATTTATCCTTCCTCTCCTCAATGTCCTTCAGATCGTACTGCGGATCCACAGCAAAGAGATCTTGGAGGCATTCCTTGTCCTCATCGTTCCTTCGTGTTGTCTTTTGCTGGACGATAAAGTCTTGCAAGTTCTGATGAATGTCACCAAGGTGTTTCTCCATTTCGCTACCAGAGTCGACGAGCTGGCGCAGAGAGCTCTTTTGATACTCTCGGTAATATTGCTCTGAATACTCCCGCACGACAAGTTCGGCGTCCTTAACACACGCCAAATCACCGTCCCAGTCGTCCAAGTTCGCTAGTCCGCGCAGGAATCCAACACCTCGATGCCGGTAATAGGAACAGACGCTCTTCATCTGATAGAGGAGGAGCTCCTTGTAGAGCAGCACAACTGCCTTCTCCAGCCTTTCTAAGATCTCTTGAAAGGATTCCGTTCCCATCATAATATTGTTATTGTTCAAGAGGTGTTCGGTTAGGGCGCAATACCAGTCCATTCTTGAGGTGACATGAGCGATGCCCTCCAGGTTAAGACTTTGTGGCCTGTGCAGGATTCAGGAGGATCTGGGTAAACTTAGTGGGTCCAAAGAAGAGCGAGCGATGCTTGCTTACTTGTAACCCGATACAAACACCAGCCCACGGGAGCGCAGCCTGCGGTATGTTCTGGATTGCGAGGTCGATCATCCCTTTGGCAGAAAGGACGAACTGGGCGACATCACCGACTGCCATTTTTATCTTTGACGACGTTTCGATTCTTTTCTGACCATCATTGACTAATTTCTTCAGATATTCCTGACGCGTGGTTGGACTTTGCACTTGGGCAGCAAGCTCATCGTCGTCGGGGGCAGACACACCAAAAGCTTTCTCGGCTTTGAAAACTGCGGTGAGAGTCTTCAGATAAGACTTGACAAGATCAGAGGTATCTTTGTCCTCCTCAAGGCTATCGTAAGCGGCATTCCAGATTTTCTGGGATATGGAAAGCTCTGCGCTCGGTTTCGTCAAGTGCTCTTCGGGCCCCGGATGGGCCCGAGCAGGATCGACCACCGCCGAGGCAGAGTGGGTAACATGCGCATGGTAAGCAGTATCGGATGAGACATCCAACGTCGCTTTGGAAGGTGACGGTGTTGTCGGCGGACGATGCCCGGAGGTCGCTAGAGCCACTGCGGCCCTTTCCCCTGATGGATCCGAGGGAGGGCTTGAGTCCGCCAGGTCGCTGGACGGGACTTTTGCGCTGCCTGATGTATACCACCGTTTAGCAGATGGGGCTGTTGTACAGATCTGGAAGTCCTAGTACGGGCTTCCAACTCGCAACTTACCTATTAGTGGGGGAGTCGGGGAGGCGACAACGCTAGAGCTATCGTCCTGACTCCCCGTTTTCCTAGACCTCCAAGTTTTCCAGCGATCCCTTACGCTGTGCATGGCTTCGATTTGATGCGAGCTATCTCGGCTACAAAATGGAAATACCTATGTAGTCAAATTGGAATAGAGGTCTCAACAAGCCACTGATGAAATCGCCAAATCAGTTGACAACGGTGCTGCAGGTGGGGTCAAGTTGGAGACTGCAAGGAGCAAAAAGATAGTAACCAACCAAGGGGAATCATTCGCTAGTAATCCCCGACGACGGGGAGGAGATCTGAACTGTGTACACGAATTGGAGGCACTGGAGAAAAAATGTAAGCACTGTCAGCACGTCGTGAGGGGCAAGCGCCGACATCGATACGGGGCTGGGTAAGAATACATTTCTATTGGTCCGCAGAAAGACCAATTATTTCAATCTTACAGTGAAAGATGGACAGTCCTGTCCTCTGTACGGAACCAATAAATGCGCTAGGAATTTGAATCATTATCTTCTAGAAATACTCCGGGACTACCGGCTCATAACGCCTACACCACGCCTTGCTTAAATTACTCCTAATATGATCAGTGGCTTCAGCACCCCGACGTAGTAGCAGGAGTTGCTGCGAAAGGAGAATATCAGACTCACTGAGGCAGAATTATGCCTAATCCTTCTTCTTGTTTGAATAACTATCATGAGGGGAGATGTCACTAATATACATATCGTATGCTGAGTTATATCACTGAGTAGTCGGTCCACAACGAGAAGGGCTTACTACTTCTGACTCTCGCCATCTTTCGAATGTTCGTGCTCATACTTCTGCACCTTTCTCCACTCCTGTTGCACCTTCTGAACAGCCAACCCAATCATCCCCGAAACCATCCCGAGGACTAACACCGAATTCCGCAGTCCGTTTGGATGAATCCAACCCACATTCCCCTCCATAGCACTGGCACTCATGAGCGCAAAATTATACGTCCCATGAAAGCATATCGCGGGACCAATCACTCCCCACAGTCCTAAAGAGTCCCCATGATAATCCCTCCGCGTAGCCCGCAGCGCCGTCAAGCAAGCCACAGAAAGATGCCCTAGTTGGCCCAGGACCACTCTCTCGACGAATGTTAGCAGTAATTTCGGCCAGCTCTCCTGGCCTCCCTCGCAGGCTGAATAAATGAACCCAATGTTCTCAACGACACTGAAGCCTAATGCACTGGCAAGGACGTAGTCAATGTACGCCCTGTCGCGGCGTTGCTTTTTCTTGGTGTCTCTTCGGCGCGCATAGATGACTGGGATGTATTTCAGGAGTTCCTCGACTAGTCCAGCGGCAAGATACGTCAAAGCGCCGTTGAAAACCCAGTTCTGCCATGAAGAAGCTAATTCAGCACGACGAAGAAGTTGCTCTTCTGTTAACCCAGCAACAGTCGTACGCGAAAATTCAGCCCCGAATTCAGTGCGGAGCTCTTCAGAAGAAAAGAGGACAGCGCTGACGGCTTGACAGATTCCCATTTGGACAGCCGCTGCAGCGGCTAAACCCAGGGTGCCGCTCAAGGTGAAGGTCCAGATGAGTGGTTCTAAATCCGCGTGGCGAGCGGGAGACGCTCTGCTGCGTTTTCTCCATTTCTTGTAGAACACGGCTGTTGGGACTAGGCTTAGAGGGGAGAGAAGGGCGGTTTTTGGAGATGTGGTGGCTATGAGCAGAAGGGCGGACGGAGGACCCAGGTAGCAGAGCAGACGAGTGGAGAGGGAGAACGAGCTGCTGGGCGCTACAGAAGTCATTTCAAAGGAATAATGCTAATGCTCTTGCAGTTCAAATTAAGGTACTCGATGAGGAAGATAATTCTCACTTGTCCACCTGAGTCACGAGAGGGGTCAATCTGATATCACGTGATACAATCCTGGCATCTGGGCCAATAAGACTGTCTGAACACTTAGAGTAGGTTCTATTCAGGGGCGACCTCTAAATAATTCTAACCTTATGGTAAGCATTGCAAAGTAGTACTCAGAGTGTGCTTGCTTGTAAGAAAAGTCTGTATGGATGATTACTTCCCACAGATGAAGTGGTGCAGGCTTTGAATATGTGAGTAATGAAATCATTATATATACCACCTTCATGCCTCCGGATTCAGCACACTGGCAATATGAACCTGAGTTGACGCCACCATACAGTAGCAATAATGGAAGGACGACAGAGAGGACATCTGTCCCTCATCTCATTTCCAGCAACTCTGAGATGGCGGCTCTGCGACATTCACAGGAAGCGTACCCTCTGAGGTCGTTCCAGAGGGAGAAAGAAGACGAAATCCCTCTTCACCAGTGACAACAGCTGAGTTTTGCTCGATAACCATGAAGTTCAATGACTTATTATTGCCGGGGTTCGTTGCTCTAAAGTACTTCCCGCAGTTTGGATCGTTCCATGGGACCAGGGAAGAGTAGATACGTCAGTTTACTGCTATAGAAGACTAACCCGGTATGCTAATATGATTCTCGTTAGTGCTCCTCATATCTTTTCTTTACGGATATGTTTTTGCATCTATGCTCATCCAATCATCACTTCCTGCGCTGCACTTTGCTACGCAACTTAGTAAGCATATAATTGGCTGATCCTAGCCAACATGCATGTGTACCTGCATTAGACTTTGTTATCACCCAACTCCGCTTCACTTCCGCACTTATTTCTACAGTAGGTTTCGATGTCTATATGATTCCCGACGAGGGAGTGTTTAGCACATACGGTGTGGAAAACAGGGCTTCCCGTCCGCTCAGCCGTACTTAAGCCCCACGCTAGATGGTCACATCAACCAGTCGCTTGGCCTAGCCTTGCGGGGTAAGAACCAATCGCTGCATTGCGATCGCGCGACTGGAGGGTGAGAAGGGTGAGTGCGCAATAGACAGGGGTGCGAAGCCGGTGAGAGCGGGCGATTCTCACCCTCCGTCGCGCGCCCACCGCACTGACCCTCTTTGTCGGACCGCGTACTAGAAAGGAATGAACAGTGCTAGATATGGACTCGGCACGGTCTATGTACTTAGAAATGGCGCAACGCATCCTCTATCTGCCTCACTTAGGCATTCAGCTTTTCTGTCCAGCGATCTCGCGGCTGTTATGAAACTTTGGCTTTCTATGCCCGAGGAGTCGCTCACTCATAGCCTCTCCTCAATATAGGCAGCCACAAATTATACAAAGGGCTGGGGCGATGTGCAGTGTACGGAAGATATCGTGATGACTTGTAGCAGCAGTTATGCCGTGACTGTCTTTGCCTACCCTCTGCGGCAGTGGCGAGTTCTTTGAAGTTATTCGCTGCAAGATGGACCCATCAGGCAAATTTCATGCAAGTAGACACCAAGAATACCCAGGTACGAGACGCGACGGGCCACGACACGCCGATCTAATCAAATAACTTTTTTGGAATACTTTTCCTTGAGACAGGCTGAGTTATACAAACTGCTTCGAAACGGCAGGAACATGGGACCGAAAGACCAGCTCTGTTAAAGCAAATCATATTGCTTGAAGTAGATATCAACAACGATGGTTTTTAGTGGTCTCCATCGACGACAAAATATATATCCTCTTCCCCCTCATCGGACACCCTGGTCGTCGGTCTGCCCACCTGCACCGCATCATCCAGTTGCACGGCGATCAAGTTGGCTGGCGCTGCTTCCCCATGATGCACGAGGACATCCTCCCAGAGCGTCGACAAGCCCACGGATGCTTGCCGGACACCATCCCGAGGGAAGGTTTTGAATTTGAGTTTCTTATATTGGATTGCAAATACTTGTTCGCCAGGTGCCACATATTGCTCGTTCTGTTGGTGAAGTGTCTTCTGCTCCGCCTGGATCCCGATCTCCTGGCCGGTAGGGACGGGCAGCGGAGCACCAGCAGCAGCGGAAGCGACCATGCCAATGTCGACCATGACATTGATACCATTAGTCTTTTGGTGCTTCCTGTTCAACGTCACCTTCGCATCTCGGAACGACCGACACCCCGTAACCAGGAAAATATCCGCAGCACGCCGGTTCATGGTTTGCAGCCACTCGCGCGAACCAGGTTGCTCGATCAACGCATTGAACCATTGCAGCGGATTCCGCAGCTCATACGTAAACCCCTCCAACGCCTCAATTTGCACCGCCACGTCGGGATGCTCGCGGGTAAAATCCCAGCCCAGCACGCTCAGATGCGGCCGCAGAGCGGTCCGACTGTACGTGCGCACAAGGGTCTTATAGTTCTTCTGGGTCCCCTTGAGGACTGTTTCAGTCGGTGCATCTTGTAGTTGGATGTCGATTGGGGCGTAAACGTTTTGCGTCGGGTGGGAGCGGTCGATGATCAGACTGCCAAGTTTGAGATCGTCGATTGGGATCGGGACGGTTGTTACGAGGAGCGGTTTACGCATCGTATAGAACGCTTGTCATGTACGCGGGCCCAAGAATAGAGAAGAAGTATTGTGGGTAAGAAGCATCTAAATGAAATTCGAAGGTTTATACCCGTTCGCTAGTTGGAGGTGGGTGCGAGAGTGCGTAAAGAAGTAGTATGAGAATCCAGGCTGCCTATCAGTCAACGGCTGCAAGCCGTCGGTAGAAATTACTACTGTCAAAGGCGCTATATCAGGGGAAAGCAACCAGAAGGACAATCACTGGTCGCAATTCGTTCTGGCTTTCAGCACCCGACGTATTGATTGATACGTGTCAGCCTATCAATGGGCAAGGCTGAGGCTGACACATTATGATCACAAAAGCTGGCTGGCGCCAAGAAAAAGTATAAAGGACAAAAAGCAAGAGAAAAAAGAAAAGAAAAAAAGGATAAGGCCAGAGAACAAGCCCATGGCAAGACTGTGAATTGCGTCTGTGTCTCTTGTATTTTAAACTTGGCACAGCCCTTCTTGGGGATGCGATGCGCTTCTCTCGTAAATGCCTTGGATCTACCAAGTAGATTTTGGAGGATTTAGCTTTCATCATAATCAGAGCTAAGCAACAACATGACGAATCCTTCAGTCTACGATGACATCTTCTATGCCATTTCCTCGGGCGATAGCGGCCTCCTCCAGGCATTATTAGCCAGTGGCATCTCTCCAGATGTCGAGAATAATAAAGGCGAAAGAGCACTCACTGTTGCCGCAAGGGCTAGCCTGCCAAAAATGGTTTCAGTACTCCTGAAAGCCGGTGCAAAGCCCTCGATGACAGATCGCGAGGAGAAATCGCCTCTTGCGACAGCAGTGGTGGCAGGGAATTTGGAAGTCGTGCAAACAATTTTAGAGTTTGATGGCGTAGCGAGAAAGGACAGACAGGTCGCGATGATGGAAGCCATCAAATTAGGTAGACCTCTTCAGATGATCGAGCTTCTGCTCCGTCTCCCAGACGACTTCCAAATCGAATGGTCAGAAAGCGGGATCGACCTCCTCGGCTGGGCTGTCCAAGAAGGACATATCCCGGCCGCAAAGTTGCTTCTGGCACGAGGAATTCTTCTTACAAAACCCCGTTCAAACTGGACTTCTGCGCTGCACATCGCTGCAGCAAAGGGGTTTCTGGAATTGGTGCAGATGATGGTCGAAGCCGGGGCAGATATCACTGCACGTAATGGGAAAGGCTTAACGCCGTTGATGGTCGCTTGCTACAATAAGCAGCGGGTGGTGGCTGCGTACCTTACAGAGCAGATGCGTCGGAAAGATCTAGATATTCACGACAGTCGCAAGCTTACCGCCGTGCATTACGCGATCATGATGGCTAAAGACATTAACATGGTGCGGTTTCTGCTGGATCGAGGTGCGGACCCAAACCTCTGCCCTCCGACCGCGTTCAGTGCGCTGTATGCTGCAATTTGTGCAAACTGTCCAGACATAGCTGGCTGCCTCCTCGATGCTTGGGCGAGACCTGCCAATGATCGAGAAATACGCGAAATCTGGTATATTACTATCACTAGAGATTTTCGCGGCTTGATATCGCGTCTGATCGACAATGAGGTTGACCCCAACATCACCATTCTCCACGGATACACGCCCTTACATCTCGCTGTTCAGCAAAACCGGTCTGATGCGGTTGAAGAACTCCTCAAAGGCGGTGCGAATCCTAACTGTGTCATCGATATGTTTCAGCTGTCACCACTGCATATGGCATCCTCTCAAGGTCTAGGCCAGATTACAAGTCAGCTGCTAGAGAGCGGCGCCGACGTCAATGCGCAAGCGTTTGATGGAGCGACGCCCATACTCCACGCGGCACGGAGCTTGCGAGGAGACATCGTCAAAATCCTTCTACATTCTGGGGGTAATCCAGACCTGGCAGATGCCTACGGACTGACAGTTTTCAACTTCGCAAGAGGCAATGCAGCGATTGAAAAGTTGATCAAGGAATCATCCGATCTACTCAAGACTTCATCGGAACGTGTTGTCGAAGACACACCACCTCCCCCACTGTTACCTCAGAACTTCCAGGCAATGTACTATGCCGCTTTCGACGGCGTAGGCAAACTATCACTGACCGATGATGAGCTCTATCTGGAAGTTTACAAGGACTGGACAAAGACTGTGTTCGAGATGACCCTCTTTCTCAGCGCACGGACGAAAACCGAAACGCTGCTTCGGCCCCTTTATTTAGCTTATGCGGACAGGTGGTATTCACTATTCAAAGAAAAACTCAGTCTTCTCTGCAGGTGGTGCCAGGGGAGCACGTCGGATGAAATATACCAGTGTGAATCCTGCATTGCCGTCACGATCTGCGGCCGTTGTGCTAATCGGTATAGCCGAGGGGATGCTTTTGAGGGTTGTCAGGGACATCATTTGTGGCGCATTTCATTGGAGCTCAACCATGGCAATGGCCAGATAGTATCCTCGCACCAGACGATTCAACATTCGACTGAAATCTCGTCAGATACCCCTGAGGAAGCTTCTACCACAAACCCTCCGCTAGCACCGTCAGGCAAAACTCCGAGCATTTCCAGGGCCCAGTTAATAGAAGTCAATAAACAGGACGAAATCCCAATCGAAGCTACACAATGGATCGAGCTCAAGAAGTGGGAAACTATCACTGAGCTCGACACTGCCATCAAAAACAAAGAGTCCCAGCTGCGGCATCCTGACGATTGTGACCTAACAGACGTAGAAAGTTACTGGACGTATTCCCTTTGGCTGTTTCAGCGTTATATGATGGATCCGAACCCAGACGCCCTGAGCAAACTTACTGCCGCTGCTGCAAACACAAAGTTGCTCGTCCAGAAGACAACCGCTGAAAAGAGAGAAATTTATTATCTGACCGCACGAGCGAAAGCTTTCACGTTTATGCGCATGCCGACAACCCCAACGAGCTGTGCTGAAGCTTTGCAGGAAGTGCGAGAGGGTATACGCGTATGTCCTCCCCACACTGTAGAGAGGCAGATACTGGTGTCGATTTTCGTCGTGGTTATCTCTACCCTTTTGAAAACCAAGCCACAAAGCGTGCCCTGTTTGGAAGATTGTCTTGCTTTCACGAAGGAGGCCTTGACGAATTCACAATCTCAAGACACCTCTAAATGCCCGGAAGATCTTGTGGCAACTAGCTGCGAACTGACTCTCGCATCCTTATTTACCCTAAGACACAGACAATGCCATGCCAGAAGTGACCTCGAAAACGCGATCAAACACATGAAAAACGCACTGATGAGGCCGAATGCGGAAGAAGGAGATGTAGATGTCGATGCACTCCTGGAACTGAGCGATCTGCTGGACGAACTCTACGAGGAAACAGGAGCCAAGCAGTCTCTCGATGAAGCGATTTTCTCCCTGAGAAGGATCTTTAACCTCGACACGGTTTCTCTTGCTGATATTATTCACGCGAAAAATAACTGCGCGTACTACCTGCGGAAGCGATACGTCCTGACAGCAAACCTCTCCGACCTTTCAGACGCCTTAAAGCTGGCCGAGGAAACTCTGCGACTTTTCGAAGACAAGAGGATCAAGGGATCGCTTGCGCACGCCGCCGCCCTGACAAACATAGCGAACATACTGGATCATCGCTACAATCGGCTCAAGGATAGAGCAGACCTGGAAAGCTCGATGACCTATGAGCGAGAAGCATTGGCCGTGACCGGTATTTCTCCCAGTGAGAGAGCAGTCAAACTGTCGAATCTAGCTCAAAGATACAAGATGCGGTACGAGCAATATGGAGTTCTAGAGGATGTCGAGCTAGGAATATCTCTCGCGAAAGAGGCTCTCTGTATCCGAAAAATTGGGCGTGAAGCCCAACAGCTAACGATCAACTCGCTCTGCAATCTCCTGAACCTTCGAGCTGACCGCTTGGAGTCATCTCATGAAGACTATAAAAGAATCGTTCGTCTCCGAAAGATCGCAGTCGGACTCTCCTCGGCGGCGTCCTGCGCAATCAATTTCCACAATCTTGCCGTCGATCTCACGAAGCGATACCACAAGTTCTCTGATGAGAAGGATCTCCATGACAGCATCCGCTATGGCTTCAAGGCCTTACGGTGCTGCTCACTCTTCGACTGCAATCGATCCATGTATCTTTCCTCTCTGGCAGCCCGCTTTCAGTTGCTTGTGAATATCTCCAAGAGAGCATCCGATTACGACATCGCGATTGGTCTCTTCGAAGCGGCCCTTGCCTGTCCCCTGAAGTCGGAGCTTGCCTATTTGGGGCTATCGACAACTCTGCAATTGCGGTGGTCCGAAGCCGGGATATTGAACGACAAGGACCTACGCTCGGCGCTAAAATCTCTGGAGTTAGGATTAGCCCAGTCGACCGCTCCGGTCAAGATTCGGATCCTGTATGGAGTTTGTGCCGCCAAGCTCGCCCTGCAACTGGACGATGCAGATCGAGCGGTCGCATTATCCAGAGAGGTGATTGGCTTCCTGCCAACAGCGCATTATCCGTTGACAGATCGAGGCGATATTGAATATACTCTCAAGTCCCTTCGGGGATTTGATACCGTTGCCGCGGCAGCCCTCTTAAAAGCAGGATATCCACCTGCGCGGGCCATCGAAAGCAATGAAGCTTCCCGTGGAGTGATCGCACACTTGACGTTGTCAGCGAGGCCAGAATCAGGTGTCTCGTCCACTGATACACTGGATAACCCAACGCTGACAGCACAGACATTTGACCCAACAGCTCCCGATCTGGTCGAAATCTCACGCGGCGTCATCATCATCGACTTTGCGATTTCGGACTCCAAATGCTTTGCTATTATCCTCCGAGACGGCAAGATCCGCCATATGGGACTCCCTGACCTACAATTAAGACATGTCAAGGAGGCAGGGAAGGACATAGCTGGTCCCAATCGTATCAGTTTGCCCCGTGCAGGAAACGCACAAGAACGGAATGGTCGACTGTCGCGTTTACTGTTGTGGCTTTGGAGGGCAGTAGTGAAGCCGCTCTTCTCGGCTGAGGCCCTGCTTCGACAGAAGGAAGACACGAATCCACTGCCCCATGTATGTTGGATTTCTAGCGGTCTGATGGGGTTGATGCCGTTCCACGCTGCCGGGGATGACAACCTCGGATCTATGGAGAATACGATGGACCATGTCGTGTCGTCGTATGTGCCTAGTCTTCGGATTCTGCAACATGCTCGAGCGCGACGGCGTCAGCTGCGTCAACTCGAACAGCCGCGAACTTTATTCATAGGAGCAGCCAAGGTCGTCGGACACGACGACCTGTCAGCTTCGGTGAGTGCTGATCGACAAGTAATCCAGCAACATTACCCCAGTACGGATGTCCTCCTGTCTCCATCCGCGGAAGAGGCACTGGCAAACATGCAGCTAGCAAATATCTGCCATTGCACCTGTCATGGTGAAATGGACCCGAAAGATCCCTCGAACGGGCGATTGATCCTCGGCTCGGATCCAGCAGATTTCTTAACAATCAAGACATTGAGCAGCCATTCTCTCGCCAATATGCATTTGATTTATCTTGCTGCCTGCTCGACGGCAGAAAACGGGGCTGAAGAACTGCTCACAGAAGTGGTGCATCTGGCCAGCGCCTTCCAACTGGTCGGCGTTCCCCACGTCATTGCCACTTTGTGGCCGTCGCTAGCAACGTCCTCGTCGCCCGTTGTGAAACGCTTCTATAGTCACCTCGCACATCTTAAAGATTCTGGTCTCGATGCCATCGGACTTGCACTGCATCGGTCAGTCGCTGAGTTGCGGAGGGATTGGCGCAATGATCCACTGGCCTGGGCCCCGTTCGTTCACTTTGGTCCAGACTGCCAGTAGAGTTTCATGGATGGAGTGTTCAATGTGATAGCTTTGAAACCACTGAAGCTTTTATTAGTAATTTATTTTGTTTTTATTTTTATTTTCTTTTTTGTTACTGTTGGAAAGTGAAGAAGCATGTCTACATGTTTCTATTGCCTATTAACAAATGCAGTAGATTATGACAGTGATAACTATTTACTAGTTACAGCGGGGCATAGAAAACATTTCAAGGTTGCAGCGCGCAACATATGTGTCTTTCTAGTTTAATTAGTACAGCTTTATGTCAAACACTTCCTCATCAGCGTCTCAAGCACTATAGAAAATGGACTAGCTTTTATAATATCACTAGTCAAATTTTGTCATTCACAACAGCATCATCTACTAACATAAAGAAGCATTATAAGTATGATCCTGTATGGTTAAGATAAAGACAACTTGAGTGTAATCTATTAATTAATCTATAATTTCATGCTCAGCTCCTGCACGCGCCCTTACTTATACCAATTTTAGATCTAGATAAGGTGATATATTTTTCTACATGGCGAAACTCTCGCACCCATGCCAACCTGAGATCTAGGTCAAGATGAGATCTATACTATTAAGCCCTACATCCCACCTTCAAATCAGAACAACAATCTGGGCTAACTGTACTCTAAATGCGTTCCTTCTAACACGTCTCATGTGAATATGAATGTGTTAATAAAGCAAATCAGACTAGTCTTACAAGAAGGTGTACTATCTGATTCACTGTAAGCTAAGAATACGAGCGAAAGTATGCAGTCACCAGTTATAAGAATGTTCAAGGACGAACGCTGTTAGTGGAAATTCAATTAAATTAATTATTTTTTCTCCAGTGTATTCTTGAAGCCAACCTGCCCCATGACATTTGTTCTTTCCTGAATCAATGAACTCAATCACCTTGAATTGGTTCCGCTTGATCTTCCCCTGTTGTCTATTCGTCCACCAGGATTAATAGTCTATACTGTCTCAGCTTGCTCCGACAATTGGACATCTATTGCCTACCGATGTTCTGTAACTTCAGGCTCGTAACAGACCTTAAACTATCCTAGAGGGACTTATTGTTTGAGCCGGATCTCATGGGGCCTTATCTCAGGTTTCCTGTGTTGTAAAGGAGCCTATTGGCACTTACAGGAAAATCCATCCTGGTCATACTTTGTTAGCACCTCGGACGATTGGTCCTGTGAGTTAATATATGTATGTCCATTGGTCCTTACGTATGTGAGATGAAATTAGGATACAGTCGCTTGCATGGCTTACCCCGCGCCAAAGCTTTTTCCCGTTTTGCTCATGGGGTTTCGGCCTATTGTCCCAAATGCAGGTTAATATAATAATATGACCTGTTAATGGCCTCTATTTTAGGTGGCCCGTACCTAAAAAAAGAAATTTGATTTCATTCGAATAAAGATGCTTTGAGTGGCCGAAACTCTGTATAGAGCTAAAGGCGTAACACTACAATGCTCCGTGCTCTTATTGAAGAAGAGAGAGGCATGTGCAGAATTTTGGTGTCTAGTGTGTCAGCTAACTCTCAAGTTCAGCCCATGTTCATCCTTTACAATTTCCATAACCACAGAAATAGGCCTATAAAGAGCTCACAACCCTCAGCTCATATTTACTAGCATTCATCTTAACACCTGCGCCTCGCTCTCTTACACCCGCACATAAGCACATTATTTCTGTTATGATGTTCATGTTTAAGTCGATACTTCTCCTCTCGGCCGTATCCCTGCCTTTTGGCAGTGCAGCACCGGCGGATAATGCAGTGCTAGCTGCGCCAGCTCTTCCCCTTGACGACTCTGCGGACAGTATAGTGAATATCACACGTCGTGGTGTCACCACCAATCCGGCGGTCATGTACACGCGCTTCGGCGGAACTACTTGCGGGACTTCCTGCGGTTCTGCCTATTGCACCGATACGACTCCGGATGCCACCTGCATCGAGTTCTCAGCAGGCTCCATAGTTATCGATGAGTTCTTCGGGAATTGCCGCTTCAGTAAGTTTGCCTACACCAATCAGAGCAGGAAAATCATGGAAGACCTAAGGGCCGAGTCATTGGACACTTCTCACGCAAATGAATAGTGAGAGTCTGGAGTGATGCTGGCTGTACTGGAAGCTCCTATGCCGATCTAGGGATTACTGAGATGTGCTGGCAAGTTAGTCTTCGACACTCGTTTCAGATCTACTGCTAGCTTTGTCGTGAAGCTTATATGATCCTGGGAACTTGTCGGAATGCAGCAGGATAGGTGAACACCAGAACCAAGATTGGTCATGTACAGAGCCCGCACAACTTTTCAAGTAGCGGCAGTTTAGCAATCCAGACCTGTGATCCATTCTATTGGTGCACCACGTATTCATGCATAAGGAGGATGAAGGGGGTTGGTCTATCTGAAAGAGCTCACCTGCAGCCCACCACTCAATATCCAGAGGCAAGCACGACCAACCACAAGCAATTGGCGGTAGCATCCTCATTATTTAAAATCATACAACCGGGAGTTAGATTAAAAATAAACCTTGACTCATACAGTATCAGTCAAGTCGGATTCTGATTCTGTCCGCACTGCTGACCTCAACAAATTGAGTGCCTCGGATGCATTCATACAACTCGATGGCAGAAATCGCATCAACCCCCGAATAACTGGAACAAGGCGAGCAAGTGTTGGATCATGCACCGTCTCCTCAAACCTTCTCTCTAACTCCGATAGGCGACAATCTTGAAGTAAACTCAGTAAATCAGGCTGCATCGCGTCCACGTGGATGGTGTACACTCACCTTCCGTTGGGTCCAGGCAATGTTTCTGCCGCTAATATCTACCACTGCGTTAGAACTATCCCGTGAAGACAAGAACAAGTCGGGTAGAGAAGTATAGAAATGACCGTGGCTCACCTCCGTGTCCCATGCCAGCATCATAGATAAACTGAATGGGTTCTAAAAGCTGTTCCGTCATCCGAAGGATATCTGTCTCAAGAGTATCCCCAGAGTCGTAGTAGTCGGTGAGAACCTTGTTGATGGAAGGACCAAGCAACTCAAATACAAGACATTGATGATAGGATGGCCGATCTCTTCGCAGACTTTGAGAAGAATAGAATTTGCCTCGTCATGGATCTCGGGGAAGAGAGGGGCCTCTTCGACATTATTACCGCGAAGAAAAAGTTCACCGAGGCCGAATCATGAATCATATTTACTCAGCTATTATCCGCTATCAAATTCTTAGTGAGTCCTCCCTTTTGCCCTAGCCATCCTTGTCATGGATAAGAACCTTACAATCCAGCTAAGCGACTTTGGGCTGGCAAAGAAGCTCCACACAGAGTCGGGATTCGAAGGATTGATAGCGACTCTGTGTGGAACTCCAAGCTGTACCTTTCCTAGTCCTTGACCTCTATAGGCAATTGCTGAGCTATTTAGATGTGGCCCCGGAGGTCATCCAGGCACGCAGCCGTCGATCCGGTTTTGGGGGTGGACTTGTGGTCTTCCGGCGTTGTCTTATACATCTGTCTATGCGGGTTTCCCCCATTTTCCGACGTCTTGTATACTGAGGAAAACTCGTATACCGTCGCCCAACAGATCAGGATGGGCCAATATCATTATCCATCACCTTACTGGGATGACGTGTGAGATCCTGCTCTAGATTTCATTGATGCAATGCTGACTATACTCATAGTAGACGTGGACAAACGCGCCACGGCCCGGAAATGCCTTGCCCATCCATGGATGTGCGAAGGACCCTCGGTCTCACCAGATGGTAAATCGATGCTGTACGGCCCTTTCTCTGGACATGTGGACGATAAAGCTAATGCCTAAACAGCTCCTCGATAGCGGAGGGAGTGAGATGATAGCTGGATTATAGGCAATATTGAAGCAAGAACCTACCTTACTTGGAACGAGCGCTGGAGATACTTATCCTTATTATCTATAATATATCCTCTATTTCGTCTTATCTATAGCTGGACTTAAGCTAGATTCACATGTCACTTATCAGTTATAAGCTGGAGCACGCTGAAGGTTCCCTCACGCTGTGTTCAGGCAGAGAGGTATACTAGCAAATAGAATCATTAAGGCTGAGAGGACAAAAGCTAAAAGTCTATCCCCTACGTCTCGTATTTAGCAGTGCAACTTATCAGCCGCAGCATGTCTTCCCACCCGTCTCAACCAGACCTTGAGGTCAAACTCGCCCTCGGTCAATTCGCTCAGGGCCCCAACAAATTTGAACGTGTACCCCAGTTCCTCAGACGGCTCCTTGCCATCCGTGTATCTGATGAGACAATGCTCGGCACGATAGTTGTCAGTCTCATACGCAGCAAGTCTCTCTGCATCCTGCGTAGTTTGAACATGATACGCTGCTCCTTCAACCACCGAGCCCGGACAATCCATCAGGGCAGGATATTGACCCCACATTTTACATTCGTAACCCAGAATGTATGCAGGCTGCAGTTTTGGTTCCTCCTCTAGCTCGAGAATCTCGGAGATCATTAACGAATCTGTTAATGTGCCGTAGAAAAAGTAAGGGCCAGTGGGTGCGGCGAAGAAATCGACGGGTTGTGGCTTCTTTGGGGGCTGGTAGAAATAATCGGGGGGTGCGCTCCTGAGCTTCAGGACGTAGGGAGATATCTTTGAGGATGGGTTTGAGGGTGGAGGGGGTGGAGGGGGGGGTGGAGGGCTGTTTCTTTCTTCTGGGCTAGAACTGGCCATGCCCACTGGACGGATTGCGTCTGCCAAGTAGCGCTATAATAGTTGTCAAAATGAAACTGGGCGCGTAGCTGTCTCTGAGGATGATGTATGTAGATCGGAGATGTATTGAAGGCTTATTCGTACTTATGGCCTGGTCTTCGTCAATTGCGCGTAGTTATTCTGTATTCTGCCAATGATTCCAAATGGGATTCTGATCCAAGATAAATACTCAGATGCTTTTTATAGAGCACGCTACCCTTTTATTGCTTAGCTTAGGACCTTTGGCCTACGTCTATTGGCCATGTTTCGGCCTTGACTCTGCAGTTTATCAGCTTGGCATATCTTGGCGATTCGAAAGACCAAAAATATATTAACCACGAGGACCCTTCGCAACATCAAAATCGGAGACGGTTAACCACGAGGACCGTTCACTGCACATCAGGAGCACATTCATGCAGTTCCTCTTAAGGCGGTTGGCCGCCATTCTCCTGCTTGCCTCTTGTCTTATCCTCCCCGTAAGAACCAGCGGAGAAGTCCAACCGATTGGAGTCGATTTCGGCCCTGAGATCATGTCAGTACTTCCCGGTCCACGATACTCACGCTTCCCAGTGTCTTACTGATGGTAGAACGGTCGCATATGCGCACACTTCCGATAATGTCTCGATTGTCGCCAAGGTTATTCCCAGACGGAATGACACGTATGCAATTTATATGCGTCACCTTCGTCAAGAAGCCTACGTACAGAACAATGTAGCGGCCATGTATGGCGAAAGAGGGCTGATCCCATGGATTACCGAAGCCGTGGCGGTGCGAGTAAAACTGGCCATTTCTAGGATTTACAGTCATGTTCCTATATCAATTCAACAAAGCTTCGACACGTCGGTGGTTTTTCAAGCAGCATTTGGAGTCATAAAGGCCACATTTCATGCTATCATGACATTTCTCGGAGTTAACTACCCCACTGCCCCGTCAACAGCTCCAGCATTAGACGATATCAAGACAGAGTTCGTTTCCATCCTGACCAAGCTCAAAGCCCAAGCACAGAATAACCACAATATCGATATTGAATCGGCGACAGTCGCTATCCCCCAGTTTTTCAACAGCACTCTCGCTGACCTCGTGTGGACAGCATGCTGGGAAGCTGAAATTAGACTCTCTCGCGCACCGCAAGCCCGGACAGTCCTCGCCACGTTCAATCAAAGCCAGGAGACCAAGGTCGACAATCCGGATATCAGATACCTGATCCTGGACCAAGGGGAGTTTTACCTGGATTCAAGAACGTATAATACTGACAGGCGTGCCGGTATGAGAGAAGGATACCTCCCTATGGATCAATGGGGCACTGAGTCAATTGATCGACATTTGACAAGTCGTGTGGTCAGGGGCTCTGAAGCACTGAGGTTTCAGACCTCTCTTGGAGCGCAGGAGAGTGATCTTTGGGAGCGGGTGAAGCAGGCTCGTTTGATGATGCGGAACACAAGGAATACCGGGGAGAAGGAGACCAGCGAAAATGACGGATATCATGACGAATGGCCGCTTGACTTGACAGGCTGGGGGTATCAGGACTTTGAGGAGGTGAAGGCGGTTCTGACGTGGAAGGATATTCAAGTGGTCGAGAAGGCTTATGTGGATAGCCTTGCTGACAGTGTCGCTGCTCATCTGACTGCATTAAGAGGTTGGTTTTCATTCCCTCTGAGATGGACCATCCAGATGGCGCTGTAGGGTCTCACTGACGACAAATAGAATACCACCTGGGTGAGAAGCACAAGGATGATGGAATCCCACAGAGAATCGATAAGCTGGTTCTTTTGACTGCCGGTCACGATGGTCACCTGGTCAAGAAGGCAGTCTGGCAAGCTCTTGGAGACCAGATCGATGTCATTGGAGGGACAGTACATGATTCTGGGCTTGCTGCCATTGGAGCAGCTCGTTCTGCATTGGAGGAGATACAGAAGCAAGTATGGACAAAATACCAGGGATGGATACAACACGATGAGATATGACACTGATACAGTTCTATTCAAAGGCTTTTGTGCTTATTAAACGCATTATAGATAAAGTATATCCTGGGTGTGTTTCTAGTACATCTCTAAGTCCTAGAAGGCTATGCCCTATTTACTAGAATTGACACTCGTCATCTGCAACCATGTCGACCACTAAGGATTCACGCCTGGGTTCTGTAGCAATGAGACCAAAGCGCATATAGATCAACCAAGATACAATGGTACCCATAGTCACGCTGGCAATCTGCCTTCCACAAAGACTCTCAAAGCCGCAGTTCGGATGGCACTCATTGCAATAGGGTATAGATCATCCCCTATGCTAATTCGCGCAACACCCAGTTCCGCCAGCTCAGTCACAGTCGGACCGCCCGAATAACCCCCTAGAAGCACAGCGACTCTACCGTCAAGCTCCTTAACCAGCGTTTGAAGATGGTCTTTTGTAAGTCCTCTTCTGGGCCCACCCCAGTAGAAGACCGTTGTGGCTCCAAGTTCGAGGAAAGCCTTTCCACGAGTAATTGCTTCCTTTAGCCTTGCATCGTCATTGAGGTCAGGGTCATCAATGCAAAAGATGTCGCAGCGAGCGTTAAGGACAAAGTCCGGACATCCAGCCTCTGTAGCCGCTTTAAGTGCTGATCTGAGGCGGCGAACCTGCTCGTCTAATGGGTAGAGCGAACCAGCCAGGCCCTTCCTGTAAGCAGTTGAGGAGATGCTATCTTCGATATTGGCCCCTGAAACACCAGCCTGAACGGCAGCAGTGACGATTTCTTCGATTCGAGAGCCATATCCATCTTGAAGATCTGCGCTTAAAGGCACGCCTGCCTGTCGACAAAGGTGAGCGAGTCGCCTGATCGCAGCAACGTTCTGCTCTAAGGTGAGCTCCTCATCTTTACATCCAGCAGCTGCAGCAATTGCCGAGGATGCAGTGGCCACTGCTTTCACTGGTTTGTTGCTGCCTTCATTGAGAGACAGAACTGCTTTAAGTGACGACGCATCCCAAACGTTGGTAAAGATAATTGGCAACTTCGGAACATGCATTGCCTTGAGAGCCTTAGCTGCGCAATTTACGGTATTCATTCTGTCCAGGAAGAAGGATTTGAGATTATAGTAATCTGTAGAATTTGTTGACAATCAGACAAGGCAGGTCAAGATGGCATTTCAAACGGGCCAATTTATACCCTACACCGACGAGTGGCAAAGGGCGTGAAAGTGGGCAGTGCATAATCTCCACGAACACGAGCCCCAGTAATTGCCTGAGGAATACGAGAATCACCACATGACAAGGTAAAGGAACAGAGTATGATCAAGCTCAGCGAGCTGTGAGAACTGAGGCAGGTCATATGACTCAGGCAAAACACCTACCTATATGCTGGCTGGCCATATTATACATTTATGCCTATGCGGCCTTGCGGCTAAGTGGCCAACCCGCCAACCGTGATTTTCGTAAGCGTCCCATAAAGTGTCATCATCTGGCTCTCGTACATCTACGCTTCCTGATATCCTTCGGTTCAAAGCGATTTCTTCATTTCTCGAAATAATCCTGCTGGTCATTTCGAACGTCGGCCACTCCCCACCTCAAGGGTCACCAACGAGCTATGCCTCATCTCGCCCACGTTTCCCTAGTTGTCCGTGACTACGATGAGGCTCTCGCCTTTTACGTCGATAAGCTCGGCTTTTCCCTCGTCGAAGACAACCAGGAGCCCAACAAGCGCTGGGTCGTCATCCGCCCTCCAGGCGCGTCGCCAGACGCAACAACCATACTGCTCGCCCGTGCTTCGACGCCAGAACAGCTTGCCGTTGTAGGAAATCAAACGGGCGGGCGTATATTTTTATTTCTTGAGACGGATAATTTCCAGAGGGACCATGATCGGTTTACTGAAAACGGCGTTGAGTGGGTAAGGCCACCAACTACGATGAGTTATGGGACTGTTGCTGTATTTAAGGACTTGTATGGCAACCAGTGGGACTTGATTCAGCGAGCAAAAGCATCTTGATCGAGATCATGCATTATAATTATAATACGGATTATTCATTGCCCCATTTGCTGGCTTGTTTCGAAAACTTTGGCGATCGTCAAGTTTCGACCATTTGGACGATCTCCGAATACCCATCTTCATCGCTATCTCGACGACCCTTCCGCTACAGTCCACCGCTTCTAGTCCTCTCGAAAGATTAGAGTCGTAGTTCCAAAACAAGCGATGAGGCAGAAGAGGCCGGTCTGATTCTTCAAAGTCACGACTGACTCCATATGCTACCCCAATGACTGCATGGCAACTATCCACTAGACTGTGCTTGATCATCGAATTGACACGACAGTCTATAAACAAGTACTTTACGACCGCACCGCAGTCAACGCCCTCATCCGCTGCGGCTGAACTATCACTAGCAAGGGTATAGGAGCCACGGCACATAGCACAAACGCCAGTAACGAATTTCCCCAACCGTAGCCGAGAGTGGAATACATGTACGGCGCGGCGACAGGCAAAAAGGCTCCCGCGATGTAGCGCAGAGGCAGCACAGCCGCAACAGCAGAGGCGGCACGGTCGCCAAAGATGTCAACTAAGTAGTTCATGATTGGGGTGGTGCTGCTGGATAGTGAAAAGCCGCAGAGGACCGTCGCAACTGTGGGCACGATCCAGTGGAAGCGCTGTTGGAGAGACCACCCGTAGAGGAGCAGGCCGATAGGGAAGGCGAGCATCGCCGGGATGATGGGGATGAGACGGTTCTCCGGACGGGGCACGGTGGCAGTGCCATCATCGACGACGGGCTTAGTGAACGGCAGGCCCCGCTGTAGGAAGTAGTCGAGGGTGAAGTTGCACATTAGAGCACCACTCAGTGTGCCGGTCGCTGCAGAAATGGTACGGTTAGCTTGACCAGAGGGCTGGACGGGTAGATTTACTCAGCGCAATGTAGACGAGACCGGATTGACTCTCAGAGAAGCCGTAGACTTCCTGGAAGATGGTGGCAAGGGTAGCGGCGACAAGCGAAATGTAGGCGAATAGGATGGCCAGATATAGGCCCATAAGCACTGCAATCCGGGAGCTGCTTAAAATGGCAAAGGGGCGGATCACAAGGAGAGCCAGCGCCTTGACGGTGGCCATGTTCCATCCTGTGAGGTACTTCGACGTTGAGCTTACCCTTTCCTCGTCGGATCTGGCCTTCCGTAGCGCTTTCCTGCGGATTGCTGGTACGTACGACTCCTTCAGAACAAGTGCCATGAGGATTGAGACTCCACCAGTGGTGATGGCCATCAGCCAGAACGTCCACCTCCAGCTGAGGTATTGCGTAATGTATCCTCCTGCTATGGGGCCCACGGCACTGCCTAGGATGGGGATCATACTCGTGAGAGACATGGCAGAGCCACGCTTCTTGATCGAAAATAGATCGCCCGTGACGGCCGGGTTCAGGCAAATGGAGGCGATGGATGAGCCAGCGAGGAACCGGAACACAATGACCATGGGGAGACTGGTACTAAAGCCAGCGGCCATGGTAAAGATCAGGAATAAGGCGTTAAAGAAGTGACACACTGGCATGCGCCCAAGCCGTTCGGACAGTGGACCGATATAGAGCGGTGAGATGACCTCGCCGAGATTCGGTACCGTGATGTAGATGACAGAAAGAAAGCTGTCATTGTTGCCAAAGTCCTGAGCAATGGATGAACTTGCAGGCGCACAGATGACGAGCGACATGTTGCTGATTGCATTAGTACATATTGCACGCTAATGCAGACTCAGGGGACGTACACCATCAGAGACATCAACGACAAGACGACCACAATCATCCATTTGCGCTTGTTTGACCAGTTCTGTGGCAGCAAGGGACTAGTATCATCCGCATCTAGCAGAGCCCGTCCTGAATGCTTCTCTGGACACTCGTGTTCCGTGGCTGTAGAGAGGCCAGAAGGCGTGCACGGCGGAGGCACACCCATAGTCCCAGCTGAGGATTCGCTGGACGCAATGACCATGGATGGTCTGGCTTTCAGTTCTGTCATTGAGAAAGGCAAGACAATCGAGTCATTTTCCAGCTGATAAAACGCATCAGGACAGAAAGCCTGGAACTCCGAACTCCGATCGGAGTAAAATCTAATATCGACTGTCAGTGGGCGATGAGCTGATATTTTAGTAGTGTAGTATCGCTAGTCCTTATTCCAGTCAAGTGTAATTCGTCCAGATGGGATTGGACCTTGTGATGGTGATTCCGGAGCCATAATAGAACAGTTTTCGAGGCTAAGGGCAAAATAAGGCGAAAATATCCATTACTGGGGTGAGCAGGGGTCTTTGTATGGGCTAAGGCGACATGTGGGGTCGTCGGCTTCCATTTTACATCGGCTGATCAGCGACAATATCAATTCCCTGTTTGGGAGATTTTGAACTTCTCCCGAGTCCGAGCACCGTTTGGCGAGAGTGGTGTGGAACAATGGGACAGTGGGTGAAGGGAGGATAAGTATGAATGATCAGTTTGATGACCGGTCACGAGGTTGGCGGAATCCAAGTGGCAGGATTGACATAAGGTAGTACAGAGAGAGGGTCAGAGGTCTGAGGGAGTATAATCAGAGTGGACGACTTGATATTTGGAATTGAGGGGTGATCTATATTACAATAAAATGCTCCCACCAATGGAGCAAAGCTAGCTGGTCATCCCTAAACGACTGCTAAGAGCAGTATGCAGTCGTGTGTGGATGGTATCACCTGTCAAGCGCATGCTCCTGACACTACGAATACCACTGTTAGTGAGACTTTCTGTCAAAAATCAAAGGCTACTTACCATTTGCCAATACGTCCCTTTAGCCCGAAGCAGTTCCTGATGCGTCCCCTGTTCAATGATCCGCGACGCTTGGCCAGCATGGCTTGCCCCAAAAACAAAGATGGTATCCGCCTTCTGGATAGTCGCCAGTCGATGAGCAACCGCAACGATCGTCAGGCTCCTCTTCCGAGCCAGGCGTTCCATAGCACCCTGCACCACCTTTTCTGACTGCGAGTCCAGACTCGAGGTTGCCTCGTCCAGAAGCAGGAGCGATGGCTTCCTGAGCAAGGCACGCGCAATACAGACTCTTTGGCGCTGCCCACCGCTGAGCGATGTCTGTGCTTTGATCCCGAGCTCGGTGGCGTAGCCTTCTGGAAGCGATGTGATGAAATCATGGATCTCTGCGTCTTTGCAGGCTTGGATCAATTCCTCCTCAGTGAACTCGGACTGGTCGAGACCGAGGGTGATGTTCTCGCGGATACTGCCTTCGAAGAGCCGCGGTTCTTGAGCGACTAGCGATAGTGCCCTGCGGTAGGATGTCATTTCAAGGGTACGGATGTCTTCGCCGTTGAAAAGGATCACGCCCTGCGAAGGACTGTAGAATCTCTCGAGTAGTGAGATCACAGTAGTTTTCCCACAGCCGGATGGTCCGACAAAGGCGACAAACTGTCCGCTCTGGATACTGACATTAAGTCCGGTGAAAAGAGGGACATCCTGTGAAGCGTATTTGAAGGCAACGTCACGGAACTCAACACTAGCCCCGGTCCGGTCATCGCTACGCACGAGTTCTTTCTTTTCGATGCTGGCAACACTGAGTTCACCTGTTTGCGGGCGCGAGTTCAATATCCTGTTCGCGGACGCAGCGGCCTGGGCAAAGTTGGATCCGAAACTGAAAAACTGGCCGGCTGACTGTCCGCCCTGGATGATCGCCATGAATATAACGAAGAATGAGGTCGGTTGGTATTCCCTGGAGGCGAGAAGCTGGCCACCGTACCTGTAGCCATTAGCAACCTTCTATTATAGTAATCAGGCAGTGATACGAACCAGAAAGTGAGTGCCATCGCACACAGCTCCACGCTATCGGAGAAAGCGAAAATCAGAGTTGCGTATCTCGCCTTCCGGAAAGCCTTCTTCTGTTGTTCCCGCAAGAGCTTGGTGTATCGATCGAGGATGGCGTCCTCCATCGTTAACGATGAAACTGTCCGAAACGCATCAATGGCTTCCGCTGCAAATTGCGAGCTTCCCGCATAAACCTCGGCGTTCATGGCCTCGAACTGCAGTTCATATCTGATGCGCATAAAGGCAGCCAGAAATGTGCAGGGTAAAGCCGCGAAGACCGTCACCAGACTCAGCTTCCATCCAAAGGAAAAGGCAATCGCAATGCAACCAATTATGCTAAACGTTGAAATGAGAGGGAATGCACCGTTGAGACCGATGAGCTCTTGAACCTGCTTAGGATCGGTGGCCAGTCGGGAAACAATGGAGCCAGAAGCGTTTTCGCTTAAATCATGAAAGGGTATGGGCTTCGCTAGGATGTTTTGAAAATATTCCTTTCGGCAAGCTTCGGATATCCTCTATGTTGAATTAGCGTGAGCAGCATAAATGGAACATATATACCTACCACCGAGAGAGAATTGGCAGTGAATCCCACAGTAGAGTAAAGAACCCCAACGCCGAGCGCGAGCAAAAAGAACATCAAGGCCCAAAAATTGGCGGCATCAACCAGCTGCTGACCCGTAAGCTGAAACACGTGGATGAGCTTCGCGAATAACCAGCTCTGAAGTGGAAAGGCCGCTATTTTTCGAAAGACTCCATTAGCTGGCAGCCCATACTGTGTTCAGGATTGCACTTACTTCCAGCCCCAGCTGTGCTGATGAGGACCGCCAGGTAGAACGGCCAACGCGCACGTTGCTCATATAACATCAGCCCAATAGTCCAAATAAACCCTCGGCTTTTGTCTCGGGCGTTCTCTTTATCGTTCACATTCTCTTGAACAGACATGGTGGGAGACTTGGCCTCTTCTTGTAATTCCAGCATCGCGTTGCCTGTGTGACTGTCGTCTTCTGCCAATAGTTCAAGCCTCTGGGCGTTGACAAGGTCGCGGTATACTCCCCCCTCTCGCTGGAGGAGCTCATCGTGTGTTCCCTCCTCGATGTTCACACCTCCTTTCATAACAACTATATGATCTGCTCGTCGAACGGTGGAGAGCCGATGTGCAATCATGATGGTTGTGCGGTTTCTGGAAACCCTATCCAGGGCCGCTTGTACAATCTTCTCGCCGCGAACGTCGATAGCACTCGTCGCCTCGTCTAATATCAAGACTTTGGGTTCTTTCACGATGCTCCGCGCGATGGCAAGGCGCTGTCGTTGCCCCCCACTCAATTTGATACCGCTCTGCCCCACGATGGTTGCATAGCCCTGTCACAGTCAGATATGCCTGGTTATTCCAAGAGACTGACATACTTCTGGTAAACGCTGGATGAACTCCTCAGCAAAGGCCTCTCTACAGGCCTTCTCGATTAGTTCTCTCTTCACACTGTCAGGCTCTTTTTCCCACTTTGTTCCGATAAGGCCAAAGGCAACATTGTTGAAGATAGTATCATTGAAAAGGAAAGGCTCCTGCTGGACGAGTCCGATCTGTGATCTCCACCACTTCAGGTCCAATTTGTTGATATCATGCGGCCCCGCATGGATACTTCCTTGGTTGCAGTCTTCTGGACTCATCGTCAACTGATACCATCGTTCTATCAGCGCAACGATCGTACTTTTCCCCGAGCCAGAGGGGCCAACTAATGCGGTCGTTTTTCCATTTTGAAACCGAAGGTCTAGTCCCTTGAGAACAGGGACGTCCGGCCGAGTTGGGTACGTGAAGCGCACGTCTCGAAAGATTATATCAACGTGGGCTGAGGCCTCGGGTTCGCGAAGGCCCCCGGCCTCCACTTTTTCGGAATCGATCAACTCGAAGAATGAACCCGCAGCGCTGGCGGCTTTGGCCACGATAATCAGTGGTGATGCGATATTGCCTAATACACTCACCACAATCATGACCGAAAAGAACACCCTGTCGATTTATTAGAAGGTGATCAGGCTGAGGAATCGGAGCGTGAGGATCGACCTACGTGATGACTGTGTTGATCTCCTTGATATGTCCCTCCCGGTATAACTTTAAACCAAACCAGAAGGCGAGGGAAAAGCTAGCGTATAGAGCGAAGAACACCATAGCAAAGTGGATGCCTAGGATAAAAGACAAGCCCTGTCCACGTTTCCGTGCTTCTTCGATCCAGGTGGCATATCTTTTGGAGAGACTTTCCTGCGCACCCAGGGAAACCACGGTCCGAATGGACCCAAATACCTCGGCCGCTATGGAAGAATGCTTCTCATCTGCCTTGTCAATCCTCTGCTGAATCTTCGTCATAAGCGGTAGAGTCACACTGCAGCTGACGACAACGAAAAGAAGCGCAGAACTTGTGACCAGAGTCAAGGCCCACGAGTACTTGAAGGCGATAATGAATGCCGCGAATAACAGGGCGACGGACTGAAAAAGAATGGCTAGCTTGTCCGATATGCTCTGCTGAATTGTATTGGACAGTGACGTGATTGTATTCGTCACTGTGCCCACGGAAACTTGGTCCACCTTACTGATCGGCTGGGAGAAGAGGGCCTGGACGTATTGCAGTCGGATAACAGCCGATACTCGGAGACCAGTGACGCGAAAGCAGAACTGCAATGGTGAGAATATATTCACCGTTCTCTGTCCAGTTTCCACCTACCATGGAGAAGTACGTCAGGCAGAATTTCGCTATGAACAGGTACACGATGTACAGACTGTTCTAAAGTCAGCGCATGCAACAAGAAGTTGTATTTTGATCCCCTACCTCAGTTTATTGACAGACGATTTGAATTGCGCCTCGGTGACATTTGTGCCCGGCATGAAGTATCCATTGAATTCACCAACAAGATTCCCAAACACGATGTTCATCAAGGGTAAGGGCTGGTTGAAGATGAGAGTTAAAAAGCTTTGTCTTTTTCAATGCAGCTCTAAAGTAACATACCACACCGGACGCAATAGCAGATATCAATGCCACGGCTAATACCAAGCGATCCTTCCCCGTCGCGTAGGAAAGGGCTCTCTGTAGTCTTGTCAGTGGCATAGCAAGGAACCCTGGGGAGAAACATCATAGGTACAAAATAGTTTCCCAGCGAGGCAGACTGCGCGGGCTTTGCATCATTTTTCCCTTCGCTCTTTTCCGGTTCTTCCAGCACTGCTTGTTTCTTGGTCGCATTTGCTGCAGGGCTATCTTCGGAGCTACCCATTGTTAAGTACGCTGGGAATGGCTCGCGGACAAGAAACCACCTTTCAAGAGATGAACAGGACAGAGGATGAGAATTCCATTAAATAGATATGTCGTGAGCAAATCGAAAGCAGTTGAATACGAGTTACCTCAAAGGGAAAGACTTGGCGTTTTAGGCAGCATCAACATTATATGTGGAGGGGCGAGGGGTCGTGAAGAAATATGCCCTCTGTTAGCATGGTTAACTGCAGGATAGGCACAATAGATCCACTATAGGACAGAGTCATGGCGTCGAAGTGGGGCTAGTAATAAAAATAATGAGCTTAAAAGGACGCTCTACTCCGTACATGGCCGGACCTTCGGGGATTTCTGGAAATCCGAGCCCCTGAGGCACTGGACGGAAAAGATTGCTCGCTTATCGATATTAGACGAGGTGGAGGCTTTTACCTAGAGCGGAAAAACGGTCAGCACTAAGATCATATGCGTCCGGGACTTCGGACTCTGCAAATTCCCCGTTGATCTTTCTTACCTCCTTCATCCTCCTGATGGTCTGGATCAGCAATGACCTCCCAGAACCCGCCCAAGCGCATGTCAGTATGTAATTCTTGATTCCAACTAGATTTATTAGGGCTAAGTGATTGTTTTAGTGCACTCGTTGTCAAGCCAAGAAGGTCTCGAATTGTTGATCTCAATTATCCCCGTGCAGAACTCATATTGACCTGCAGTTAGATCGGATGCAATAGACTCGAGCCTCGATGCGACCGATGCGAAGCTGTCGGTGCGCAATGCATATATTTGCCGCGAAAAGCTCGCTCCAAAAATAGACGGTTGGTCCTATACTCCGTATATCCAAAGTGTTTACACCACGTATCTCACATGTAGCAGTGGTCTCCATAACAAACAGAGCCTTCGGGAAATACTCAGGCGTCTAGAACGTTTGGAGAATCATTGCAAGATTGGCGAAGATGCAGACACTAGAGATGTGTCTCGTTCAATGTCTGTGTCCTCGGCCGACTCGGACATGAATGACTCAAGGTCGTCGACAGGCCCTGACCTGACAAACGAAGGCCAATCTCTTATCCCCAACACGCAGGACGTTGTGCATAGCATGTTGAATTGTATAAAGGACGACAAAGACAAGTCACTGCTTACATCAAACGTTTTCTGTCTCCTACAACATGTTCAATCCCGGGTTTACAAAAACGAGGCTTGCATTAAGGCGATAGAGGCTGCAATGTCGGAGATCTCGAGCCTAGAGGACAAACAAGAAAGAGACGTCTCGGTTCCTCCGCAAATTCCAAAGGAACAGGCAAAAAAATGGGTAAATTGTGCGTTACCATCAGCTATCAATTGACGCTCCTCCTCTAATCGATCCTGCAGTGTACTATGACTCGTATCAGTTTGAGGGGTTTCGAATTCCTTTGGAGAGAAGCTTTCTCTTAAGCGTTCCTGACTTGTTGGAGATACGTCACGTCCACTTGGATGCTACGTCAAGGCTCATTTATTACAGTGTGCTGCTTCAGGGGGTTTTGATGGATCCGGATAACACTGTGCAAAAGGGTGGCATCGTAAAGTCCCTTTACCGCACAAGCATCAAACTCGTAGACACCTGGTTGGACCAACTCAAGAATACACCGGACGACTTATTTGCCGCTTTTCTGATGGTGCTTATGAGCTTCAAACGTTCTTGTGAGATCACGTGCTGATGATTTTTAACAGATATCGATGACGATGGAAGGCTGCAATAGTGAGCTCTCATGGAAGATCTTTGGTCATGCCTGCAGCATTGCAAGAGTTCTTGGGTATTTCTCCATCGACGGGAACCCTAAAGGGCCTGAGGGCCATATCTGTCCCGCGCAGTCTGAGCATAGGAACGAGGTAGAGCAAAATCGAATGCGATTCGAATTTTGGCACCTTCTGCGGACCGACTGCCTTTTTCGTCTCTCGTTCGGTAAGCCAGCGCTGCTCCCTGAAGGGTCATGGGCGGTTAATCTCCCTGACCCCTCGATCACTGGCGTTGATGATGCGTCGACGCATTTTATTCAGATACACTTCCTGGCATCGATGCGTCTCACATTAGTTGGCCTGAAATACTTGGACTGGGTGAATGCCGAGTCCAATCAGAATGCAGCTACATACGATAGTTGGCTGGACGATCGTATCGTCGAAGTGGAAGCAATCTTGTCCGACTGGAACGTTGTAAGCCACCATGTCTGTTCTGTACTGCAGATGTAGTCCATTTCGGCTTACGCAGTACAGGAGGAGCTCATAAGCACAACCGAAACTCTCATCAACACGTGGTTCTTTGCAGACATTCTATTCACAAGCTACAAGCTCATTGTCGTCCTCTCCCAGGCCAAGAAATGCAACCGGGACAGTTACCACTTGCCACGACACACGGTAGACCTCGCCAGAAAGTCTTTGAAAGTGTTTCAATCTCTTATGGGTTCGATGGTGCAGTCTTTCTGGGGTATCAGGTAGGTCACCTATGACCTAGCATATCTGGGTTTGTCTGCTTACAACCATATCCTGCAGTGTTCTGTTACTCAACCAATTCATATTTTTCTTCCTTTTATGTATGGACGTAATCGATTGCCAAGAGCCGGGAAATAATGAAGAAAGTCTCGGCTTAGTGGGATGGGTCAACGAGTTTGCTGTAGAGGCAGCGGAGAATCGACCGGAGCTGGGACCGATTACCCTTGTGACAAGATCAATGGCTGCTGCTTGTGAACGAGTGCATGTGAGGCGCTAACAGTGGAATGCACCTTGATTGCTGGGGTTGTTCATAATATAAGGTAGCCGGTATGTAGAACAATCCTTGCGACTCGGCAAACATGTTAAGTCTGATGAGTACACTAACTTCTCCGGTAGGACCTACTTTCTCTATCTCCTACGAGGATGAATAGACGCATTATCCAGAGTTAGGACTACCGTTCGCCAATGGTACTCGGGGTATGGGGTGACTTTGTCAGCCTCAAAGACTCCTTTCGACTGCTTTCTTCTAAACATATTATTCAACAATTGACATATCTCCTTTCTGAAAAACGCCGAGGCAACTACTGTCACATCAGATAGCATCCCATCCTCACTCAGCATTGTTCAGAGCCCGTCCAGCCTGGATCAATCCCCAAATCGGGATCGAGACGCTCCAAGCCCACACACCCGTACGCAAATAGCTGATAGCCTCAGACTTGGCCCCCATGTACAAGGCCGTATACAAGAGTCGGGCGCCGATGTACTCCAATGAAAGCGTGTTCAGGTCGCTCGAGGGAAGGTTGGCCAGATTTCCAGCGAGCTGTGTAACATATGCGTTAGTTTAATGCTGTTTTTTGAGAATGTCTGCCTTACCATTGCAGCAGCGAAAAGAGGCAATCCTTCCATCGCATTAAGGTGCGCGCCTCGGGCTTTGGCGAGTTGCTGCCAGATCTGGGCTGGCAGACGGCCTTTGAGATTGGACAGGTTCTCGCGCGGTCTGTATCCTTTTATTAGCTGTCATGCGGTTTTGACAGAGTTGCGCAAGCATACACAATGTTTGTGGCGTGTTCCTTGGCATTGGCCATCATCTTGACATAGTAATAGCCATGAGGGAACAGACCAACGGCGTATGCCGCGGCAATCGAATGGATGGAGTAATTGTTTTGAGACATTGAGAATTGTGTCTTGAAGAACTCAGTATACTGATTGTTTTATTTTTCACGATGAAAGAATGAGATTGATGATGATGTTCTGATGCCCCTACATCTCGGATTCATTGGCCTTATATAGCCATTTCTCCAGACTATACCCTCATGAGGTCCAACATAACGTTGGTCTTGAACATAACATGCAGCTTAGCCTGCTTAATATGAACAAGCCGCGAATACGAGGAGTCTGTACATTCCCATTGCATCGTCCAATCACGGCCAGGGCGCTAGATGATTCTCGTGTTCGTAACTATCGCCACGCATTCTACCAGCATTCCGCCGCATCATCAACTGGAATATCGCCACCAAGTGCGTGTCCATAACCATAACGTTATGATTCCCCGCTTGTTCTTCGTGTCCTAGGTTGGCCTCATCTCGCAACCTTCTTCTCTCACATTTGTCACAACTCCAATCTACTTTTCTCTGAGAAATAACCCACTTGATTGGCCGATAAAATGCCAAATAAGCGTAAGCGAGATGTTCCTGCCGTACCGGACATCGCTGAGGACCCGGCGGAGCGAAAACGAGTCCTGGGCGTGCTAGCTCAAAGAAGATACCGTGTGTAGTGGGACCCTATTTCTGAGCTGCTGCTGACTCCTGCAGGCGAGAGAAAGAGACAGCAATGGCAGGCTCTGCAGGCTCGAGCGGAGAGTCGCTCTGGATCTGAGGACGGGCAGCCCCAAGTCGGGGACGCTTCGCTGCCTTCGAAAGCAGATGTTGAACCAAGAGCGACTTTGGACTCCACTGAAGTCAGTGTCTCACACGCAGTGGAGGATATCTCATGTAACGCCGAAGGTCCTTGGGCCGTCCCCTCGCAAATTATGCCCGAACTCAGCGATCAAAGCATGGACCTTATTCCAGATGAACTTTCTCCAAGCCAATTCCTCTCCTTCCCGCAATCTCCACTATTTTCTTTACTACCTGCTCAGGAGATGCCCACAATGCCGCTGTCTACTGTAGAGGATCCATTCTCCTGTTTTCCACCAGCAGCTTTCTTCCCGGATCTGCTCCCCTCATTTCAGTCCACTCAGAGCACCAACAACCCTGGGGGTGATTACAGTCTCTCGGACCGGCTGCAAACATACCAGTCCGCGACCTTCTCCTTCCCAGATGATCATCTGTTGGAGATCCCCTCTCTCACACTTCTCAATGCCGCAATGAAGGTAGCTCAGCGGTTGAATATTGCCGGCATACTGTGGGACCTCACGGCCACGAGCCCATTCTACCAAGGACCCGAGAGCCAGGCGATCTCCTCGCCACCGTCTCTCACATCTGGCGCCTCATCGCCATTTTCAACAGCATTCGGCCCCGACGGAGCCGACGATGTCATTGAACTTCCCCGTCATCTTCAACCGACCATCTCTCAGCGGTTCATCCCTCATCATCCCATCCTGGATCTCCTTCCCTGGCCGAGTACCCGGGATAAACTCATCCAGGTGTTCCATCTACCGCCGGAGATGCGTCCAAAGTCTGCGCAGGACCCCATTGGTCTTCTTCGGTTTGTCTATGACATGGAAGACGTCAAAGGAGAGGGTATCAAAGTACGCGGAGGGGATCCATTCGCACCTGAGGCCTGGGAGGTCGGACAGGTGGTTTTCGAGCGGTGGTGGTGGGCTTTTGATGGGGAGATTGTGGAGCGCAGTAATTGTGTGAGGATGCAGAGGGGGGAGAACCAATTGATGATGAGAATGGAGTAGGTATGTCTGTTATTTTACGTACTTTAGCTCTTTATATCTAAACTCTGGAAATCCATCCAATGGTTTTGTGCAGTGCATAAAGTCTGTATCGTTATGACTAATCTGACTTTATGAAAGTCTTCATAAATCCGAAGTAAGGTTTTCCTCTTCGGTCAGAAGCCCCTGGATCTGATCAGAAATCATACCTTCTTTTATCCTTCTTTTGCATCTCATTTGATCAAGTCTGTCTTTACCGCATCAAACATAATGGTTGCATCTCCACTTCTCCTCAGCCTGGCTGCTGCCGGCCTAGTCTCAGCCCAGAACACCGTCACCTCCATGTTGATCTACGGCGCAGACCCACAGCCTCTTGTCGCTTCCATCGTCGGCAGTGTAAGCACTCATGTCAATTCCTGATCTCAAAACACATCTCACCTATTAGGACGCCACCGCAACAACATACAGCATCAATTGCCCCCCAGGCACAGATAGCTCCAACTGCGGCATGGGCCCCGGCCTGACCGTTGTCGCCGGCCCCACGACCACGGTGCTGAAGATCGATGAGCCGGAGGAGAATTTGTAAGTGACCTCGACCTTGACCCAGTGAAGCAGGTACCTAATGTGCAGTAGCCATTGGACCGTGAGCTGCTCTGTTGGCGGGACCACCACCGCCGTGTGTACCGAGACGGCCAGCGGCACGGGGGCGAATTTCCCCGGTGTCAGTTCCTCGACCTTTTCCAACGATTTGCCTCTCATGGCGGTGACTATTACGGCTGGGTCGGCTGCGGGTGCGGGTGCGACGCCTACCACGGCTAGTGCTACCGCTACTACGGCTGCGACTGCCTCGGCCTCTGGAAAGTCTACTGCGTCGAAGGATGCGAGCAAGCCTTCGTCGGCGGCTTCGTCGGGTGCTTCGGGCTCGAGCTCGTCGGCTGTGAGTACCGGCGGAATGCCGCGTGTCACTGGCGCTGCTGGTGGGCTTTTTGGAGCTGCTGCGGTGGCTTTGGGTGTTTTTGCTCTGTAATTCCCTGTTGTAGCACACTTKGATACGCATGCAGATTTAAGCTGGAATGAACTTCTTAGGAGATATCAAGAAATTACTGTGCATTACCGTTGTATCTCTCTGCCATAGCTATGCCAGATTCTCATAGAAACTAACGTCGGTCCTCGTGAGTGACAATAGTCGGACCCTGCCACTTCTTCCGTCCGCGCACCACCCAGTCCACACAAGCGAAGATCATGACCGCCCCCAGGACGGGCCCGGCATAGTTCATATTCTCGCGGGTAACGGGGACCTGAGCCGGGAAGGGTAGGAAGATGGACACGTAGATTGCAAAGGCAATCGCAAAGATGTTCACGGGAAGGCCCCAGCGGCCCATATTGAAGACACCGGGGGGGATGTCCTGGGGCTCGCGGAAGCGCTTGATTACCAGCAGGATCAGGGGGATGAGGTACGAGACGTACAGGCCGAGGGTGCTGATGGAAAGAATCGCGTTGAACGCCGCGGTGGATCCGATCTGGATCAAAGACAGGAGGACGACGACGGTGGCGACGAGGAACAGGGCTCGGATGGGGATCTTGTGCTTCCGGTCGATGTGGACGAAAATGTCGGAGAATGGAAGACCGTTGTCACGAGCGAAAGCCCATGTCAGGCGGGTGACGGACGCCAGTCCGTTGAACAGCGCAATCCAGCCGGGAAGAAGACCCATGGCCATGAGGACATTGACGGCAGTCTTGGACCCGGTAGCCTGGTAGACGATCGTAATGATCGGGTATCCCGTCGGCGAGGTCAGTGCCTCCATGTAATCTCCCATGCAGTAGAGAACGGCGATGGCGTATCCAAACGCCATGATGCCGTTTGTGAGAGTTCCCCAGATCATGGATCGTGGTACGGTCTTGGAGGCCATCTTCACCTCCTCGGCCATGTGGATGACGCCGTCCACGCCTATAGATTGTCAGCGGTCTATACCTCTCGAACATTATCTCGGAGCTGCTGACCACCCAGGGGCGTCACCACGCCCAGAAGGCCTACAGCCCACGCTACGCCCGGGCTCGACCAGCCGCTGATTCCGCTGACAAAGGTATTCCAAACAAATTCATTGGGATTGCGGGAGGCAAGAGCGACGAGAACTGCGATGGTCACGGGCAGGAAGACGATGTGCATGATTCCAGCTGCAACCTCGATAACCGCCAGGACCCGCCGGGCATAGATGTTGATGATTATCGGGATGATCAAGACTGCCCACGTCAAAAGCGTGCCCTGATATCTCTCGATGTGATAGCTTTCGCGGTTGAACGTAACCAGTCCCAGAATCTGGTTCCCAATGAGGAAGGGCGCCAGGCAGACCAGGGAGCACCAGGAGAAGACCTGCTCACATTAGCAAGATGTAGTCGAACGAGCCAACCAGGTTCCATACCGTGACCCATCCTGAATGTTGTCAGCTCGATCCATATTCTGACTGCAATATAGAGACATACCCTGAAAGAAACTGAGAAAGAGTCTGTGGCTTTTGGGACTCAGATTATAGGTCCAATGATATTGAGCACCTGCTGTCGGATTCCTGTATAGTGATTCAATCTGGTCAGCGTGGCATTCGAGAACAGATGGAAGCCGTCGTACACAGAGGCAAGTTCGGCGAGTGATGCTGCAACAGCTACACTGCCAATCGTGCTAAATATCATGCCATAAACGATTCCTGCTGGTCCGCCATTCAGCAATCCGGCCGCCAGACTTCCTCCCACCGTCTCCCATGAAGCCATCAAGGTGGCTGAAAAGGCCAAAGTCGAGAAGAAATTCAGGTATCTCTATTGTTGGATGATTAGCCAGGATCACAATTGATCCGGTTATATATGCAAACCTCGAGTTGGTTTCTTTGCCGGAGTTCTTTACTCCCAGCTGGCAGGCCATTGTCTCCATTGGATCGGGCGCCAGATTGAACGTGGACATTACCCTTTAACTCGACCTCCTCAAACGCCATTTCGGTAGAGTCTGTTTTGCAGTAACCAGGCAGAGGATAGTCACAACCTTAAGGAGAGAGGAGGGGTTCGGAAGAAGGGCGTATAGAAAAGTTTTAAATAACAGAAACCATGTCAGACAAATATTGACCAGCTAGCCCAAAGCCAAGGGGACAAGGGCATCATATGGAATCTGGACCAGCCTACAGTCGACATCAGTTAATATTATTACTATTCTTCTTCTTCCACTTGGTCAGGAGTGGTCAATCCCTAGTCACTGTACTAGACATGGGGGGGCAATTTTCCACGCACTGCCCCTCTGGAGGACAGTCATTCTGGGAGAAACAAGGGCATTAATTCAAATTAACCGGGGCAATCTAGACGGGGCGACTCATCCGATCCTTGTTCGATTAGCTCGACATAAATGGTCTGGAGCTCCAATCCAGCGACTTTAGCGTTGGTCCGGTCACTTTTAGAGCAACTTTAGGGCACTAACAACCTGCGATGGCAATGTGCCTCCAGACTTACATGAGCGATTTCCTGACATGCGCACACGAGCAATAACACCGATTATTAGCCAACTCAAGCAGGACGCAATGTCTCATCTGCTCGTGCGCCACGAAACCTAGCAAGCATTGATCCCAACCCAATCACCCATCGCTTGTGCTTGATGCAACAGGGTACCCTTGCTGGATCGTGACTCGATCAAAAAGATCCTAAATTGTTCGGAAAATTTGATGCCGCCATGGGATAAATGAATCATAAAGAGAGCTTCTCATCACCCCCGGTTGTGTAGCTATGAGGGTCTGCTCGCCTGGGTTTGACGATGGAAGGCGTGTCTCGGACTCCTCCGTTTGCGTCAATCACAGACAGTGATCATGGTGCATACCTTCTTCTCGTCAATGTCTCCTTGTTGATTGTGCTGGCCTTCTTCATCGCGGCCAAAATAGGCTCGTCGATCTATCTCAAGCGGCGGCGAACGACCACCAGTTCTCCAATTTACGTCGGAACGGTATGAATTGATAGAATCCAAGCTAAGAGCGACACTGACTGCGAATCTTCCAGGTTGTTGCCATCACCCAGACAATCATACTCCAGCATGCTGTCAAATACGGGTTGGGAAGGAAGCAGGACTCCCTGCCGGCGGACTCTTTCGAAAAGTACAGCAAGGTATTTCGACGCCCGGGGTGTGCCACTGCTCTCCATTTAATCTTCGGTTTCGTAAGCAGTACAACTACGCGGCTCAGCTGCTTCAGATTATCCCGGTCGCCTTATCCAAACTATCGACGACGCTCCTGGTGCATATATTGACCCCGCGAAGCGGTTTGCAAAATGCATGTCTTGCCACAATAGGAGCGATCGGCGTCTGGACAGTCTTTGCGCTGTGTGCAATCGCTTTTCAATGTCCCCTGCCAGATTCTTGGTTGTATAGACCGGATCGTTGCACGGCCAAGGTATCTACTAATTTTGATGGGCAACCCACATCAAAGATCTAGGCTAATCGTGCCAGGGCGCCTTGATGTACCCAATCGCCGTCATGAACATCCTGACCGACGTGGCCGTCCTCACCCTACCCTTCTTCATGATGCACAAGGTCCAGATGACTCAAGGGAAGAGATTAAAGATCCTGTGCGCATTTTGCGCAAGAGCGCTGTTGGTCGTCCTGCATCGTGACAGTTATTGGGGGCTAATGGAGACACAGCGCTGTCTTACTTACAATCGGGCAACTGGCGACACTACCACAATCCTTGACTTCATCTGATACAACATGTAAGCTGGCTCCGGCTCCATCGCTACAGAAGCAGGTCTAACGCAAGCAGGGTCGATCGTCATACCATCAACCTTTGCCCAGTAAGAATTCCCAGGTTACCCAAGGGATCGCGCGTTTAACTCCTCCAGAGCAAACATGTATACGAACCTCATCGTCGCCTGCCTACCGACTCTCTACCACATCTTCGCCGGGCTGCACTCCGGTCTCATCACAACCCGATTACCAGACAATGTCGAACTATCCACGCGACGGAAGGGAAGCAGCTACAGCAAGAAGACGCCGCTCAGCGCCGAGAAACGCCGCAGCATTTATACAGGGTTTGCTTTCGGGAACGGCGACTCCGTAGTGACCACCAACGTGCGTACGGATTCTCGGGAGGGCCGATTAAGCCAAATCCCCAGCGATGATAGTGAGGGGACGGGCGCCAGTACGAAACAATTGACGATGGAATCACGGAGGGATGGGGTGCTCAAGACAGTGGACATTCACGTTCATGTGGAACATGAGTTGGATCAATGATAGCAATAATGCCACTTCCGCTTAGACTACAAGGCCTCGGCTGGGTGTAAATAGAACACGCTGTCTGGGTGCTGTAATCTGTTTTTAATATGGCATGCATGGCGCTTGCAGGGATCATTGCAGGGATTTATATAAGCGACGGTCGTGCGCCGCGCGTGCTAGTCCTCAATGGTGTATATATTCCGTAGTAGATATCATAGAGTCTCGACACACGTGTCCTCGGTTCCTTCGCGGTTAATAGGTCTCTTGGTTGTTTCAGACAATGTGATAGGAAATGCATAGCGACGAGGGGTTATCCAGATCCCAGCAGTTCTTGCGACCAGCATCAGACTCTCATAATCTTTCTCCGACAGGAGTAACCCCTATGAAGCATCTGTGAACGCCCTTCGAATACTAGACTGTATCAATAACGATGAGAAATGCAATTGCGAGGAAATCATTCCTTGTTACTTGAAAAGATGGGTTATGTGATGATTGCAGCGGTTGTTCTTGACATAAACATTGGCGAGAATAACTGACCCCTCGAGGTTGAAGTCGTCATCAACTTGGCTGTCAGAAAAATATAAATAAATAAAGATAGAGTTCTCGGTCCATTGCTGAGGAAAAAATTGATGCAGACTAATCTATGGTGCTTTATTATCGTTGTCGCCCAAAAAAAGACGTAGAATTAAAAGGCTGGACGCGGGCAACTGTGGACGTGAGGGGCGGAGAAAGAAAAAGAAAAGCCCTACGTGGGGGTCGAACCCACAACCTTTAGATTAGAAGTCTAACGCGCTACCATTGCGCCAGCAGGGCTGTTGTTATGTTAGCAGGCATTAATTATTGTTACATAAGGCTATCCTATACAACTCAATTTGAGTATCATCACCTGCAAGTCCACACTGATTTCTACTTTTGCTCTCAGTTAATCATTGCCGAACCTTTAATTGCGCAAATTTGTTTCATTTTACGAGTGACTCAGTGTGTGCTTCCGAGACCCAGGATCACCTTGGATGGTTCATCAATGGTGGAACTTATTCAGATAAAGGACATGGAGGGGACCTGGACTGGCTTAACATATATTCTCCCTCTTCTACCAGAGGGCTGGTGATGGGCTGATCGCTCGACGACTATAATCACGTGACCGGGCTTGTTCCACTCTCTTTGCTCTTCCATCCCCAACTTTAAACAACAACAACATGTCTTTCTCTTCTCCTGAGTTTCGGAACTGTATTCTATTACCCAGAACTATACAAATTCGCTGGCAGGAGTCTTAGGTACCGTGATCCCTTCTTATAGGATGAGACCAGAAGATTTCGGATGTTCGGTCTTTCTCCGACGGTGACAACGCTCTCCACATATTTATTTGAGTCAGCTCAGATAGCAAGTGACTTTTGTTCGATATACTTCACAACCGCCCAAGATTGCGACTAGTTGATGTTTCCGTGTATAAATGCTCTAAGCTACTAGCGTTTGCCTCTGAGACGCGACTGAACAACCGGCCTCATCATGGAATCGCCCAGGGGAACTCCCACCCGTCTCTTCAAGTCATGTCGGCGGTGTCGAAAGCAAAAGATGCGCTGCGATGCGCGTCATCAGATCCCTTGCTCCCGATGTCAGGCCACTGGCCATGACTGTGTAGTGGACACAATCGACAGAAGGCGCAATGAGCGAAGAAACCAGAACAAAGAGCAAACTCGGTATTCGGTCTACCACGAAGACATCGATCATAAAACCTACTGACTCCTATCCAGATTTAACCCCCTTTCTCCAACAAGTTCCAGCCTCTCGTCGGTGGGGAGCTTCAACAACCGAGGGTCAACTGGCCAATCCAGCCTTGAAATCCAACATTTTACGTCGCAGGATATGATGGCTCCTCAGTCAGCAATGCACTCCATGTCGGTCAATCTAGGAGCTCCAAATGAGCAAATATTCATCGGCGAATCCGAGAATGACGACCCAACGAAAGACGTGATTGCAAGAGGAATCATCACTGAGGAGCAAGCTCGCGGCATCTATGAGAGGTACGGTACGTTCACCTGAGCGAGAGGATGATACTAAATGCCGAGCAGATTTATGAATGGAAGCAAGAATTTTCTGCCTCTCTTTGACCCTGTCAGGGACACCTATGACTCCATCCGATCTCGGTCATTGTTCTGCTTCACCGTCATAATCTACCTCGCTAGTCGAGCCGTTCCTGAGCTTCGCAGCAACAACCATTTGCAGCGGGTCCTTCAAGATGAAGCGCAAAAGCTAGCCGAAGACAGCTTCTTTGAACGACCAACCAAGCTTGAGACTGTCCAAGGAATGATTCTTCTAGCTGCCTATTCCGAGAAATCTTGGTTCTCGACAGCTCTCATTCTCCGGACAGCACTGGATTCGGGGCTTGAGAAATCTCTAGATACTCTTTTGGCGCAGACAAACACTCCCCGAAGTTACCTGTCAGCAACAATGGAGGATCGCATCCTGGTCTGGCAAACACGAACTTGGCTAATCACGTACACTACTGAGCTCGATATCGCTGCGGGGACCGGCAGAAAATCGCGAGTCAATGAGCTTGATGTAGMTAAGCTCCGCAAGTATCTCGACTATCCTCTCTCACTGTCCAGCGATATGCGTACAGTCAGCGTCATTGAAATCCATCAACTTCGAGGTAGGGATATATTTCCTGTCATCCATTGGTCATTGCGGCTAATATAACACAGCTCGAGCACGACGAACTATAGACAGTACCACCGCGGGGCAGTTGCTGTCCACCGAATTGCCCGCAATCATGCGCCGGTTAGAGGAGTGGTGGAAGACTTGGGACGGAATACATGATCGTAAGAAAGCGAACGCTCGCCGGGACGGGAGGGACGCTGACTAAGTAGAAAATGGCTTCCACGCTGGGGCTTTTCAGCGGTCTAGTTTGAAATACATGCTGAATTATGCCCGGATCTATGTCCTCTGTGCCACCATCGCTCGCATTCAGAAGCGGCCGTCATCGGAAGTTCTTCCAGATCCCGAGTCAGACGCCGTGCTAGGACTTTGGAAGTCACTGGTCGAGATCATTATGGGCCAAATGGCATTGTTAGTCAATGAGACTGCTTACCGGTGCCAGCTCACCTGGGCTCCAACGTATGCTGCGCTCACTATAGCCTTTATCAGTAGGTTCCCACTCCTCTGTTCATTGGCAGGTGCTAACCAGACTAGCAACATTCGCTGTTCGAGTGGCACGGTGGCATCCGGCTTTGATCGATCAAAGCTTGGTCTTGCAACGAGCGCAGCAAATGAGCGAGATTCTCAAGCTGCCCCCTTATCCGGATATCCATCGCACCGTGTCCATATTCTCCAACTATGCCAGTGCGCTTTTTGCAGAAAGGAGTTCCACAACCAATCAGGGGACCGCAATGTCAATTACTGCAGGATCCTCGATGCAACCAAGGCAGGGTACAGACAATCCGAGGTCTGACTCTGAGCTTTTTGATGTGCCGCATGACCAAGGTCAGGAGCAGTCGCTGCAGAGGGATGCACAGACTCACGGAGACTCTCTGTCAGAGGAGGGACGAAATGCGGAAGCTCGTTCGGATCCTGCACTACCACGCCTTCTGGGGGAGATGAATATACCCAACTGGACCCTGTCGACTTCTATTGCGGACTCGTTTGATCTGTTCGAGGAGGGGCAGTCGGATGTCTTTGACTTTTTGCCTTCAATGCCCTCCATATCCTAGACAGTAAGGACAACATAGCATCGATCTGTGACCGAGCCGGTTGTCGAAATGTGATGAGTGTGAAAAGATGCCATATCAGCTGTGATCGACAGTCCTAGATCAGCAAGCTGCCTAGCAAACAAGTCAGAAGATCATGTGCCATTCCCCAATTCCCTCAATCCCATCCAGTCACAGGCAGTTTTTATGTTCGATCAGGCATCAAATACTCCTCCAGACAACGGGGCCGGTCGCTGTGGACCGGCTCCTGATCGGCGCCGGAGCAAGTTTCTGCATCTCCGCCGGATCCGGTCCGGCGCCGGATTTAGTGCTGGAGTTTACGACTGAGCGGGAACTGTGATTGGCGAATTGGTTTCTATATCTTGGTCCAGAAATAGGAAAACAGTTACATCTGCAATGCCTGGACACATCTTTCCGTTTCTATGACTCAGTTTTTCGGTAAGGCTGTCCAGAGGTTGATCGATTCTTCCCAAATAAATACTCCGAAAATGGCGCCAAATCGGGAGCAATTGTGCGTTTGCCGAGCTCAAGCATATAACACCTGGAATGCACAGAGGCTATTCATTATGCCAGAAGAGAAATCAAGTTCCAGTCCGGCTCAGACAGAGTGTTCCTTAGGTACGACACGCGTGTATTTCAAGCCATCCAATCCTCGAGTGCTGACAGATACGAGGGACACCCGAATCTCGACAAGCATGCTCGAGTCAAAGCAAATTCACATCCCCGAATGACTGGCCATTACATAAAAAGCTGTCCATTGTCGTCGCAACCTTTCTCAGTGTAATCAATTCTGGCATCGGGAGCTCGCTGCCGAGCAATGCGGTCCCTTACATCATGCGGGAGTTTCATGTGGAAGATGCCACACAAAGTAATCTACCGACTTCAGTGTTTCTCATCGGGTATATTGTCGGGCCACTTGCGTTTAGTCCCCTGAGCGAGATCGTCGGACGGCGGCTGGTGCTGCTGCCTACTTTGACTGTGTTTACTTTGTCGACTGTGGCGTGTGCCTTGAGTCCGAATTGGGGATCGCTGCTCTTCTTTCGGTTTATCTGCGGAACCATGGGTTCTGCGCCTCAGACGGTTGTGGGTGGTGTGTATGCGGATATGTTCTTTGATCTCAGAGAAAGAGGTAGAGTGATGGCATTCTATATGGGGGTATGTCTTATGATGGTTCATTGGGGTTAATCAATGCGTAGAGGCTGACTTTGCATCTAGTCAGCTAGTTTCGGACCCATTCTTGGTCCAATAATATCGGGGTTTGTATCGCCCTCTTATGGCTGGAGATGGACGTTCTGGATTGCTTCGATACTGGCGGGCTGTGCCTGGATCTGCCTTCTCTTTGTGCCCGAGACCTTCGGGCCGGTTCTATCGAGGCGCAATGCGACTGGAATGGGGGATACAGTTGCGAAGGACGCGGTCAACATCGTTCAAATCGTCAAGCGACCCTTGGCTATGCTGCTCTTTGAACCCATTATCACCTTCACTTCGATATACCTCGCGCTGGCTTATGGTCTTGTCTTCTTCTACTTTCAAGCTTACCCAATAATTTTTGAAAGTTTGTTGCCCTTTCGCCGGTTATAATACGGGTATGCTGACTTGCCAGGTGTCTACGGGTTCGATGTACAGATGACCTCTCTTGCTTTTCTCCCTGGTACGTATGTCGCTACCTCACTTTGAGCCACGCTAATAGAGATAGTCGGCGTCGGTGCAGCCTCCACCAGTCTCGCTGCCCTCTACTGGGATCTGGCCTATGGCAAAGCCAAGAAACGCAACAAGCCATGGCGCTTCGGCGCAGAACTCCACCGACTCCCTATCTCCTGTCTCGGCGCCGTCCTCCTCACAGCCAGCTCGTTCTGGCTCGCCTGGACCTCCCGAGCAGAAGTCCACTGGGCAGTTCCCATCGCCTCCGGACTCGCGTTTGGTTTCGGCTACCAGACCATCTTCGTGTCGCTCTTGACGTACGTGACCGATGCTTACAAGATATATTCCGCCAGTGCACTAGCTAGCTCGGTCATTCTGCGCAGTGTTCTTGGGGCACTGCTGCCGCTGGCTGCTAAGCCGATGTACGGGACGTTGGGGGTGAATTGGGCGACCTCGCTGGTCGGGTTTTTGAGTCTGGCGTGTGTGCCCATTCCGTTTGTGCTCTTGTACAAGGGGGAGTGGGTAAGAGAGAGGAGTGAATTCTGCCAGCAGTTAATGAAGCAGGAATGGCCAAAGGAAGGTTCAGATACAGAGCGCGGAATACGGGTTTGAGGCGGGATAATGGTGAGGTATAATGACTTATGAAACGAACCTAACTTAGACATTAAAAAGTCTAGTATAATTTTCGGTTATAGAATATGATGTTTGAAAGCCTCGAACGGTGTACTCCAAAAATCTCAATATCATGAAGCACCATGCCAGTGAGTGTAGTATGAAGGGAAATACATTCATAAACCAGGTCACCCTCCGAGCACCTAATTTTTGGTAATCCTCAGTCCTCGTTTGCTCCAGTTCATGTCTGTGTCTCACTGTGCAAAGTCGGCCAATCATGATGACTTTTATTGTCGTGGCGCGCATATACAGTCAAGCTCAAAACCTGCGACGTCGGTGCTGCTCTATACAATGCGCTAGACCGATACGGATTGGCCAAATCAGGCTCTACGGATATATTCCATGTAGCTAGTGAATAAGATGGCTTGTTGCTGCCGCCAGCGTTCCACATATTAAGCTTATCTCTCGACCACAGTTGGGTCGTGGCTTGTCGATTTGAACGGAACATCTGCCTATTTTGAAATTTTCCATTGAAAAAAAGAATAACCGTCCTTCTGAAAGCAACATCAACTTTACTTTGACTTGCATAGAGCATAAATTCAGTGAGCGATGGCTGTTACCGGACCATGTGATGCCGCCAGGTGCTAAGGCCCGAGCTATAGTCTCACATCAGAATGCGGATGACTCACTTGGCAACAACCCATGTATATATGAAGAACACAATTCCAGTGACAAAAGACATAAACCTACCCTCACATCAAATGTCCACCGGCTCATTTCCGATGTCTTACCCCGAGCAAGCCGTTGCAGTAATTATTCCCGAGGAGGTACCACCCATATTCACCGAACGACTCCTCCTACGGCCCCTGCGGATCGGCAACGACGAAGACGCCGCGGGAATCTTCAGTGTCAGAAGCCGACAGGATGTCGTGGACTGGCTGTGAGTGAAACCTATTCTGCGATGACGTCCTCACGCTGACTTTCCACAGTTGGCCCCGAGTAGCAGATACCACAATCGAAGAAAGCAAAGCCCAGATGAGGAGAAAGGTGTTCAAAGATCCAGACGCGTCCGGTGCCGTTGGACGGTTATTCTTCTTTGTCATTATTCCAATGGAGGAACCTGATCGTATCATTGGATCTCTCGGTGTTAACTCTCTATCGCCTGCTCCATCGGTGGGATACGCCATGCATCCCTCGTACTGGGGCAAGGGATATGCCAGCGAAGCCTTACGGGGAGTGATCGACGCATGGTGGAAACTGCCACGAGTCGATGGCCTGGGACATGAGGAGAAATTGTTTGCGGCGGTCAATTTGGCTAATAAAGGGAGTGTGAAGGTTTTGCAGCGAAATGGGTTCAAGACTTACGAGGAGGTCGTGCTTGAGGGGGACACGGTGGCATTTATGGAGTTAGAGAGTCCTCGGCGAGCGGTTACTCGACCTGGAACGGTGGATGATCATATCTAATAGAGCCGATTTGATCATGTCTAAGTCCTTGAGATCCCGTAACTCGATTTCTGATACTAAATCCAATGTCAGAACCATGCAAGTGTACTGTTTAGCGACACTAGGCTGATCCTGATGGCTACTTACCTCTGTCGCAAATTCTAGCAACAATATTTTTTAAAGAGATTCAAGAGGCCATAGATATGCGAAGAATCCGGGACTACTTCCCACGCCAATCGCACAAAATCAAGTCGTGTATAGATTGCTAGTAATAGTATCTATGAGAAGGGAGCATCTGTGTCACCCTTCCAGTAGGGTGTATGATTGATAGAGATGAACTCCTTGCGGTGTGCATCACGTCAGGTATGTTTTCCATCATTATATGGCTGTATCTCGAGCTCAGTCCCTCGCTGATGCCTGTTGACATAACAGACGGTTTTGAGTGGGTCAAGTTGTACTACTACACGAAAGGGGCAGATGTGCATTGACGACCGTTGAATATAGGTAGTTGACTCCTACAAGCATGAAAAGACTAGACCATTCATGTCATAGAGCATCAGGCAGAGACTGCAGTATGACCAGCTGACCAGTCATTAGGCAATTACTGAGAGGCTGAATGCACAGCTTCCGATATATCGAATGTATGCTACTTATAGAACTGTGGCTGTCAGATGCATCGTTCATGCATATTGTGCAGCAGAAAAGTGTAAGGACTGAATCAGATATGTCCTCTCTCACTGCCCCTCGAAGAACATTCATCCCATGTCTAAGCTGCCTTGCGCTTAGCCATGTGTCAATTCTTTGGCTTAACCGCAGACATCCGCGTACTATAGCATTAATTATGAGGTTCTGGTCACTTCTTGACTTAAGTTTGAGTCTCCTCATCCAGATCCACACCGCTAATAATCCTTCCCAGGAAAGCTCGTATTAAGCCCCAGTTGACATCGCCATTGGTCATCCATTCGCTTATATACGAGCAATGCACCAATCTTTTGAATCCTTTGATGTCGAATAAGACATTCAGTAAGACATTTCGAAGTATGTCCGTGCCGGCTTGCGGGCTGAGCCAGGGTTTCAATCAGGTGATTGAAGCCACGTTTTCGGTCAACTCATGATGAGGATCATTCCAGACCAAGGGACCTAACAATTGGCGTGACTGCCGTCCTATAATCAATGCTTTTCTGTCCGATGCAAGGTCTCTCACAGATCTTGCCAAGACGGGGTGTAAGACATGGCAGTCTGACAGCGCGATTAAGGCAACCCGGTTTGGTCTCCTTGATCAAATCATCTGAGACAAGTCGAAGTCTATGGCTCGTGCACGACATCATACCCGGTTTCTCTGTGGTAATCTCGTACTTATTACAGAACTTTGTCTTAATTTGGGTGGTTCTTGCAAAGGCCATCAGCTTCGATGTACGCTGTGTGACAATATGACCAAAGCTTTGGACGCCACAATCCATGGTTGTCGACTCAAGCTTGAATGCCTCGAGATGCACTACAACGGCACTACTGGAGGATATCTCAGACACCGGCTGAGCATCTGATGGCCTTCCCATAGACATAAATAGTCGTCTTCATCCGGTCCACTGGTCCGAGTAACAAGCCCAACTTAAGACAAAGACCTGGCATCCTACCAATTCACCAACATCTCAACCACAATGTTCAAGCCTGTTGTTCTTCTCAGCCTGCTTCTAGCCGCAGTAACTGCCGCTCCCACCCCCACCGAGGACATCGTCCCTCGATCCTGTGGCACTCTGGGCCCATCCGTCATCGACGTCCTGAGAGTCTCGACGCCAGACAATGCCTCCCCGGGCCAGCAGTTCACTCTCAGCCGCGCCGGGATTCCCCCGTATAACACTCAAATCTCCGCCTTGTCATTCGATTACATCCCGATCAACGCAACTGGCTGCATGCTGGAAATCGACATCCCGGCCCTGACTCAACCCAACCAGATCGCCGAGGGCGCCACCCAGGTCGATATCTGGACTACTGATCCCTGGAACCCCTGGGATTATTCCTCGCTGCCTACGTACAACAACCCCCCGAAAAGGAGGGAGATGGTCGGCACGTACATCTTCCCGACGCAGCCGACGACGGCCGAATCGAAGACCATCATTGCCTCGAATACATGCTCGGATCCCATGAGCTTCCTGGTGGAGCTGAGTGGATGGCAGACTCAGAGTGGCAGTGTCAACTTTTATAATACTCTGGGTGGAAAGCAGGGAATTGTGCCTATTGGATTCAGGATGATCTTTAACTGCTAAGGTTGTGTAATCCTATGCCTGGCGAGTCGGGGATGTGATGAGACCACCACCAATCAGAAGTGCTCTATATGAATTATGTTAAGTCAATCCTTTTTGGCCCCATCTGTTATTTATAGATAAGTTGAGGCAGACATCTATTGGAGGAGGAAGTGGAGCGAGGGGACCAGGGAAAAAAGGGACAAGAAAAACAAAGAAAGAAAGGAAAAAGAAAACAAGTGACCAGTGCCAGGCTCGATCCGGCGACCTTATCGGTGTTAAGGATACGTGATAATTAGGTGCTCCCAGTGTAAAGATGATGAGCGTGGTCTTTTGTCAAGAAACTGTGGCCATCTCTCGAACTATGGCCCTTCCACCGTGCTGTATTTTTTAGCTTACATTTCATATTATAGGATTTACCTATTTTAGGCATACCTCTGAAGGAAGTCAGCTAAACATAGCGATGCGTCGGCTGCACCATGAGTCGTAGAGAGGAGGCTATTTATACGTCTCCTCTGGCCCTGCTCTGCAATGACTTAAGCTCGTGAACGGGATACTATCGGATGAACATGAGCATTGAGCGCGGCGGAACAACCTCCATTCGATGTCGATGACTTACTATTCACAGCATATCATCTGATCGCTTGGTGTCCTATCAACTTTCTAGCCATATGAAGTATGTTTCAACTGAACACTATCAGAAAGATGATGGCTTCAACAAGCGCTCGACCGGGAACATTGATCGAATCTTCTGGCTATACTCACGAGAACGACGCTTTGAAATGGAAAGACATTGAACTGTTTATGGTGAAACACCCTGACAACCCTACATCTCACGTTCTTCTCATGAGGGTAAGGCATAGATTGAACGAGGGTTGGAGGAACGCGGAAAACTACGATTTGGAGCTTATCAGTCAGTACGATCAGCTCAAAGCCGCCAACAAGGCTGGCGACAAGCGTGTAAGAAACTGCAGAAGCTTCAGGATCAAATCAAGTTTAGGCAAAAGAGACTCAGCGATTCCGTGCAAAGGCATGCCCGTCAAGAGGTCTTCCGTCAGGTCGGTAACACTTTTATTGAGAGCAACTATGTCGGGAAACAGATCAGATAGACACCCGACACCAACAAAATTCAACCGGAGAGTATCGCTCTCGCCGAGCTTAAATTTAGGAATAGGGATCCTGCCAGCATCACGCTAAAGAGCTGATTGAGGACTGAATTCGGTCTCTGGAGTTACAGTTAGCTCTTAATAGCCTTTTATGTGCCCCGTTGTAAAAGGTAGAGAGTTTTGCTTTATAGACTAAAAATGCAGTTGATCCAGATCTTGCCTCGATATGAACTCGAACAGGCATCACCACGCTGGAATTAGGTCGATTTAAACTCTGATGCAAATTTCGGTGCCTATAGCCACTCGGCTTAGCTCTGTATCATTATATGACTCCGATCGAATTGATCCTATCCAGTGACCGCTCGAGCAGAAAGTGATTAAATATATATCTATGCGGAGTAGACACTCCATACTATTGCCATCCAAGGTCCACCTGATCATGTGCAATCATGTCTCGACTAATTGAGAGAGCCAAAGGATAAACACTTTTACGACTGTAAAGTCCCGTTCATTAATGTAATACTGCAGATTGACGAGTAGATCATGGTTGTCTCCCATTTCACGAGGATGTTCAGGTCACGTGCCATAGTTGATCTGGGAAAAGCGTGCTCATACTGATATCCATCATTGTTTACAGATAATAAAAAAAGCAGAATTCTCCTCAAACGAGGAATGCCTACGACCAAGATATTCTGTTGTAATCCAAGAATCTAGGCCCACCTGTCCAGCGTTGCCTGATGCGTATCTTGCTTCCAATTAGGGTGGACTGCCCACCTTGACATCATCATCCTGATGTCATTCCATGTTCTATACAAATCAAGGGAAGGCTTGATATATCGTGCCAACCACCAAGCCCAGAGATAAAAATGGACTGTATACCCAGAACCGTAGCCTTTCAATTACGGCCAAATTTACCTGTCCGTATACATTTTTGTCGTTGCTCAACGCGGAGCGTCTCAGTCCTCACAAGCTACCGACCGAGGATTCCGAACGTCAAATCACACCTTACTAAGACACAGATCCTTAGAAAATACTCACTCACTTCAACTGAAGGAAACATGAGAATTGCAATTACTGGCGCTCGCGGCTCTGTTGGCCGAGACGTGGTCAAGCTTTGCGCTGATGCCGGCCACTCCACGGTGCAAATCAACCGAACCGACACCGACTACGACGGCACGCCCCGTTCGGAAATGGCGACGGCGGACGTTGCTAACGACTATGAGGCTTGCCTCAAAGCATTCAAAAACTGCGATGCCGTCATCCATCTTGCATCAATCCCAGACCCGGTCGATAAGCCAGACCACAAAGTCCACAACAACAACGTCAACTCTGCATTCAACTGCTTCCGCGCCGCAGCTGAATTAGGCATCAAGCGATTCTGCTATGCTTCGTCGGTGAACGCCGTGGGATTGGCGTATGCAAACCAGCCACTCAAATTTGACTACTTCCCCGTGGATGAAGACGCACCGCAGCGGCCGACGGATTCCTATGCGCTGGCCAAGCAGGAAGCTGAGATTCAGGCACGCTCATTCGCGACATGGTTCCCTGKAATGAAGATTGCGTGTTTGCGGATTCACGAGGTTGCACCGCTCAAGGATGTGCAGAAGGAGCACCAAGAAGATTGGGAGAATGCTGCTGTTAAGCAGTTATGGGGCTGGGTGAACCCTCAAGCGAC